TGACCTAAAATATACGCTTAAAATTCCTTTTAAAAATTTTAAGGAAATCCTATTGACACCAAAGTGTCATCGTGTTATCTCATAATTTTCTAGGCAGTAGTAAGTAGGTTTGTCTTGAAGTCGCATGTTTGTGTCACACAGTTTTTAAAGTTATCTAAGAAGTTACCTATTCGTCTAGTTTTCAAGATTTTTTGGCTGCAGTTTTTTTTGTAAGCAAATTGTAAATTGTAATTTTTGTTATCAAGTGCAATAACCGATTTGTTTAAAATTTTTATTGGTTCACTAATTTTTAATGCAGCCATAGTCTGTATTGAAAGATTAACATTTCTTGTAAATGAAAGGGTACACCGATTTCGACTTTCTGAAGTTGACTTCCATTCATCTTTTAAAATATTTATATTGTGACTTTAAAATAAAACAATTATTTTTTGTTATTTCAAATAACTATTTTAACTAAAATAAACCTTTTTCGAGTGTAGAACTGACACCAGACCAACAAATAAAAACTCGCCATTCCGTCTCTCTTGTGGGGCTGTCTCTCTCATCGAATAGAGTGGATCGGCGCTGCTCTGGGCTCGTATATAAGGCGGGGTTCCCCAATGTGTCTGACATTCCAGTTGATCAGTGCCAGCCGATCGGTCGGTAGAGAAAAGAAGCGCGTCGCGAGCCGAAAAAGAAAATCGAACCCACAGAAAGTGCCAGTGTGCCAGTGCATAGAGTGTTAAAAAAAAAACAAAAATGAAAGCTTTTATTATCGCCGGAGTGTGTGTGTTGAGCGTGCTGAGTCTGGGATCTGCTCAGTTCCAGAACGGACGCCTGGAACCGCCAAATCCGCAACTTTGTGCCCAGCGTGTCATTCACGAAAAGACTCCCGACGGCAAGGGGTGAGTCCGCAGGATTGACCTCCTATAAATCGGGTTCATCACAAGATTTGTTTTTTTCCTCCCCTCCCCCCAGCTACTTCTTCTCGTGGCGTGACCCTCAGCTGAAGGGCGTGGAGGAGGACTGGCTGACGGCCAGGAACTATTGCCGCAGGCGCTGCATGGACTCCGTTTCTCTGGAGACCAGTCTGGAGAATGAGTGGATCAAGCAGTATGTGGTGCGCGAAAATGTAAGTACAAATTCCAATGAAAAGCTGAAAATATTATTATTCAAATATTTTTTATTTTAAATCATTAAATTAAAATTATTTAGGAAAGTTAAAAAAAATGACAGTCTAAAATAATAATGGTTTAAGGTAAAAAAAAGACTTTTGTAGCCAAATTATAGTAAAGAAAACAAAAGACTTAAGCAACAAACTGAGAACTAGATATTTAAAAAATCAAAGAAATGTACGATATGTGGGTTAGCTTTCATAATTATTTACAATGTTTGGCTTAAACGAAATCTCGAAACTGTAAAGTCAATAAATCGACTATCCCCACCCCAAAAAAATCTTATATAAGCCCATTCGGCCAGGCAAACAAAACCAAACCAAAGATAATTAATTTGCCTTTCCTTCACTGCACCTGTTTGATCAAAAGTTAAGCTTTGATAAATATATCAAACGAATGATCACATTTATTCACCGAAATATGCAACTCATTGATTATTTATAAATGTTTTCGGCGAAAGCTATTATAAATGCATAGTCAAACACTTGTATTGATAAACGTAAATATTCCCTTTCAAAGTTGCTTTTTACACTTCAAAGGTGAAGTAGGAGACAGTCACAAAAGCTTGCCAATAATTTATTTTTGTCTGCATTTATCAGTTTTTATCTTTACTATTTTTTCACCTGTTTTGCATGACATTATGTCACCTTTTTTCATTTGTTTGGTAAGTTAAATAACGTCCGTTTAGCCGCGTGTGAAGCATTTAGCGCGTTTTGTTTGACAGCTCGAACAAAAACTGACCTTAATTTTGAGGATGCTGAGCCACACGAAATTAATGGCGAAATCTGACATTAACATCGCTCTACAAAGTTCAATGTGAAATTACGCATAAAAACTGAACGAAGAGACACAATACGATTCGTAAATATACAAAAACTTTCCCAGTTGTTGTCTCTGTAATTTCGCACACGAATGGAGTCTCTTATGCTATTACGCAACACTCTTGAGATGGACAAGTGTCAAGTTTGGAGTTGTGGTCAGGCAGGCTCATCTCACATGCCATCTTCCAGCTCATTGCTCACCTCTCGTCTCCGTTTTTGTGGCATGAGAAAGCAATGTTGGGCAAATTGAAATCGAAAGTTCATGTGTGCGGTGGGAAAGCCGGGCCGGAAAAGCTACTCAACAAAATTACTTGGCGAATTAGCAAACTCTGAACACGCAAACGGATTCAATGCTGGCCAATTTTGCGTATAATCAAAGAGGAAATTAAACGCAAACCAAAGACTTGTGTTAAAAAAACTAAGAAAGAAAGAAACGTATAAGTATTTTGTTTTAACTTTGATATAGGGTATTAAATCTAATATTTAATTAAATATATTTAATGCAAATATTATGATTTCCTTCAGTTCAATTTTTTTTAGTTATTCCTTAAAGCAGCCTCATTTTTAATTTAAAGAATTGGCCAATTGACCAACATATAACTCATTTGATAGTTTCTAATGAGGATGCACAACTTTCCACTACTTTTTCCGGCAACGAAGGCGTTTGCCAAATATGTTCCACCTTATCAACCGGCTTGATTCACTTTTACTTAGCCCGTGAAAAGTCTGTAACCGACAGGTGCACAAACACAATTCACTGGGGCTTCCGCCATGGGGCAAATGCATTTATTGTCCGAGTTTTAAACAATTACGAAGCCCACTTCCACCGCCAATGAAACGCTAAAACCGCCACCAACAAAACCGAATTCAATGTCCATAAATTTGTTTCGACTTTACGCTCACTGGAGTTTTCCAAAAGGGCAGACAGCCCGATCGGATCGAGTCGTCTGGGTCTTTGTTCGTTCGCCTCTTTTACAAAACAATTTTTATGGCCCATCGGGTGAAAGTGACTGATGAGCGCTAAGCTGCGGCTTCTGCTTGTGCTTGTGCTCACCTGAAATGTTGACAGTATCGGGTGCGCCAGCTCCAAAAGGGCGCGGACTTGGAACGGTAATGGGAATGGGTTCGCTTTCAGCGATAATGATAGTTGTTTGGGCGTGACAGGCCCATAAGAGTTGTTGCCTGGAATTTCTACAACTACTTTTTCGATGCCAACGCTGCATTTTCTTGCGTAGGCGCAATTGATTGGGAAAATCTGTTTCATTTCTAGGGCAATGACCTATGGCAGCTTTATTGATTTATCTTTCTTACAATTTAAAAATTTTATACAATTTATAAAATAAGTTTATGTACACTTTGCACTGAAACTTCATATAAAATGTTTGTAAACTTTTTTGCCCACTGTAAATTGAATAAATTGTTGTTTTTCACTAATTTTAACTCTTTGTAGCTTATGGTTTTAAAAAGAAAACTTTCATAAATTAAACTGTTTAAAAAATTAAAAATTTTTAAAGAATATTTTTGAGATTTAAAAAAAATATGTATAATAGGAATTGGTTTTAAACTAAGTTTTGCAATGGTCAGAAATTTGATACATGTATGAATATATATTTATAAAATCAAGTCACTTTTAGAAACTTTATTTTAACTTCCTTATATTTGTAATCGTTCTAAAATTTCAAAACCCTCTTCTTCACGTTATAGGTGAAATACATCTGGACCAGTGGCCGCTTGTGCGACTTCAAGGGCTGCGACCGCCCCGACCTGCAGCCCACGAACATTAACGGCTGGTTCTGGACCGCCACCCTGCAGAAACTGGCCCCCACCACGGAGCGCTCCCAGGGCGACTGGTCGCCCACCGGTGGAATCGGCCTGCCCCAGCCGGACAACCGTGAATACAAGCAGAACGGAGCCAGCGAAAACTGCGTTGCCCTGCTGAACCAGTTCTACAACGACGGAGTGAACTGGCACGACGTGGCCTGCCATCACAAGAAGTCCTTTGTTTGCGAGGAGAACGACGCCCTGCTGAAGTACGTGCGCTACACAAACCCCAATCTGCGCATCTAAGGAGGAGATTGGAAGGAGCATAAGGACGAGGGCTGACGGAAGGTCCAGCGACTCTCCAACTAAAACCAAAAATGATATTCCCTTAAACGACAGCGGCGAACGATGATCGGCGATCGTTGTTTGCCAGCTTTTATCCGATTGTCCTAAAAAGCGAACAGTTTTCTGACATATGATTCTTTCCCTGGTAACAACCTTCAAATTCTCTGTGCTCTATTCTGTCTCATCAACTAGTTTAATTTTTAATTTTGTATTAATTTATGATTTGTTTAATTATAATAAAACATTCGAAACGATTTTTAAAAGTGATCCGTGGTTTTATTTCCTTGAGTTTTCTTCCACATGGCTTTACAAATTTTAATGATAAGCTCCTTAAGTCCAAAACGTGCCTTAAAATGTGGGATCGGGCTTCAAAGTACAAAAGTTTCTCCACTAATACGCGCCTTAAGCCATTTGGAAATTATAGCGACGCATGTTATTAAGCTTATAAAAGCTGGGCAAGCCCTTGGACTTCTTTGTTTTTCCTAATTTAATATTTAATAAGGCAATGAGCAAACAAAAAAGGTCGAGTTTATCGACTAAAAGAGTCTGTTTTAATCTGTAACTTTTTTTAAAGTGTTCTTATAATTTTTTTTAGTGTAATCTAAAAACTGATAAACAATCAGCCGCTCTTTAAAAAATGAGTTCTAAAAAAACTATTTATTTAAAGAGCATGTTTTCAATTTTAAATGCTTTTGTCCACAGAGGAACAAAGTAAACTTGGCAAATTTATCAGTGCTTGTTTTAAAAAAAAGGTATTGAAAACATATTTTGTTTTTGTACATTTTTAATTTTTTGTTTGAGGCTTACTGGTTGCTGGAAAAGTGCAAAAGAATTGCCTGTTAGTATGCAGCAAACTGATTGTGCATACACGGAAAACTTGATCGCCCAGAAGTATGCAATGATTTTTTCCAGACTTGGCTTTTTCTTGTTTTATATATGTATGACCAACAAATCAACAGACAATATAAACACATGCAAATAATTTGGACAGGCGACCACAATAAAGAAAAAACTCTTTGAGGAATCTTAAAAAATGCCGGCCAGTTTGACCAGATCCAACAGCGAGTGTGATGGCTTTTCACTTGGGTCCTCTTCCTGACCATTAACTGCACACGAGGGAAGGTCTCGCAGGATATCATTACGGGCCCTGTATGCCCGACATTTGTCCAGCACGCGCTCGAATTCCGCCACGGCGAATTCTTGCGAGGCATAGGCATCTTCCGGAGCCACTGAAGCGTCCCACTGGGCGCGTTGAGGCTGCTGGACATCGATGGTTAGCCCCACCACACCGTCGGCCGCATTGATGGTGGCCACTGCTGCTCCGGCTCCCTCAATCATGGCCAAAACCAGGCAGCCCACGAAAGCACTGTTGGCCATGGCCCGAAGGCCATTGCGGGCAGCCAAAATGCCGCCCGTGGCTGCTCCACTGACGATCGAGTTCCAGGCATCCTCCTGCTGGCGATAGCCGACCATGACGCAGTCCACCGTGCTGAAGGTGGCACCCCAAATGGCGAAGCTGCCGGCGATGGACGGAGTCCTCATCTTGACCGAATCTAAACCGCTGTACAGGCTGCGTCGTAGGCCGGACGGAGCGTTACGGAAACCCTTGATGAACTCGAACAGCGATCCCCCAATGGTGCCCATCATGAAGGCGCATCCGCAATCCTCCACGATCCTGATGGGACACGGCTGGCGATTGTACTCCATGATCGCTAGTACCTGTACCTATATAGAAAACTGGGTATTGCTCTCCTTACAACACAATAGTATTGGCTTCTATTCGAAAACGTGTATTTTTGAGTTGATTTTAAGCTTCTGACATTAGAATCTTTAATTAGGATAGATTTAAGATGGCAGATAAAAAAGTATCTTTAAAAAAACAAAAAAAAGCATCGGCAAGTCATCTTGCATCTTTTGCATAAATGAAACATTCTACAAAACTACTTTATTTCGGATTTAATTTGTATATGTTTAATAATAATGATTTTATTTCCAAAGTATAAATAAAAAATAAATATATTTATTAGTGTCGAATAAGTCTGCTTTTCTGTGTTTGACTGATATATAATACCCTCTGAAAGGGTATAAAAATCATGATAAAAGATCCCGTTTTGGAATTAGCTTACCTTTGAATTTATGAAATTCTTTTGTTAGCTATATGTGTTTTAAATATATAAATAAAAAGATATGAAATTATAATTAAACCGCAATACAATGGAATTCAACGTTCCTTAGCTTATATATTTATTGGTATGAAACAAGAGTAACGAATTTGCGAGATTTAAATGATCAGTTGTCGAAGTACTTTCGGAACTCCTGGCAACCAGCCCAGTTTTCCTCCCAACCGGGTGTTAGTTTCTTGGCCTGCTCATACCAGCGGACCACATTGGCATACCGCTTGAAATCGAAGCCGGCCACATCGAAGGTGGAAACGGTGGCCAGGAAGGCGATGTCGGCCAGGCTATAGTCCTCGCCAGCGCTGAAGTTCTGTCCTTCCAGGAAGGTGTTCAGGAAATCGAAGGCGATCTCGATCTTCTTGAAGTTCTCCTCGTTGGCAGGCTTCTTCAGGAATATCTGAGGATAGTAGTATTCGGCGAAGCTCTTGTAAAGGGTACCCATGTCGAAGTACAAGCGTTGGTTAATCAAGGCCTGCTTCTGAACATCCTTGGGAAAGAGCTTGTCGTCCTTGCCGTACTTCTCCACCAGATAAACCATAATTGCTCGCGATTCCCACAGGGCAAAGCCATTGTCGTCCAGAGTGGGGATCGTGTGCTGGGGATTGATCTTCAGATATTCCGGCTTGAACTGCTCTCCAGCACGGGTGTTGATGATCGTCTTCTTGTCGAACTCCACACCCAGGGCCTTGGCTGTCATCAGAACAGAGCGGCAGGGAGCAGATCCGGGTCTGTAGTAGAAGTCCATTTCACGGTTGAGGGAGCTCTGCAAAAACCGCAATTCATCAAGATCAGAAGGTGTCACAGTCACAGTAGATGAATATAAAAAAAATAGCTATAGGTAATCACTTTCTTTGATGGCACTCAGTGGCACTGTTTCGGTGACGCCATCTCCATAATAAATGGACAGAAATAATAATAATAAAAGTTTTTTCGGTGGCTGAACTTACGAGATAATTGGTAAAAATACTCGGCTGTTCTGCTGAAGTCGAAGCACGGCAAACAACTGAATAATACTCGACGGCTTGGCTGTTTTTTATACACACAACCAAAAAGATAATATTTTGTTGACTGATGGATCAATTAGGTGCAGGTGATAATTGGCAAATATTTTTATTTGGCCGATACGAATCACTGCTCATAAGAGAGAGGTTTCTAGAAAGATAGTATAAGATTGATTAGTAGTCAGAACTGAGTAAGTTTCACTTTATTTTGATTAGTTTTCACTCAACGTATTTTAGTTTGTTTCAGGTAGAATGTACTTTATGCAAGCCTGAAATAATTACAGCTGTTTGCTGAAAATTACCTTTGACTTTAATTGTTTTTGTTATCAGCAGACTCATACAGCAGCTTATATTATCGCATTGAAAAATGTTTGAGCTGTCGTACCTCAACGAATTTCACAAGAGTTCGACCCCCTGGTCTTATCAGAACCCATAAGTCAACGACTCTATGACAATATTACTCTTAAAATAACACCAGATATGAGTACTCTTTATTCGAATAGTGCGTTAGATTCGCCATGGTAAACAATCTAAAATTTGTTAACTAAAGCCAAATCATTGTTTCTCCTGAAGATCGCCCAGATACAATTTCTTGTAGTACTCGCAGCCCACCCAGTTCTCCTCCCAGCCCGGAATCACCTTCTTGGCATTATCGTACCACCTGACCACATTCGGATATTTTCCAAAGTCATACCCTGTTATTTCAAAAGTGGATACGGTGGCCAGCAGGGTAAAGTCGGCCAGAGTCAACTTGTTGAGGGCTGCATACTGCTGATCTTCCAACAGAGTGTTCAATATATTGAAGGCTGCATCGATCTTCTTCTTCTTCTCGGGATCAGCCGGCTTCTTCACGTCCTCAAACAACTGGGGAAAGTAGTAGTCGACGTAGCTCTGGTAGAGAGTGCCCAGGTCGAAGAACAAGCGATGATTCACCACGGCCCTCTGCTGGGGATCCTTGGGGTACAGTGAGTCATCCTTGGCATACTTTTCAGCCAGATACATCATAATAGCCCTCGACTCCCAGATGACAAAATCACCATCCACCAGAGTGGGAATCGTGTGCTGGGGGTTGATCTTGATGAACTCGGGCTTCAGATGCTCACCGGCATCCAGGTCGACCTGCTTCTTGTTCAGATCCAATCCCAAGGCAAGGGCCAGTCATCAGGACTGAACGGCAGGGTGCCGAGTACAGCATATAGTAAAAGTCCAACATGATTCCTTCTCGAGCTATAAAATCGTACTAAATTATTATTTGAAAGGAATTTGTCACATAAAAACACAAGTTGAAACTTATCTCAGCGACTACTAGTTTTCTTTTACAATTCAATTTGTATACCAGTATCAGTTTGCAAACAGGTCTACATACATATAGTTAAAAAAAAAGTTATTCATTTCTAAGTTGAAAACGAAAGGGCACAAATATTTTGATTAAGATTTTCGTAAGCCAACTTTTTTTTTCTACTTGCTACCTTGCTATTAATAATGTCTATAAATCAGAATCAACAAGAAAGAAAGCAAACTTCGGCAAGCCGAAGTTCATATACCCTTGCAGCTATTGCAAGAATTAAACATTTTTGAAAACATTAAAATTATAATTTACTTGCGTATAAGTTTAAAAACATTGAAGCTATGATGATTTGCAGCTCAATTATTTGATAGTTATTTTATATTTTTTTATTGTTCCTATGGGAGCTATATGATATAGTCGTCCGACTTTGATGAAATTTAAACCGTAAGTCGAAAATATTTAACCATTGCTTTATGTCGAAGGGCTAAACAAAACAGTAAAAAACAGAAAAGTTATAATTTTTTTTCATTTATTTTTCCGATTGTTCCTATGGGAGCTATATGCTATAGTCGTCCGATTTTGATGAAATTTTTACCATGATTCTGAAATACTTAACCATTGCTTTATGTCGAAGAACAAAACAAAAAATTAAAAAACAGCAAAGTTATAATTTTTTTTCAATTATTTTTCCGATTGTTCCTATGGGAGCCATATGCTATAGTCGTCCGATTTTGATGAAATTTAAACCATAATTCTGAAATATTTAACCATTGCTATATGTCGAAGAACTAAACAAAAAATTAAAAAACAGCAAAGTTATAATTTTTTTTCATTTATTTTTCCGATTGTTCCTATGGGAGCTATATGCTATAGTCGTCCGATCCGGCTCGTTCCGACTTATATACTACCTGCAATAGAAAGACAACTTTTGGGAAAGTTTCATGCAGATAGCTTTAAAACTGAGAGACTAGTTTGCATATAAACGGACGGACAGACGGACAGACGGACAGACGGACAGACGGACATGGCTAGATCGACTCGCCTAGTGATGCTGATCAAGAATATATATACTTTATAGGGTCGGAGATGTCTCCTTCACTGCGTTGCAAACTTCTGACTGAAATTATAATACCCTCTGCAAGGGTATAATGATCAATATTTACATGTTTCCCGTAATCTATCAATATGATAAGATAATTAGTACATTGTATTTTCCAAACATTGACGTAATCATAGAGCTCTAATGCCGTAAACCTTTCCAGTAATACATTATAAAGTTTTTCATTTATAGAATACAAGAAATTCAACTAAAAACCTTTAAGAATTGAAGAATACCTTTTAGTTAGATTTGTAGACAGTGCTTGCTCACAAAAATATTATAACTAATATATCACATTTTATAAATATTTGGAGATTCCGATCTATTTAACTAGTATATTGGGTAATTTCCACTATTTTTCAAATGTTTCTATGTCTCTTTATTCGTGGCATCCGTCTCCCTTCAAAAATATACACTAACGAACAGCCGGCAAGTAGTGGAGCTTTTATTGCTTTTCTCGTCTCGAAAGAGACGGCTACAGAGAAATGCAATTTCGTAGCTCTTGCCAAAGCACCTTTTTTCTCTCTGAAAGAGAGAAAAACGCGCCATAAGAGCATCATTATCCAATTGTTGCTGCCCACACCCAACCCACTGTATAGCGTATAGTATAGACATCTAAAACACATTTGCATTTGTGCATTCAAAAAAGCGAACACTTATTTATTGTCTTCGTAGACAGGCGAATTTGGAATTGTTGCGTGAACGTGAAACGTGAATATAAATACTACATCAAATGTAAGGGTATTAAATGGGTGGTAATATCAGGCTTATTCGAAGAACTTCTTGAACTCCAGGCAACCGGCCCAGTTCTCCTCCCAGCCGGGGGTGACCTTCTTGGCATTCTCGTACCACTTGTTGACGTTGGCGTACTTGCTGATCTCGAATCCGGCCACCTCGAAGGTGGAGACGGAGGCCACCAGGGCGATGTCAGCGACGGTGAGCGAGTCGCCGGCGGCGTACTCCTGTCCCTCCAGGAACGTGTTCAGGAACTCGAAGGCCGCCTCGATCTTCTTGAAGGCCTCGGGATCGGCGGGCGCCTTGGCGAACACCTGCGGGTAGTAGTAGTTGGCGAAGCTCTGGTACAGCGTTCCCATGTCGAAGTACAGGCGCTGGTTGATCACGGCGCGCTTCTTGGGGCACTTGGGGTACAGCGAGTCGGTCTTGCCGTACTTCTCCACCAGGTAGACCAGGATGGCGCGCGACTCCCACAGCGCGAACCCGTTGTCCACCAGCGTGGGAATGGTGTGCTGGGGGTTGATCTTCAGGAACTCCGGCTTTAGCTGCTCGCCGGCCTGCAGGTTGAGCAGTTTCTTGTTCAGCTCGACGCCCACGGCCTTGGCGGTCATGATCACGGAGCGGCAGGGGGCGGAGCCGGGCAGGTAGTAGAAGTCAGCCATTTTACTGCAGAAAAATAAGTTTAAAGTTTACTATTAGTTTGGAAACGCTTTATAAAGCTTTATTTATTAGGTAAGACGAAACTATATTTTCCATTATCAACACAATTTTATGAGCTATAAAGAAGTATTTTAGTCCATCGCATTATTATTATAATAGACCATAAGCACAGGGCAAGAAAATTAAAAAAAAAACGTCCGCCATATTACATTTGATTTAAAAACAACGTATGTAGTTTTATGAGCTTTAATTCAGTATTTTAATCCATTGTATTGTTAAAAAAAAATCACTAAGAACACGGCTAGAAAATTAAACAAAAAAAAAGGTCCGCCTTATAAAATTTGATTTAAAAATCTACGTATTTGCATAAATACATAGAACAAAAGAAACTTTCAAGAATACCAAGAGCGTCTCACACATTTGTACAATATACACATTTGATTTGTTTTTTGTCTGTTCTAAGTCTTTTATATATGGCATGCAAAAGGCGCTCAAAATAGATCAGAAAAGATATGCCGTAATTAGACGCGCTCTATAATTACGGGTTAAGACAAAGGCCGACTTTAATTGGGCCGTCATTACAGACATTCACTTGGCAAACAGATTCCCACCGAATGTATGACATCATTTCTGCCTGGTTCTTTTAAACTATTAGCGTTTTTTTGGTAAATTTCCATATATATTTATAATACATATTGTTCCTTGCTTTTTTTTCGTCCAGTCACAGACACAATCACAATGGTTATATTGCAGGGTAAAAAACTTACAGTTTTATTTGTTGAAATCTCGCGATGTACACTGTACCAAATGACAAGCAGCACTGAACGGAATTCGGAGAGCGGGACCGCTTTTATAGCAATCGCTGGCGGTCGCCATAATGCCGGCAAACAAGAGTTGTTGTTTGACAACACGCGGGGCGGTTGCGGGCACGGGGGCGTGGCGGGGGGAGTCACCATTAAGAGAGACAGGCGCTAGTTGTTTTCGTGTCTGGGGTTTTTTTTTTTTTGTCTTTTATTTTTCGCCTTGCCCACACATACCCAGCAATATCAGGCAAAAATGTGACGTTAGCAGCATGATTAATACTAGTATGTGGAGACGTGTGCAAGTGTGTGTGATCGAGTGGTGGTTGCACACTGCCTTCCACCACCCCCCAAAAGAAAGCTGCAACTTTCTAATAATCCTCCATTGGAACGCTGCCTTTTTCCTCTCTTAAGAACATATTTTTCTGGATTTATATCATTTTTATGCCCCTGCAGAGGACTATGTGTTTCCAAAATAAGCTTTTTCCCTTCTCAAATACTTAAAAGGGTACAACAATATTTAATGCACTCAATTTGCTTGGATACACATTTTTGCATTTCTAATGAACATCTGTGCGCTTAAAAATAAATTCCTCTTTCAAAGTGGAAAAAAGCAAAAAAAATAAAAAACAGAAACCAGATAACAACAACTGAAGCCGGCCGGCAAACATTCATATCAGGCAAACACACAGCAACAGTTGGCGAGAATTCCCAAGTGAAATGTATACATATATGAACGTTTAAACAAATCGCAAGATACTGTACTTGCCAACTAACAAGTTCACAAAAATGTAGCCATACGATGATGAGGATATTTTCAATAAGTTCTGACTCGAAATGGGTAAAATCCAGTTGAGTGATCGTTACCGCAGGATAGATAAACGTCAAAACGACATGCTAATCTCAAATTACAAGTCCACACTTTTTATGTATGTATAATTATATTGATGACCAGCGCAGCAATTTATCGATTGAATTGTATTGTTTGCGCTTTGACGGCCTTGGGAAGTTAGAAATAATTGTTATGGTCACATTACATGAAAGGGAAAATGGAAACGAGCCTAACTTTTCTTTCTTGGAAGTATTCGATACAATCGGAGCATTGCTCTCGAATATTCGTGTTTAATTTGCTGGGGGTGGCTTTTTCCAAATAAGCACTCCTTTTTTATCAGTTTCACAATTGACAATACCAACAATCAGCATGACCAGGCAAAATATTTCAATATCAAGTAGAAAAGCATGAAAGAGCATTTTCGTGGGCGACACGTCAAACAAATTGCTCTCTCTATCTCTTAAAGTCTAGAACAATCCACACAACGCTTGTGAAATCAGAAAGCCCCAAGACTCAGACCCACAGAATTACTCATTTGAACATAATGCCGAAATCCACTGAATCATGGGAAACACGAGATCGTAAACACAATAAGTTTGTCAATAACTGGTTGGGTTAATTCACTAAAAGTCGGCCCAAAGTGTAGCGTAAAATGTAGAGAAAGGTCACAGTGTTTGCCGCTGCAGATCAAGAGAACCAGTTAGACGGCATTGGCCAGGAATGCGTCACAAACAAAAAAGGCAGAAAACCTAAACTAGTCGAAGAGTAAGGACTAAGAGATGTGGATCACCAAAGAGAGCAGATGGGGCGAAGAGCCCCACCGATCTCTTATTTCAGCCTCGGAAAGTTTGCCGGTCTGCCATATAAACACACACATATCACCCGATAAATACTTTTTTCAATTCCGCTTGCCGGCGATTCTTATTTTGTGTACAGCTGCGTTGACTTTTGCTTCAGTCTTTCACTGATCTTGGCTTGAGAGAAGACAAATAACATTTTGCAAAAATTGTATTCTATTGTTGGAGAAATAAATTAAATCTCTGTCTTTTTAAGACTTCTAGAATAGAATCTTCTGTTTTCTTGATTATAGACATTAAATAAAATGCTGTATTTTTTTTTTTTTCAAATTTTAAAGCTACTTAATGTGTCGCATTATCTTTTCAATTAACGGTAAAGATAACCCCGAAGCAACTTTGCACCACTTTCAAAGGTGCAAAATATTCCATGGCCGAATTGAACAATGGTCTACAGACATATGTATGTATGTATGTATGTATGTTTATTCATAAACAAATAACTAGGTTTTATCATAATTATTGGGTTTTTGTTTGTGATTAAATGTGTTATAAAATCAGTTCTTGATTTTATTTATTTTCCGTAACTAATGAATCATAAAGGGAAGAGCGAGTGCAAATGGTTTAAAGCTATTCCTTTATTAATCAATGCTACACCCAACAATATTGTCACTTTAAAGTGATAATGCCTTCAATCCTAAATACTTGTATGTATCATACATATGTATGTACAAATTTCGAACACATAGTCGATGAATCATAATAGTTAACCACTTAAAATCACTCCAATTCCTGTATGATATTATATTTATGTATGTATATATTTTTTTAATAACATAATCTCCATGCGCTTCATCATGAGTACGCTCCTCCAAGCCAAAAATACGGAAATGTTCCGGTTTCCCGTTTCCAAAGTTTTTCCCGAGTTCGTTTGCCACAAATTTTTGGGTTTAGGACGGTAAATGCTTGGCAAATAATAAATAAATAATTATTTCTGTAACATGTAGGTGTAATTATAGTGTCCTGAAGTTGTCCTTACTGTGACACAACTTAAATATAAATAGAACATAATGACCTGAAATTAAAAATCAGAACAGACCTGATAGTGATGAAAAAATAAAAAGACTATATACTGGGGTGCCCATTTGGCTGTATAAGTATAAGTACCAGCCATTGCTGCTTGCAGTCAGTTTTCGTTCTCGCCTGAAGGTAACAACACGTTAGCGCATTTAAACATGGATTCTCTATTTGGGAATCGCGTGCCATCGCCGTTTATCTGGTGGAGAAGTACGGCAAGGATGACTCCCTCTTCCCCAAGGATCCCAAGAAGCAGGCCGTGGTTAACCAGCGCCTGTACTTCGACATGGGCACTCTGACCGATGCCTTTGCCAAGTACTACTATCCCCTTTTCCGCACCGGAAAGCCGGGCACCGAAGAGGACTTCAAGAAAATCGATACCGCCTTCGGGTTCCTGGACACCTTCCTGGAGGGACAGGACTACGTGGCCGGAGACCAGCTCACCGTGGCCGATATTGCCATCCTGGCCAATGTCTCCACTTTCGAGATTATTGACTACGACTTCAGCAAGCACACCAATGTGGTCAGGTGGTACGCCAACGCCAAGAAGGTGACTCCCGGATGGGATGAGAACTGGGAGGGTCTACAGCAGATGAAGGCTTTCTTCGAGTCCCGTGTGGCAGCTGCAAAGTAATCGATACTCAGATAATTAACTTTTAAATTAAACAGAAGAAATAAAATAAAACTACATTACTTAAGAGCATTTATTTTTTATGTTTAAAAATTTGAAGGGTGTTGTTGAAAGCTGTATAGGTTCGTGGGAGCATTGCTTTTGGAAATTCAAAAAGTTAAATATTTTTCAACACCTTTTCGGGTATTAAACAATTTTTTTAAATTTTAACATTATAGCTTATTATTTTTAATAGTTCCACATCCCTTATAATAATAATAATAATAATAATAATAATAATAATAATAATAATAATAAGAATAATAATAATAATAATAATAATAATAATAATAATAATAATAATAATAATAATAATAATAATAATAATAATAATAATAATAATAATAATAATAATAATAATAATAATAATAAATAACAAATAGGTACTTTAAAAATGTGATATTATTTTGTTAATTTATGTACGTGTCTCTCTGTCCAAAAAAAAGACGCACCCGAAAAATGAAAATTTTGTTCCAGTAGGGCAAGTATAAACAAATGGAAAGAGATAATTTACCAGCCCCTTGCTATATACCATATGTACATATGTATGTAGCTGACTAGCTTTTGCCGGTTGTAATCAGTTATCGTTCTTGACACCCGCGAATCGGCTTTTATTTCCAAATTTGAAATTAAAAGTTGTGCATTGTGTTCTTGTTTTCTCTCTGCTTGTTAATGTATCTTAAAATATTATTAAGCCACACATTTTTATTTAAATAAGAGAAAATATAAATTTATATTTTATACATAGTAGCGAAGTTTTAGTTTAAAACTTTCCCATCAAAGGAAGATAACATTTCTGTTTGATTGCTTATATAAGCTGAGCCAAGCCCTTGGACTTCTTCCTTTTTTCTTAATTTTAAATAAAATTTCCCTATTCAATGCTGAATATTTTTAATATTTCATTGTTTTTTAAATAAACAATTTCTACCGCATTAAATATTCCTCGTATAGCATGTTATTATTTACAATAAATATTCCTGTGATGCAATAAATTTTTAAAGCAAACGACAAACATTATTAAAAAACTTAATAAACTTAAAACTTTAAAAGAAATTCATCAAAAGCAATGAGTAAACCAAAAATAGAAGTCGACTCAATCGTCTAAGAGAGTCTGCTTTAATCTCTAACTTGTTAGAAAGTTTTCTTAGAAAGGTTTTTTTAGTGTTATCCAAATACTGATCATAAAGACTCAGCCTCTCTTTTAAATATGGTTTCTAAAAAACTATTTATTTAAAGACCATGTCCTAAATTTAAAATGCTTTTGTCCACAGAAGAACAAAGTATTTTACCAGAGCTTGTTTAAAAAAAAAGGTTGATGGAAATGTGTAAAAGAAATGCCTATTAGAATGCAACAAACTGATTGTGCATACACGGAAAACTTGGTCGCCCAGAAGTATGCAATGATTTTTTTTCAAACTTGACCGTTTTTCTTATTTTACATATGTATGACCAACAAATCAACAGACAATATGAACACTTGCAAATAATTTGGACAGGCGACCACAATAAAGAAAAAACTCTTTGAGTAATCTTAAAAAATGCCGGCCAGTTTGACCAGATCCAACAGCGAGTGTGATGGCTTTTCACTAGGATCCTCTTCCTGATCATTAACTGCACACGAGGGAAGGTTTCGCAGGATATCATTACGGGCCCTGTATGCCCGACATTTGTCCAGCACGCGCTCGAATTCCGCCACGGCGAATTCTTGCGAGGCAAATACTGTATTTTGGGTTTTATTTATGAACCTAAGTTTATTTTCGGCTGATATTTTTAAACGTTTTCCATTGTCCGACTTTATAAAAATTCAAACCAAAGTATAAATAAAAAATAAATATTTTTATTAGTCTCGTTTTCTGTGTTGCAAACTTTTGACTGAATTTCTAATACCCTCTAAAAGAGTACACAAATGTATGCCGATAAAATGATAAAGAACCCGTTTTGGAATTAACTTAACTTTAGATGTATGAAAATATTTCATTAGCTATGTGTGTTTTAAATATATAAATGAACAAACTTTCAATTATTATTAAGCCGCAATACAATGGACTTTGACGTTCCTTAGCTCATATATATTTATTGGTATGAAACAAGAGTAACGAATTTGTGAGATTTAAATGATCAGTTGTCGAAGTACTTTCGGAACTCCTGGCAACCAGCCCAGTTTTCCTCCCAACCGGGTGTTAGTTTCTTGGCCTGCTCATACCAGCGGACCACATTGGCATACCGCTTGTAATCGAAGCACGGCAAACAATAATAATACTCGACGGCCTGGCTGTTTTTTATACACACAACCAAAAAGATAATATTTTGTTGACTGATGGATCAATTAAGTGCAGGTGATAATTGGCAAATATATAAGAGAGAGGTTTCTAGAAAGATAGTATAAGATTGATTAGTAGTCCGAACTGAGTAAGTTTCATTTGTTTATTTTGATTAGTTTTCACTCAACGTATTTCAGTTTGTTTCAGGTAGAATGTACTTTATGCAAGCCTGAAATAATTACAGCGGTTTGCTGTAAATTAGCTTTGACTTTAATTGTTTTTGTTATCAGCAGACTCATACAGCAGCTTATATTATAGCAAACCGGCACGTATCATAATTTTATCGCATTGAAAAATGTTTGAGCTGACGTACCTCAACGAATTTCACAAGAGTTCGGCCCCCTGGTCTTATCAGAACCCATAAGTCAACGACTCTATGAAAATAATACTCTTAAAATACTCTTTATTCGAATAGTGCGTTAGATTCGCCATGGTAAACAATATAAAATTTGTTAACTAGAGCCAAATCATTGTTTGTCCTGAAGGTCGCCGAGATACAATTTCTTGTAGTACTCGCAGCCCACCCAGTTCTCCTCCCAGCCCGGAATCACCTTCTTGGCATTATCGTACCACCTGACCACATTCGGATATTTTCCAAAGTCATACCCTGTTATTTCAAAAGTGGATACGGTGGCCAGCAGGGTAAAGTCGGCCAGAGTCAACTTGTTGAGGGCTGCATACTGCTGATCTTCCAACAGAGTGTTCAATATATTGAAGGCTGCATCGATCTTCTTCTTCTTCTCGGGATCAGCCGGCTTCTTCACGTCCTCAAACAACTGGGGAAAGTAGTAGTCGACGTAGCTCTGGTAGAGAGTGCCCAGGTCGAAGAACAAGCGATGATTCACCACGGCCCTCTGCTGGGGATCCTTGGGGTACAGTGAGTCATCCTTGGCATACTTTTCAGCCAGATACATCATAATAGCCCTCGACTCCCAGATGACAAAATCACCATCCACCAGAGTGGGAATCGTGTGCTGGGGGTTGATCTTGATGAACTCGGGCTTCAGATGCTCACCGGCATCCAGGTCGACCTGCTTCTTGTTCAGATCCAATCCCAAGGCAAGGGCAGTCATCAGGACTGAACGGCAGGGTGCCGAGTACAGCATATAGTAAAAGTCCAACATGATTCCTTCTCGAGCTATAAAATGGTACTAAATTAATATTTGAAAACAATTAATCACATAAAAACACAAGTTGAAACTTATCTCAGCGACTACTCGTTTTGTTTTACAATTCTACTATTACAATTATTTTTTTTATAAATCAGAATGAATGATCACCATTTACATGTTCCCCGTACACTATCAATATAATAAAATTATAGTACATCGTATTTTCCAAACATTGACGTAATCATATATGTAGCTCTAATGCCGTAAACCTTTCTAGTATTAGATTAAAGGGCTTTTAATTTCTTGAATAAAATAAATTCAACAAAAAATATTTTAAGAATTGAATAATTCATTTTAGTTGGATTTGTAGACAGTGCTTGCTCACTAAAAAACAATTAAAAATATGTATAAAAAATATATCAAATTTTATATATATTTGGAGATTCTGATCTATTTTACTAATATATTTAACTTGTGTTATTTCCACCTTTTTTCAAGTGTTTCTATGTCTCTTTATTCGTGGCATCCGTCTCCCTTCAGAAATGTACACTAACGAACAGCCGGCAAATAGTGGAGCTTTTATTGATTTTCTCGTCTCGAAAGAGACAGCTACAGAGAAATTCAATTTCGGATGCTCTTTCCGAATCACCCTAGGCGCACAAAATAGATCAGAAAAGATATACCGTAATTATGGGTTCAGACAAAGGCCGACTTTAATTGGGCCGTCATTACAGAAATTCACTTGGCAAACAGATTCCCACTGAAGGTATGACATCATTTCTGCCGGGTTCTTTAAAGCTATTAGCGTTTTTCGTTAAATTTTCATGCATATTGTTCCTTGCTTTTTTTTTGCCCAGTCACAGACACAATCACAATGGTTATATTGCAGGGCAGAAAACTTACAACTTTGATTGTTGAAATCCCGCGATGTACACTCTACCAAATGAGGAGCAGCACTGAGCGGAATTCGGAGAGCGGGACGGCTCTTATAGCAATCGCTGGCGGTCGCCATAATGCCGGCAAACACGAGTTGTTGGTGGCGTGACGGGGGGAGTCACCATAAGAGAGACAGGCGCTAGTTGTTTTCGTGTCTGCGTTTTTTTTTTGTCTTTTATTTTTCGCCTTGGCCACACCACTAACCATACAATATATATGTAGACTTTTCATTTCATACAACGCATTTGGATACAAAAAAACGGAAAGCGCGAGGCCCCACGTGCTCACAGCGGCAGGCCCCTGCACTTCGTGTGCGTTCGGGTTTTTTGCTCTCTCATTCTTATTCTCATTTTTATGCTCGCGCACTCATTGCACGAGCAGTGCTGCCAGATTTTGAGAGATAATATAAGCTAGATTGAAGAAAAAAATAAGCTAGAATAAGCTAAAAATTAAAAAAATTAAGCTAAAAATAAGCTAACCATGGAAAACATTAAAATAGTTGATTTTTTACTTTTATTGATATTATATTTATATAGCTATTAGAGCAAAGAAATAATTTCATCGACTTCATCATTCGATTCCATATATTTAGCGGATGAGCTGACTAAAGCGATGTATTTCGTTGGAAGTATGTAGTCATGGCAACATTTGCCATGACGTCGCAGTCCATATCTATAACATAAAAAAAAATACTTAGTATATTTTAAATAATTTAAAATTTCAAAAACAAACCTTATTCTTAAAATTGCGTTCAAGCTTTTTAAATTCATTTTGTTGCGCAACTTTGTTTTGACCATGTTCATTTGGCTGAATACCCTCTCAACCGCAGCATTCGACCATGGCAGTGAAAGAATGTGCAAAGCAAATAATGCCAGTTGCTCGAAAGCTTTGTTTTGGCCAGCATCCTTATACATCAAAACTTCTGACCAAAACTCTATAGTTATTTCCTTTTTTTCCCAATTAATAAGGTGGATTTTTCCAAATTGGGATACTATTTCATCAATATTTTCATATTGGAAATGTTCCAACAACGAAATAATTTCATCTGGCGTTATATTTGCTTGTAGCATATTGCCAACGGCGAAAATATCCATTTGTTTTAGTACTTCAATGTCCAAATTATCGATAAAAATTACCAACAATTATAATACAATCGAAAAAAAAAATTTTTTTGTTATACATTTTTTTAAGCCGAAATAAGCTAAATGAAATTTGAAATAAGCCAGATTTTAAGCTATATGCATTTCAAGTATTTTTCAAGCTATTTCATTTTAAAATATGCTAAATCTAGCTTGAAATAAGCTAAAATGGCAACAATGTGCACGAGTTCAGTCGTTCAGTCGCAGAGAGACGCTTTTTGAAAAAGGCTGCTCTGCGCTTGAATTCGTCTTTGTATGCATCCGTGATCATGCATTCTTTTACACGGGAGCATGTGTGCGTTTATGTCATTTTGGCGCAACAAGAATATTTTGTCTTTTGCCACATTTCAAACTTGGTACCCTAAGAATATGGGCGTATTTACTATTGGGTTTTGATAAAAACACGAATATTTTATGTTATAATATATTTTTGTTAATATTTCAGCATACATTTTATTTGTGTTTACAAACTCAAATCAGCAGTAGCATTAAAATGTTTTACATATATGTAAATTTATAGAAATCAGTCCACTGAGATGGGAACAGGGCATATCGCAGTCGTGTCACTTGAAAGACCGACTGCTCTTCAGTGGTTGATAAAACTTCAAACTAAATCAGTTCTTGTCGATGTTTTGCGAGCGGTTGGTGCCTGCATACCCTACCGAACATTTGCTTTTAAGGGGAGCCGGCTTTTAGGACAATTGTTTTAAACGTTATGTTGAGTGATTTATTTTTTAATGATTCGCAGTGTAAATTTAACTGTCTTTAAACAATTCGTTATAATCCAAGGTATTGGTACAATTAAAACCTAAAATTATTATCATTAAAATAAATTATTATCATTAAAAAATGAGAATTTGTACATTTGTTCCATTTACCTTTATGTATTTTATTATTTATTACTTGTTTAAAGACAGAAAACCTAAACTTATCGAAAAGTAAGAACTAAGAGATGTGGATCACCAAAGAGAGCAGATGGGGCGAAGAGCACCACCGATCTCTTATTTCCACAGCATCAGAAAGTTTGCCGGTCTGCCATATAAACACACACATATCACCCGATAAATACTTTTTTCAATTCCGTTTGCCGGCGATTCTTATTTTGTGTACAGCTGCGTTGACTTTTGCGTCAGAGTTTCACTTATCATGGCTTGAGAATAGACAATAACTTTTTGCAAAAATTGTATTCAATTGTTGAAGAAATAAAAGAAATCTCTGTCTTATTAAGACTTCTAGAATAGAATCTTCTGTTTTCTTATTTATAGACATTATATAAAATTTTTTATTTATTATTCACATCTTTTCAATATATGTATGTATATTCAAAATTCATTTAAACTTCAGTAAAGTCAGTATTATCTCTCCTTCTTGAAGATAATTTCATTATTTCCAGCTGACCTACATCATTCACATACTTTATGATTCATTATAGCTTATTATTTTTAATAGTTCCACATCCCTTATGTAAAGACCACGATCTCCCACTGAATGAAAACACTTTATATCAACTGATAATTATATTCTTTATTGACCGTCCGCTCTGGTCGGTGACTCTGGAACTAATAATAAAGGCGTTGCCAACGGATTGGCCAAGTACCAGCCAAACCTACTGTGGAGATAGGGAGAGAACATTACTCTTCTCCTTAGCGTCGCTCTCTGCTGATACAGGTCGCCACACCCCTTCCTTTTTCTTTAGACGGAGTCTCAGGTCCTCGTTTGGTATATGCTGCTTACTAGACATCGAATCCTCCTGTCCCGTTAAAGCATAGAATTTCGAGACATCCTGTGGGCTTAAAGTCTCTGGTGTTGGCTGTAAAGATATCGAAGTTGAAGGAAAGGAGTCGGCGTCGACGTCCACCGGATTTTTCGACATAGACGATTTAGTCTCTACTATCTTTTTAAATGACCAACGTTTCTGGTGTACGTCTTACCACCCCCGAGTATCTGGACAACATTTCCTTCTCGCTTAGTAACCTCATAAGTGGTCGTATCAAATGTAGGTGTCAATTTGTGTGGGAATACTACGTTCTTTAAAAGTACTTTGTCGCCAATTCGAATATCCAAGTTTCCCGCGCTCCTGGATTTGTCTGCATACTGTTTCCCTTTTTCTTTTTCCAGCAGATCCCTGTCTTTTTCCTCTGAGTCTGCCATCACGCCAACAAGATCCTGGATGCAAGGAATTTTATCCCTTATCACCCTGTTGAACATTAGTTCCGTCGGTGGAGCGCCTGTGGTACCGTGTGGAGTAACATTGTACATCAATACGAATTTCTGGATTTCTTTTTTGTAGCTGTCGTTATTCGCGTGAGCTATCTTCAAACGTTTCACAAGAGATCGGTTCATGTTCTCTACTTCGCCGTTCGCCTGGGGCCAGTAGGGAGGTGTAGGCATTAACCTAATTCCGTTTGTGTGGCAAAAACTTTTGAACTCAGCGCTTACAAATTGCCTACCATTATCAGTCGTTAGCGTCTCTGGAAATCCTAGCCGTGAAAATATCTCCTCCATCTCATCAATAATTATTTTGGATGATATAGATCTGATTATTTTGAATTCTATATACCTTGAGTAATAATCTATGAGGACTAATATATTCTCACCGTTAGGTAATGGTCCCAAAAGATCAGTCGCTAGACATTTCCAGGGTCCATCCGGAAACGGGTGTCGTTGCATCGGAGCAGGCCTTGATGGCATTGACACTATAAGACAATCTCGGCACGCCTTAACGCATTGTTCAGCATCTTTGTCCAAACATGGCCACCAAACCTTTGAACGCAATCTTCGTTTCATGGCACTTATTCCGGGATGCCCTTCGTGAGCAAGGTTAAGGATTACACCTCGTAGTTTTCGTGGAATTACTAACCGGGTGCCTCGAAGTAGGATATCACCGACTATAGACAGTTCCAACCGAAACGGGTAATACGGGCTTGACAAATTCGCTTTCCATGAGTCTTGATTAAGACACGTCATTGCATCCACCATCTCCTCATCTAAGACACTCATTTCGCTGACTTCAGATATGGAGATGGATTTAGGTATGGATGTTGATAGTACGCGAAAAATATGCTCCTCTCCAGCCCAGTCGTAAGGTTCTGCATCAGTATGTTGGCACAGTCTTGACAGCGAGTCAGCAATATTTTCTTTTCCCGTTTTATAAATAACATGAAAACGGTAAGATTGTAGCCTCAGCAACCACCTTTCAATTCTAGCCGGGGGTCGCGATGTTGGTTTAAAGATCGTCTCTAACGGCTTGTGATCAGTTATTAAGTCAAATTTTAAGCCAGCCAAATAAAAATAAAATTTTTCCACACCCCACACTAACGCCAGGCTTTCCTTTTCGGTTTGCGAATATCTCTTTTCTACCGGTGAAAGACTCTTGCTGGCAAATGATATTATTCGTGGGCTATTAGATTTGTCAAACTGTACTAAAACAGCACCAAGAGCCACCGGACTAGCATCCGCAATTAAACAGGTTTTGTCTTTAGGGTTAAAGTATGAGAGTTTTGGTACTGCCGCAATTTTTTCTTTTAATATTTTAAATGCTTCATCCTGCTCTTTACCCCAAGCAAATGGTTCATGACTCTTTAGTAATTTCCTTAATGGCTCAGTACTGTCTGCCAAGTCAACCACAAATTTAGCCACGTATGTAGCTAGACCAAGGAAACTGCGTATTTCTTCTTTATTTTTGGGAGCTCTGAACTCAGTAATAACCTTAACTTTTTCTGGGTCAACTTCGATCCCTTGATCGGACAAAATGTGGCCTAAAAATTTTAATTTCTGAGCTCTTAGTGTACATTTCCTTTCGTTCAGCAGGACATTATTATTTTCCAAAATTGTCCTTACCATTTTTAGAGCTGCGTCATGTTCTTCCATATTGCTCCCAAAGACTATTATGTCGTCAATGTAGTTTAAGGCATTTTGACAAGGAGATAAGAGTTTTTCCATCAACCTTTGGAATATTTCAGGTGCCGAGTTCACCCCAAACATTAAGCGTTTGTATCGAAATAAGCCACGGTGCGTTATAAATGTTGTAATTCCTCTGCTGGATTCGGCCAATTCCAATTGATAATAGGCGTTTTTTAGGTCGAGCCTTGAAAAATGTTTGGCACCTCTTAGTTTAGTCATAAAATTATCAAAAGTTGGCAATGGGTAGTTTTCTCTCTGAATAGCTTTATTTGCACGCCGCATATCTATGCATAAACGAATATCACCATCATCTTTAAATGCAATAACCAAAGGTGATATCCAGGCGCTTGGGCCAGATACGGGTTCAATAATGTCCATGCTTAATGCTTCTTCGAGTTTTTTATCAATTTTTTCTTCCAACGCTGTCGGTACACGCCTAATGGGTTGTTGGATGGGAGTAATGGATTCGTCAATCGAAAGTTTGACTGAAACGTCACGCCATTTGGGAAACGGTTCAACTTTTTCAACTCTATGTACGCTTAGTCCCAGTCTTAAGACGTTGAGTTTTATAGCTGTGTCACGTCCTAATAAAGATTGTTTACTATTTTCAATAACGTAAAAAGTAGCAATCAGTTCAGAATCGTTCCGTACCGAAATCGGTGCTTCGAAAATTTGTAATACCTTGAGAAGACGGTCTGAGGCATAAGCTCTAAATTGGTTTACTGATTCTGTGCGAGCGTTAAATATGACTGCTTTTCCCTCGCGCAATTGTTGCCAATCCGAATGACTGATTAGGTTATACTTTGAGCCCGAATCAATAATCATAGCGACCGTGTGACCACTTATCTTACACCGAATCTCTTCCTCGCCGGATTGCTCAGTTGCTACTCTAAACAGGTTGGTAGACTTTGAATCGCCATACTCATTTTGAGTTTCATTACTTATTGATTGTATCCTAGTATTTCCCTGACGTCGCCGTTTTCGATCCGGTTCTTCCATACCGAAGTTTGATTTTCGTACCCTCGTACGGCATTTCTTATAAAAATGCCCAAGTCTATCGCATTTCCTGCACCTCATGTTCCTAGCGGGGCATTCCGCGCTGTTTTCCCGATGCCCTCTTCTACCACATCTTCCGCACTCCATACCCGTGTCGTGCTGTATAATTTTGTTAATGCTGCTTGCGGTAGTTGGTGCGGCCATAGACTGCGTTTGTTTGTTTACTTGCTCATCTATGCAACATGTTTTTACGACCTCCTCCAAAGTTTGCTCATTTTCAAGCAATTTCTTCTTTAAGTCTAATGGGGCCCAGACATCAATAATTTTGTCGATTAAACAGATTTCTTCGATTTGTCTCTTAGTCTCCCCAAATGAACACTTAGCGATTTGTTGGCGTAATCTAAGTAAAAACTCCGTAAAACCTTCTCCTTCCACCGGTGTCATCGATCGAAACAGGTGCCTTTCGAACGCGGAATTTCGCAGCGGTGAAAAATACTCATTTAGTTTGCTTACCAAAGGAGTAAACACGTCATTTTTAGCCTTGTCGTCGTATGGTATCAAGGCGCCGGGAATGCTATACACAACCGCCTGAAGCTGAGGTCCACCCAAGTGAAGGAGTTTATTCCTCTTTTTATATACATTTGTGATCTCCTCCGTGTCCACATATATAGTAAATGCGCGCAGCCACATTTCCCACTCCGTACGCCATAGTGCCTTGTCCATCGCCTGGCATAGAAAAGGTTTCAGCTCCGTCATAATTATTCCTGAAATTAAAACGTAAATCCCAGAATAATCCTCCAACATCGGGCTTTTCTGTATTCTCATTCTTTGCTCTTATTCCATTAGGAACAGATAACTTAAGGCTTTTACTTCTTTCCTTGATCTCATTCCATTTGGAATAGGCGCTTTTTTTTTAAAAGCTCATTCCATTTGGAATTTCTTGTTCTCATTCCATTTGGAATAGACTCTTTTATTTTTTTTGGATCTCATTCCATTTGGAATAGACTCTCTCCTCTCTTTTTTTTCATTTCTTTAATCCTTCCATTTGGCAAGGATTTTTCCACTCTGGCAATGCTGTGTGCCTGTGTCTTCTTCTTCTTCTTTTTTTTTTCTACTTACATTTCTTTTGCACACTTCACGTTTGCTGATTTAATCGATTCGATTATCTTTTTCTTGCAAAAGGGTTAGCACAAACTTAATCTCCGGCTTTATCCTCGTCGCCAGTGTAAAGACCACGATCTCCCACTGAATGAAAACACTTTATATCAACTGATAATTATATTCTTTATTGACCGTCCGCTCTGGTCGGTGACTCTGGAACTAATAATAAAGGCGTTGCCAACGGATTGGCCAAGTACCAGCCAAACCTACTGTGGAGATAGGGAGAGAACATTACTCTTCTCCTTAGCGTCGCTCTCTGCTGATACAGGTCGCCACACCTTATAATAATAATAATAAATAAAAAATAGGTACCTTAAAAATGTGATATTATTTTGTTAATTTGTGTACGTGTCTCTCTGTCCAAAAAAAAAGACGCACCCGAAAAATGAAAATTTTGTTCTAATCATGACTGTCATTTTCCAGTAGGGCAAGTATAAACAAAACAAAAAGAGAAGAGAGAGAAATTTACCAGCCCCTTGCTATATACCATATGTACATACATACATATGTAGCTGACTAGCTTTTGCCGGTTGTAATCAGTTATCGTTCTTGACACCCGCGGATAGGCTTTTGTTTCCAAATTTGAAATTAAAAGTAGTGCATTGTGTTCTTGTTTTCTCTCTGCTTGTTAATGTATCTTAAAATATTATTAAGACACACATTTTTATTTAAATAAGAGAAAATATAAATTTATATTTTATACATATTATCGAAGTTTTAGTTTAAAACTTTCCCATCAAAGAAATATAACATTTGTGTTTGATTGCCTGTAAAAACATTTTAAGTTAAAGTATTACAAAACGTTTATAGTAAAAGTGCTTAAAAGATATTAACAAACAACAATTTACAAACAATTTTGACAGCTTTTTTGTTTCTTAGTTTTGTCCTCAGTTATGTATATTAATTGTTTTTTTGATAGCCTCAAGCCTCAAAAGAAGCTTACTAAGCTCATTTGTTTTATTTGTTTCCCAGCAATTCTAGAAGCTGATTTTACAGAGAACACAATAACGAAGAAATTAATATGATTTTGTGCCCACCCATACATACATGTAAAACATTCACACTCACGAGTAAAATCAATTAACAAGGCATGCCATAAATACATAAAACAGAGATAGAGAGAGAGAGAGATAGCTATTTTCGCCATAACAAGTGTGTGAATTAAGCTTTATAGGTTGAAACCCGTGGGGGTTCCAAGCAGTTCTATTTTTCCTCTCGGACGAGCAGCTCGATACGATCGCAGTCTTTAAGATGGATCTATACTACCTGCCCCTGGTCAGCGCATGTCGCTCCGTTCTCATGGTAGCCAAGGCGCTGAATCTTGACCTGAACAAGAAGCTACTGAACACCCTGAACAAAGAGCAGCTGAACCCGGATTTCATCAAGATCAACCCCCAGCACACCATTCCCACGTTGGTGGACAATGGCTTCGTCATCTGGGAGTCGCGTGCCGTCGCCGTTTACCTGATTGAGCAGTACGCCAAGGACGACTCCCTGTACCCCAAGGATCCCAGGAAGCAGGCCGTGATCAACCAGCGCCTCTATTTCGACATGGGCTCCATGTATCCATCGTTGGCCAACTACTACTACAAGGTGTTCATCACCGGCCAGTACGGCAGAGAAGAGGAATTTAGGAAGGTCCAGGAAGCCTTTGATTTCCTAAACACCTTCTTGGAGGGCCAGGAGTTTGTGGCTGGTGACCAGTACACCGTGGCCGACATCGCCATTCTCGCCAGTGTCTCCACTTTCGATGCCCTCGAGTTCGACCTCAGCAAATACCCGAATGTGGCCAGGTGGTACGCCAATGCCAAGAAGATTACTCCTGGCTGGGAGGAAAACTGGGCCGGCGCACAGGATGTGAAGAAGGTGGTCGATGAGAAAAGGAATGCAGCAAACTAATATATTTATCTTCCTCAACGATGAATTTTTCATATTTTTATATTTAAAATAAATAATTATTGTTATTTACTTATAAATGTGGAATTGCTTTAAATATTCTAAAATATTTTTAAAGGTCAAAAAATTTGTATTATAAACTTGAACCCATCGTCGGGATGCAGTCATAATAATTGGATAATCACAGAGCTTGAGCACAGAGGATTGATATAATTTGATATGAATATTACTAATATAATGCTTATTTAATTAAACAACTCCGGGAGTCTTATTTGCTTATTAAGTCTCCGAACCACTCATATGTAGGTATGCCAATTTTCACAATCACTAACCATTGATAACAGGTAATTGCTCTTCAACCTAATTGTTTTAGATTTGGGCCCCGAATCATATGCACTTATTAACTAAAATACGATGAGTGGCCATTTTCGAAGCGAGCAGTACATGAGATTTCGCAACCATTTGGCAATATAAGAGAGAACCATGGCTGGACGCAATCAGTTGTGCTTTTTCTCTTCAGCGAACAGCACGCAAAAAATCGCACTCGCAACATGGATTTCTACTACGCACCTCGTGGAAGTGGATGTCGTACGGTTATAATGGTTGCCAAGGCTCTCGGTCTGGAGCTGAATAAAAAGCAGCTGCGACTCTCGGAGGGGGAGCACCTGAGGCCAGAGTTCCTGAAACTCAATCCCCAGCACACCATCCCCACGCTGGTGGACAACGGATTCGCCATTTGGGAGTCCCGTGCCATTGCCATTTATCTGGTGGAGAAATACGGCAAGGATGACTCTCTCTATCCCAAGGATCCTCAGAAGCGTGCCTTGATCAATCAACGCTTGTTCTTCGATTTGGGTACACTTTACGATTCTTTCAGGAGATACTATTACCCATTCGTCCGTACTGGTCAGTTTGGAACTGCCGACGATTTCAAGAAGGTCGAAGCCGCCTTTGAGTTCCTGAACATTTTTCTCGAGGGCCAGAACCACGTGGCTTGCAGCCAGTTCACCCTCGCCGACATTGCCATCCTGTCCAGCGTTTCCACTTTCGATATCGTTGAGTTTGACATCAGCAAGTACATTAATGTGGACAGGTGGTACGCCAAAGCAAAGAAATATACCCCTGGATGGGAAGAGAATTGGGAGGGCCTGCAGCAATTGAAGACTGCTTACGAGGATCAAAAGGCCGCTGCAAAATAAAACTTTGCTAAATATTTATTTTACTTATTTACCTATAACTTGAATCTTAGCAAACGTGTGCATTTACAAATAAAAAAATATTAAATTGATCTGCAAAGAATTTCTTTTTTCTCTGCCAATCAATTGTGTTTAAATAACATCTACTTTAGATATTAAGAGCGTAATATCTCTTCTTTTTTGTAAATCCATTAAAACCGAGAACTATAAATTTACAAACAAATGTATATAACACCACCTGTTCGCTATCATAAACACAATCAACTTACAATCAGGAAAACAAACATAAACAAGTAGAGGAGAGTGATAAGATTCCTAAGTAAAGTGTGTTTCTCAGCCGTTTTTCTTAGTTCTAATTCTTCTCTCCAGCGAGCAATACGACACAGATATGGATTTCTACTATACGCCACTGGGCAGTGGATGTCGCATAGTTGTTATGGTGGCAAAGGCCGTCGGAGTTGATCTGTCCAAGAAGCATTTGGATACCTCGAAGATGGAGCACCTGAAGCCTGAGTTCCTGAAACTAAACCCCCAACACACCATTCCCACCCTGGTCGATCATGGATTCCCTTTTTGGGAATCTCGTGCCATTGCAGTCTATTTGGTGGAGAAATATGGAAAGGACGACTCCCTTTTCCCAAAGGATCCCAAGATCCGTGCTGTAATTAATCAACGCCTTTACTTTGACATGGGCACCTTGTACGTGGCTTTGGCCAATTACTACTACAAAGTTTTTGCCACTGGCCATTTCGGCACTGCAGAGGAATTCAAAAAAGTGGAAGACAGCTTCGAATTGTTAAATACCTTTTTAGAGGGCCAGGACTACTTGGCGGGTGATCACCTCACTGTGGCCGACATTGCCATTCTTGGAAGTGTTTCTACTTTTGATGCTCTTGAATTCGACTTTAGTAAATATTCCAATGTTGCCAAGTGGTATTCGAATGCAAAGAAAGTTACTCCCGGCTGGGAAGAAAACTGGGAAGGTGCATTGGAACTAAAAAAGGTAATTGATGCGAAAAAGAATGCAGCAACAAATTAAATTTACTTAAAAGATGTAGCTTTCCAAATAAAAATAAATCAAGACCAGTAGAACCCTACAAAATTTGCATAATTTAAGAAGAGGGCAAATTCAAAATCTATCTTCACATTCTATGAACTTCTATGAACCGCAAACAAATATCAACCAGGGTCAGCATAGTACTTGAAGTTCTGTGTTAAGCAGTTTAATCGGAACATGTTGTCTGTTTCTGCGAATACGGATGTTTCTAGAATTAAATGGGCAGTTTGATTAAGGCATTCGTTCCTCGTAATCATAAGAGCTTATTTTTCATAGTATATGATTAGGCATAAATGTTTGGTAAAAAATAATGACGGTGATTTACCGGCTGCCTTTTAGGAAATGTTTACTTTATGTGTTGCCATGACAGATAATTGTTAAAATTTAATTAAGGCGCTTAGAATTATTCAAGTACAAAATTTTCATTTTTGTAATTATTAACCGAGCAGAGTAAGAGTTAGTAATCTCAATTTCTCCTTATCCAAAAATTCATTTATTAAATATATATTTATATTGGATCTAAGATGACACTATTATTTTTTTCCGTAATCAGTGATTAGGTCTCTGAGTCAGATATAAACATGGTTTAATGATTTTAGGGAGCTTTCCTACTTAATTTCTTATTTGATATGTAGTTCCATCTCAATTAGTCACAGCTCAAGCAAACAAAAACGTTAAAAGTGAGTTCTAACAATGACAAACACTATTCGAATAATCTTATTTATGGGCGATAACAGAGCAGCTATTTTGCTATATATACGACGGAGCTCTCTGATAGCGTCAAATCAGTTTACTATTTGCACTCCAGTACCTCGCACGGTATACTCGAATTCGCAATGCCCAACATGGATCTCTACAATATGCCCGGTGCTCCGACCAGCCGTGCCGTTCAGATGACTGCCAAGGCTCTGGGCCTCGAACTGAACTCCAAGTTTATAAACACCATGGAGGGTGACCAACTGAAGCCGGAGTTTGTGAAAATCAACCCACAGCACACAATTCCCACCCTGGTAGACAACGGATTCGCCATCTGGGAGTCCCGCGCCATTGCGGTCTACCTGGTGGAGAAGTACGGCAAGACCGATTCCCCACTCTACCCCAAGGATCCCCAGAAGCGAGCTGTGATCAACCAGCGGCTGTACTTCGACATGGCCATCCTGTACGATGCCCTCACCAAGTACATGTACCCCCTCTTCCGCACTGGCCAGCTGGGGGATCAGGAGTCGTTGGACAAGTTAAATGCCGCCCTGGAGTTGCTCAACACGTTCCTGGAGGGTCAGGACTACGTGGCCGGCAGCAAACTGTCCGTGGCCGACATCGTCATCCTGGCCACCCTGTCCACCATCGAGATGATTTCGTTTGACTTGCAGAAATTTCCGAACGTGGAGAGGTGGTACAAGAATGCCCAGAAGGTCACTCCTGGTTGGGCAGAGAACTTGGAAAGCCTTAAGCAGTTGCAGAAGTTCATAGAGCAAAAGATGGCAGAAAAGAAGTAAATGGTTAGGATAATTTAATTTATAAATAAAAATCTATGAAAATACACATTATGGAAGAAAATATTCTTATTTGATGTGTAAGCGCTCTTAACTAGAAAAGGGTTCTTAATTTTCCTATAATTTTAATTAATTAATTTTCTTTAAAAAGTCTGGGACGAAAACATGGAAATCCTTAAGCTGGCGAAGAAGTTTCTGGATGAAAAGCTAGCGAAAAAGAAATAAACTATGTATGTATATGGATTGTTAATAAAAACTATTTGATGCGCGTAATTTATAAATGTTAATGTTTTTTGTTTGCTTTATCATGCTGACTCAATGTCGTGCTATCACAAGTTACTTAAGTTTTTATAATCTACTCAAAGTATTTCCTATCGCTAAGAATCGGATTAATAATTTCGTTCAATTATTTGATAACCGCAAATCAAAGCAACTGGGGTATCTGATAAGAATGAATCATTACTTTTAGCTCAAGGACAGGGAACCCACCATTTGTACCTGTATTTTCAGTCATAATCTTTTTTTCTAACGATTACAAAAATTAATGGCATGCCGATTATTTTTCTTATCTGGGATTATTTGACCACTAACAATCTTTTAATCAAAAACAAAAACGAAGGTTGAATAAATTGCCTAGAACCATATAGTCAGTTTGATAAAAATGTGTCAGACAGAGGATATAGTAACCGGTTTGGATCAAACTTAATGATACTAATCAAGAATATTTAATAAGGAAGTAAATTTCATAAGGTAGGAAATGTCTTTAACATACCATAGAATACCATGCTATAAACAACAGTAGCACATTGACCTCCATAAGTAATTTTCCCATTGTTAAACATTTGACCCCTTTATTAACAATGTCATTCGTGTCACATTCGTGACATTCTAAGCGGTCACACACCCCGAACGACCTACTATCAATTTGTAATTACTGCATTCAAAATAAATGAAATTTTTAAGTAAATTCAGATTGGTAGCCGTAACTATTGCACGCATGTATCCCTAAAAGTATATATGGGTTCAGTACCTGGCCATTAGCTAAACACTTCTAATTGCACCGAAGCGTTATCACCGATAGCAATATCACTCGGGAAAGTCGCCCGACACTGGATGACTATATATGGAAATCGATTTGATTTCGGGCGTCCTTTGCACTGGCTATAAAAGCCGATGGCATTAATTCGCTGCGGTCAGTTGAGGGTACGTACCGCAGGACTTTTCACCATGGACTTCTACTACCATCCTTGCTCGGCTCCTTGCCGTTCCGTCATAATGACAGCCAAGGCCCTGGGCGTTGAGTTGAACATGAAGCTATTGAAGGTCATGGACGGGGAACAGCTGAAGCCGGAGTTTGTGAAGCTCAATCCACAGCACACCATTCCCACGCTGGTGGACAATGGGTTCTCCATCTGGGAATCCCGGGCCATTTTGACTTACCTGGTGGAGAAATACGGACAGGATGACTCTCTATATCCGAGCGATCCCGAGAAGCGGGCTGTAGTCAATCAGCGACTGTACTTCGACATGGGCACCCTGTTCCACAGTTTCATCGAGGCCATCTACCCACAGCTCAGGAACAAGCAGCCCGCAGATCCGGAGGCCATGCAGAAGGTGGACAGCGCCTTCGGCCACCTGGACACCTTCCTGGAGAACCAGGACTATGTGGCTGGCGACTGCCTTACCGTGGCCGACATTGCGCTCCTGGCCTCCGTCTCGACCTTCGAGGTGGTCGACTTCGACATTGCCCAATATCCGAACGTGGCCAGGTGGTACGAGAATGCCAAGGTGGTCACTCCCGGCTGGGGGGAGAACTGGGAGGGGGTCCAGATGATCAAAAAGTTCGTCCAGGAAAACAGCCAGAAAGATTGATTCGATAAAGGGATCAGCACCGAATTATACCTCAGCACATTGTTGCCATATATGGTTATATTGTACTAACACAAATAAACTCAAAGATTGTATGTTGTATTTGTAAACTGACAACGTCTATATGGACACCGAGATTGGGTACTTTAGATGATAGATGAAGTGGGTTGGCCAAGTAGACTGTTTTTCTTGTTCATTCGCTTATCAACGAATACTTCTTAATTTTTATTTTTATGTTCTATTTATAATTTTTTTTTGCATAAAATAATTCGGAAAGTTTTGCTATAATTGTTTAAAAATGGGAATAAATATAAGTGACATTGAAAAAATTTTGTTTTTTGTTTAAAAAACTTTAAGTATTTGTTTTATTTACTTTAAAAAATCCCTTGAATGTTACTTAATGTGTAAATAAAGGCAATGGGCGATATAAATCGGTTACATTAATCAGTCGCTTTATTAATTAAAAATTCCAATCTCTGATATGGCTCATAAAAGTGAGATTGCGTATCGTTTAGCTCTGTAAATTCCACGATTGCAGTTGAATGCACGCGATGATTCATTGACAAATAGCTTTGTCCACTGGGACCCCTTTTCCCCACAGAGAACACGAGTGGATTGGGCCGTTGACCGGCTGACTATTAGAACAAACGCTAGATTAGTTAGCTAACAAACGTGCTGTTTGTGGCATTGAACAAGTACGAATTACATATGCAAGTGCACAAAGGTTTAACATAGCTCACAATGCCATAAAAACCTCAAGGGGGTTGTCAGAGAAGTTATGAAAATAATATTATACTGAAGTATATATATAAGATGGAATAAACAATCAACAATACATAGCTCATATTTTCATATGATACTATAAAACAAATATATATTTTAGTAAAATAATTTAGCAGTTTATGTTGAACTCTAATCTTTTCCAGGTCACTAAAATACATTATTTAAACAAAGCTTGGTTTGATTGTTAGACTCCCATTAAATTGTTATATTTGCCACCTTTAAACAACCCCATGTGAAAGACAAAAGTGAAATCGTTTTTATAGCGTCATTAAAAGTATATTTTGCATTCCACCTAATTTACGAGCCAGCACTAAACCTACATCCCATTGCGCCACCGCTAGTTGGACAGCTCGGTCACCGCCTCCGAAGCCTCCACTAGCTTCTGTAGCTGGCGGTACTTCCGGATGGCGTTGCGCACGAATTCCGTTGCCCGACGCACCCGTTCCGGGGTCATCTCTTCGGCTAGCATGCGACCCACATCCTGGGCTCCGCCGGTGCGCAGAATATTCACAGCCCGGGCGGGTATTTCGCAGATCGGGGTGATCCTGCACAGGGCACTGGTGATGGCGCCGCCAAAGAGGATAATCCCCACGGCGGACAGAACCACGGCGGCGATGCGGAAGAGCGTGGACATCAGGATCGAGGGCAGCAGATTGGAAGCGAATGCCAGCAGGGGATTGGGGGAGGCGGAGGAGTTGGGTTGAGTGGCCGCCACAGAGGTGCTGTCAGCTTGCCCGGGCGCGTTTGTGGGCACCAGGAATCCCTCGTAGCCCGACTGCACCACAATGGAACCCGGATACGGATAGATGCCAGGTGCTGCTCCCGTAACAGGAGACGGATAGGAACCGGCGAACGGAGCATAGGCTCCGTACTGACTCAGATACTGCTGGAAGGCCTCGGGCGTGAGAATTCCTCCGCCGTAAATGGTGGTGGGATCAATGCTGCTCCCACTGGCAACATTATCCGGCTGTGAACAACAAAACGGGAATAAATTAGTCATTTTTAAAAATAAATATCACTTAAACTTAAATTTATATATATAATATTTATTTATATCTTAAAAGAAAAGAAAAAAAGAAAGAAAAGAATATTTAACAGGAATATATAGTAAAATTCTTGGTAAATCTATTTATGACATAGTTAAGGAAAAAATCTAGGAAATTAATGTTCATTTGGTTATATTTGCAAAAATCGTTAAAACAAAAGACGTTATAATAATTATGCTTCTTATTTTCATTTATTTGTATTACCAAGGAACAACTTCAACTTTATTAGTGATTTAGCTTAATTTATCATAAACAGGCAATTCAAATTAATTTAACGTATATGGAAAGATAATCCATAATTAATAATAAATCCATTCAGATGAAGCTTTTCTTAAAACGGACTACAACGAGATTATATTCTAACTTAAAGAAAAGATCGCTTTAAATCCCTTTCCTTTTCAAGCACCTCGATAGTTTGTATTATTTTTTATGGAACATTATATGATGTACTCACCACCGCTGTCTCCGAATTCTCCGTGGCTGGAGGGATGGTTTCGTTGCTGGTTACAGGGGTTGCATCCTGGGGTGCACTGCCTGCCGCGCCGCTCCCCTCGAGCAGTTTGTCCGACTCCTCGATGGTGTTGGGCGTGGCAGCCGGAGGAGCAGCATCCAGGGCGGGCACACATACCGATCCCCGGACCATCAGCACCAGGAGCAATAGCAATTGGGATCTGCACTTTTTCGGGAACATCTTCTTCGCTTGGTTTGGAACAGACAACTGATCCTGGCTAAGGACCGATCAGTTCTCTTATAGCCTCGTTTGCAGTGATCGGCCATTTTCCCCAAAATATTTTGCAATTTATGTCACATTTTCCGAGAATCGTTAGCCTGTCAAGGGTCCCTTTTTCCTAATCCTTCACACAAAGCATTTTCCATACCTTACCTGCGAGGAAAACAAAACAGGTAGAAGATGCCGACGCCGTGGGACCTCGTCACCTGCAACACTATTATGTGCCGGCTAATTACCACTGTGCCGGCCATGTCCTTGAGGGGCTCTAAGAAATGTCAAGCACGCGATGAAGTCGTGACTGTCGAAAAATGTTTGATGTAAACACGTTGAGTTTCAAGTGATGCCAATCAAGCCCCTCCAACCGCCTTTATCAGGCGCTCTGAATTGGAAAATCTGTTGGCAATCAATAAAATGGTTTGGGTAAAAGGAAAACATAGCTTGGGATATTATGTAGACGTATAATTTTAGACACGACAGGGAACATTTTGACCGAGTTTCGGCCCCCACCTCCAAGTGGTCGAAACAGGTGAACACTCGGGCGGTCTGTCGTCCCTGGCAACGTTCGTTATGAAAACTAAACGAAAACAAACGCGTCCAAAGACAGCGCGACTTAACATGCTCTGAAAATTGGAGAAGTCAGACAGCGGATACATCTACATCCGTGGACAGTGACGTCGGCAAGTTGGGACAGCCGAGGCAGAGATTCTATCGCTGGGATAGCACAGGACAGGATCCCACGCACCAACACCTACACCTACACCTTCATCTTCTCACCTCCAGCAGCAGCATCGGAATCGAAATTGAGGGAGTCCTTGCTGGTCCCCAAACAGTCCTCAACTCAGCTCCGGCGAACGCGGACTCGACGACACTCGACGGCATACTGGGGAACTGCATTGACATCGACTCGGTGGCCGTGGTGCAGCACAAGCTGGTGCACAGAATTGTGTGAGTAGTGAGTAGCCATGCGGTCCGGTCCAACGCCTTCTGTGCATATTCCATAATGAATAAATAAGTGAGTGCAATTAAGTGCGGGCCAAAGCACAGCGATTACCATTTCTGGATAGTATTTCTCGTGGTATGTGTTTAGACGGCGCGCATTCCCCTTAAAAATTGTTTCAAAAATTAAAAATTATTTATGTGTTAGGTATAAAATATACAAAATAATTTGCATAATTTTAATAATTACGGAAAACCTTTCATTTTACGCGCTCTCTACATGCATTTTAGATTAAATTGCTGCATACTTTTAGGCTGTCGAATTATTAAATGAAATTAGAATTTTGGAAAATTAATTACAAAAATAATTAACATGTTAACGTTAATGGCTACATAATGGGGAACGAATTTAATTAATGATGAACTTAATTTATAGCTCCTTTACTTTTTGTTTGTAGTTTCTTTGAAAGAACATTTCGCTTGCTAGAAAATATAAAAAAAAATAAAATAAAAAAGTAAACAAATTGCAAAACCAAACAAAAGACTCGAACTTTGCCGTGTGTCTTAGGACCCTTACAAAGAACAATTGACATTAATTAACTAGAGGCATAAAATCGATGCATTGATTATTCTGTGTTGACCACCAAGTTTTTTGGGGCTGCGTGTGCCAAAGTGGCCGTCTGGTGCTGGCTAACTTGGCATTCAAGTTTCGGCCAATGAGCGACACGAAGCGTATTGTAACCGAATTCGTTTATTGCCTACTCCTCAGAGGTGGCAAGATGTCGCCGCCCGTGCTGTATTACCTGCCGCCCAGTCCGCCCTGCCGCAGCATCCTCCTGCTGGCCAAGATGCTCGACCTTGACTTCGAGCTGAAGATCGTCAACATCCTGGAGGGGGAGCAGCTGAAGCCGGACTTCGTGGCCATGAACCCGCAGCACTGTGTGCCGACCATGAACGACGAGGGTCTGGTACTGTGGGAGAGGTAAGTTGGATGCCACAACTTCTTGACCCAACCTCTAATATCCTTCGTTTGCAGTCGAGCGATCCTCTCCTACCTGGTGGCAGCCTACGGAAAGAGTGACGAACTATATCCCACTGACATCCGTGTGAGGGCCTTGGTGGATCAGCGACTCCACTTCGATCTGGGCACCCTCTACATGCGACTCACGGACTACTATGTGAGTGCATTGTTGCGTAACCTTAATCACAGATATACCATACATTAACATTAAATTATTCATGAAACCTTGAGCAAGGGGTTAGAAATTAAAATTAAACCTCAATAAATATTTACATATAAAATGAGGTCCCTTAATGCTTAATACAAAGAAATAGCTATTTGATTGTAGACAACAGCAACGTAAACACTTAATTTTATTAGTTTATTTTTTTAATTGTAGACCACATAAATGTAAACATTTATTTTACAATGTATAAACCATTTCGTTAGATAAAAAAAGAGGAGATATACATTTCTTTGTTCATATTGAATTAACCTTTGCATTATTGAAGCATTCAGTGTGCTTTTTTATTTTTAGGAATAAAGGTTTTAAGGTTTTATACTAAACATATATCTGAAAATCATTTATTTGCTAAAATATTTAATAATTTTGTATTTTACTTACATTATCTAATCCCAGTTCCCCACAATGTTTATTGGAGCCCCTTTGGACGAGGGAAAGCGCGCCAAACTGTCGGAGGCTGTGGGCTGGCTGAACACGATCTTGGAGGGAAGACAATATGCAGCCGCGGATCACTTTACCATCGCGGATCTTACGCTTTTGGTGACCGTTTCCCAGCTGGAGGCCTTCGAGTTCGAACTGCGACCCTATAAACATATCCGCCAGTGGCTCGATCGCTGCAAGGATCACATGGCACCGTTTGACTACGAGGAGCTGAATGCCAACAAGGCCAATCTGTTGGCCGACATGTTCAAGGCCAAGATGAACCAATCCACCGGCACCTAAGATTCCTTTAAAAAGCGTTATACCATTAGGGAAATATATTAAATGTTAGTTGTGTAAGTGTTGTATTGAATAAACGAGTTTTTCTGTGAGTCAAGTATCTTTTTTATAATTGGAGACCTACAAAATGGGTTTCATTCTTATATGTAATAATATCAGCGTATGAGAGCGTATTTCTACAACCTGAGCCACCTAAGTATATACGACTTCTCCTTTCAAGCCATTATAAAGTTTGGCAAATAGCTTATTAATTATATTTTTATTAAATTATATTTTTTGTAAACTCATTTTATATCCGTTTACGCGGACTGCGGTGGACAATTAATTAATTTATCTTTAATCCTAAAATATATTATTTTATAAAACATGCTAAGGTAAGTTGCAATCGTAGATAATCTTATATTTTTGTTTCAATTTTCACTCATCAAAGAAAGTGGTGTATTCTTCAAATTCCCTGACATTGCACTTTTATAGCAGTGTTATATTAATAAGTATGCTTCAGCCGAGCCGAAACGAAGTTTCAAATGTAATTTTCATCTGAATTGGCAGTTAACTTAATTGAGTTTCAGTCCCCGAAGTGTGACAATCTAGATGAATTGACTGGTTCCAGAGGGGGCCGAAATGAGCTGTTAACCGGCGACCGGACGCCCACAAAAAGACGACATGACACACATTTTAAAAATACCGCCACCCAAAAACAGAGACCAAAGGACGCTGCTCCAAATGGCCGCAGGCAAATGAACAATGAACAGTATTAACTTGTGTGTTTGGCAGTGGTCAAAAGGAGGGCGTGGCCGAGGTGGCAACAAACTAGCGGATGCTGATGGCGGCACCTGTAAAACCTCAACTGAAATTTAATGGCACGACAACAAAAAAGGCGGAGGAGCGCAGCATCTATGAAAGGAGTGGGCTATTTTTAAACCGGACATCGGCAGCCCGCAGCCAGGCGGCCACGGCAGGATAATGGAATCCGGCTTCACAGTCTCAATTTGGCCGCTGACAATGGCGGCCGCATCTCTGGCTTTGGCTTTGGCTTTGGGATTAGCCGTAGCTCTGATAGCCACCGGAAATGGCCATCTTCAGCAGCAAGTGGCCAACAGCAAACAGTCGCATCTTTGGCTTGGTGGGTCTGAAAAAGTGCAGTGTAATTCAAATTGTTTCCTTCAAAACTCAGTTCATTTTTATTAAATACTCAAACTATTTTATAAATTTATAAATGTGTGTGGTTCAGGAAATATTATATTTTACATTCAATACTCTATAATAAAAAAAAAATTTGTATAAAGCTTGGCTTAGAGAAATCTCTATAAGCATTATTTTGAACGTGTAAGCCTACACCTTTTATGCATTTTGTTTTTTATTTCTATTTTTTTAAAACTTGTTTTGTTTTAAAAGTGCAACTTTTATAAAGTCTGTTTTTCCATATTTTTTTACTACTTGTTTTACTTAAGTGCCATAATGGAAGTTTCAAATATTTAACATATTATATTTGGTAAACACAAAGTTTACTATTATTAAAATTAATGAGTATTTTACATACTCTTTCAGCCTCTTGATTTCAAATAAATTTATTTTTATTAAGTAAAATGATGTATTTATAATTCCTTTCTTTTCAGATTGCTCCTGCCTACATTTGAACGAGCGGAATGCCACCCAATGGGGCAGGTTGGCCATTAACGCCAGCCAGGCGCTGGGCGCCAAGAACAACTGCCTGATGGTCTTCATTGCCGGCATGGATGACGAGCTGGTGGCCTTTCGGCTCGAGCAGTTGCAGCTGCGCCCCGGGTGAGTGGCTATGCTTCCGGCGAGATTCCGGAATCTGGGATCTAGCATTCGGGTATCTGTCATTCGGGGATTGGTGCGGGGAACAGACAGCCGATTGAATCGATCGAATCGGCGGACAGCTGCCGACGACAGCCATCAAAATCGAATCCGTCGATGGATAAGGCTGGCGTCCGTCGAGGAAATGCCGTGGCCAAATGGGGAATGGGAATGGGAATGGGGCTGCAGCCAAATCCCCAACGCAACGGCAATGTAATTAAAATACCTTGCGAAGGCCATGTGGGCGGTCCGTTTTTGGTGGAGCCGTGGCCGCCGGCACGCCTGGTTATTTATATAAATCCCGCAAATTTGTGTCAATTTATGCAAAATTGTATGCAGCCACAGTTGTGCCATAAATATAACGCACACAATATTTCGGAATCGATTTGTCAATAAAATTGGAGAGCACTGGCCAAGCACATTTCAGTGGAGCTTGGACCGAGTGTGCCGCCGAACGTATGAGTAATATTTAAGGTGCATCAGTCGCAAGGAAAACGCGTCCGAGTCGCTGCCAAGTCGCGCGCAATTCGATTGTCCTAGTCGGTGGTTGAAAGTGTCAGTGAAGTGAAGTCGACGAGGAACCGCAGTTAAGCCGCCGGTAAAACGCCCGTAAATCGCCCGTAAATCGCCTGTAAAACGCTCAAAAAACGCGTACGAAAATTCGATAAAGCTTTGAGAAAATATCAATAAAATTAAGAAATTTTTAAAATCTTGGAACTTATTTCAAATTGACATTAAATATAAAAATATTTAATTTCTGTTTTAACTTGAAAAGAGGCATAAAATCATTTGTGAATTTCCAACTATTCGCTTTTCAAATTACCAAATATAAATTTTTAAAAATCATATACAAGTTATTAAAATTAATTTATTTCTGATTTTTTAAATTTCTTTATTTTTAAACTCTAATGGCATTGGATCGTCTTTTCTCTTAGTTAAAGTAACTAATAAAACCCTTCGGAATTAATTAGTTTTTAAATTAAAAGTTTATATATCGCTTGTGAAGAGTCGAAAAGAAGAACGCGTTCAAAATGTCCATGGATCCATCGGTTTCCCTAGAGGATCTGGAGCGTGTGAGTGAGAAATGTTTTGGTGAATAAATTGTTCATATATGAGAGCAATCTTATTTAAAATCCAGCGACGACGTCGCACCAGTTCCGCCCGCAAGCAGTCACAGACTCCGCAACCACCATCGCACCTGGCGGATTCGGAGGCCATGGCCGTGATCAACGAGATTTTCAATCCCACGCTGAAGCTGCCGGAGTCCAGTGGCCACTACACGTTGCCCGAGGAGATGAGTGCCGATGACCATGTGGCGCCCCATGAACTGGACATTGCCAAGCTGGCCGAGCTGAAAGAAGTAAGTGCTAAGGGCACCCTAAGCTGGCCATGATTGATTTTCCCGTGGCTCGTTCCAAGGTCTTCTCCCTCTTCGATACGGACTGCGATGGACTGATCTCCAAGGAGGATCTGCGGTTCACCTACACGGCCCTGGGTAACGAGCCCAACGAGCAGCTGATGGAGCAGATGATGCAGGAGGCCAAGGAACCGCTCGACTACGAGGCATTTGTCCGGCTGATGAGCCGACGCACCCAGGAGCTGGATCCCGAGGATGTGCTGCTCGAGGCATGGAGCAAGTGGGATGACCACGGCACGGGCAAGATCGAGGAACGCAAGTGGGTGCTTTGAAACAAACGAACTTGGGTGAAATAACCCAATGACCACTTTATACCACTTCAATACCTAGAATCTATGAAGAGCTGATCAACTACGGCGACAAAATGACCCTAAACGAGGCCAAGGAGGCCCTCAGCCATGCGCCGATGGCCAAACCCAAGTCCTTGGAGGAGCCGCCCATGATCGATTATCCGGCCTTCTGTCGCATGCTCAGCGGAATGCGCAAGCGAAAAGGGGAATAGCTCATGTGAAGATCGCCAAATTTGTTGAATTTCAATATATTTTTCATTAATTTATAAAACCGATTACTATAATTTAACGATTGGCCAATAAACTATCTTTTCTGCCTTAGCCAAAGAACTGAAATTCCTTATTTCATAAAGAATTCATAAGAATATCAGCAATATTATTAAAAATTATAATTAATTAATTATATTGAATGTAATTATATTAAAATTGAAAATTCATTTCTTTATGTTCCAATCCAATGAATTGCATATTTATTTTCTTTTTAAATTAGTTGATGCAATTTTTTTTTATTTAATTTAGAAGGAATCCGTAGATCAGAGGAATGTTATACCCAAATTTCACAAAATTAGTTTCATAATATATTTTTCTAGGATATGAGTCATAGATGTCATTCTAAATAAAACTAATGTTATTGTTTGCTTAATTTGTGGTCAAACCTTTTCAGTACCCCTTATTTTATTCTCTATATTTTCTTTAACTGAATATGCCCCTTTGCGTTGATTTGTTTTGAATTACTTAAAACCTTAAATCTATTGGCAGCTGTCTCGAAGTGACAATCGTATTAGCCTTAACGCCAACTTTTGTTCGACTTTTTATCAAAATAAATCGTGAAGAACCAGCCGAGCGTTGGGAATTATTTCTTAATGGCCATTTGCTGGTTGGCGAGGGGATATTTATAGGCTGCCTGGCTGACCAACGAGCCAGCCCCAAAAGTATCGGCCAATAAATTTTAGACATCGTTACGCATCTGCTCTGGCCAATGCAATCGGCCTGCGAAAATTCCTCTCTCTCTTTTCCGTTTTTTTTCCTCATCAAATGCAATTTCGTGACAGCTGCTTGGACAGCGTGGACGTCTTTCCCTTTCTGCGGGAGCCCGTCATCGAGAATGCGACACTGGCGGCGGACACCTTCTGCCAGCACAGCCGGAACCGCAGTGCCACGCCTATTTATAGCGCGGGTCGATTGCTCGGGCTGCGCCTCCGCTTCCAGCAGCCGCCCACCGAATTGGACAGCTCCAGTTGGAACTTGACCCTAAACGCTAGCTATCGATTTCTGAAACGGGGTGAGCCCACTTTAATGACACCAATATATCTTGAGTTTTTTACTGTTCAATCCTAAAATTCTATTATTATTTCAAAGATCAGAAAATCATAAATGCATAATTACAAATAAACTAAATATATTTAAAGAATTTGTAGGATTTCAAAGCCTTTATTTAATTAAAAGGTTTTATAATTAAAGTTCATTTTAACTGATATGACAAATTTTGTATATGTATTAAAGTCTAAAAACAAATTTTTTTAACTTTACTTTACAATTTTAATTTATACAACAAAAGTGCATATAAAAATGAATCATTCTGCTTACATAAAAGTATTTTATAAATTTTACTTCGTATTCATGTCTACCGATAGTACTACCAAAAAAAAACATTTCTTAATGCATTATATTATTGAATTTTAATTTTTTAATTAAACATATAACACATTGGATATAAATGTAATTATTGAATATTTAAACACCCCTTAGAAAATTTCCGGACCGATGGGCGCTTGGTGCCGCACAGCTTCTGCGACTTCTACTTCTTCGCCAGTTTGTCCGGCGAGGAGGGCAGTCTGGGCCAGGGCTACTTCCACTCGCCCCAGTTCCCCGCCCACTATCCGGCGCACATCAAGTGCGCCTACAAGTTCATCGGTCGGCCGGACACCCACGTGGAGCTGCTGTTCGAGGAGCTGCAGCTGCCGCCGGTGGCCAGCGGCGGATGTCAGTTGGACGCACTTACTCTGTTCGACGCGGAGTCCGCCCACATGAGCACCGTCATCGACGTGCTCTGCTCGACCCGTCCCACCCGCCGGCTGGTGAGCAGCGGTCCCGACCTGCTGCTCGAGTTCAACGCCAGCTCCAATCGCACGGCCAAAGGATTCCGGGGCAAGTACAAGTTCGTGTCGAATGAGCCGGGGATGCCGGAGGACACGCCCCCGCCTCCAGCGGTCTTGGAGGCAGCCAGTGTGGCGGTAATGCCGGAGAAGCTCCAGCAGCAGCAGGCCGTCGCCGCCAAGGCTAACGGTCTGCCGACGGATGCGGAGCTGTCGAAGCCCGGACGCTCATTTGGTGAGTTTGGCGCCCCATAAATTAGCCTTAAATTCAGCGACTTAATTCCCCCGCTCCCCCGCTCCCCAGCTCCACATACACTAAGACAAACTGGGCTGGAATTTGCTAAGCAAGAGTATTTTGTAAATGATTAAGGGATGAGTCTTGAATTTCCAATTCCAGTAAGGCATAAGGTCCTTTAGATCTGCCATTTAAAACCAAACATTATCAGAGACTCTTTTAATCTAAAATAATGATGTACTATTTTGGAGTTACAGTGTTCATTTAATAAAAATCAGTTAACGATGTCATATACGCATAGAAATCTTAATATTTTTGTTTTAAATAATATTCAATTTTTAAGATAGCTGATTGGCTTTTTGAGGTATGCTTTCTTTTACTTAATTAAAGTTGAAGAAACTAATTTATTTAATTTAATGTTTATTTAACTATTCATAAAGATATAACGTTTAATCATAATATGCAATTTAACAAAAAATATTATTACTAAATATTTAGCATCATTAACTAAAAAAGGTACATCTGTATATTTTGAATAAATTTTGAATCATATTAAATCGATGTTTTGAGTTGCAAAATGAGGTCATTACTAAAACATACTTGGTGGACTGAAAGCATTGTAGATCTTTAAAATTTACCATTTACAACAATTGTTTTCACTGTGTTTACTCGACCCCTTTCCAAATCCGGCCCCTTTTAAAGGCTCACGACCCAATCGAATTAAGTTAATCGATGGAAAATGGTGGCAAAACTAGTCTGCTCGTTCGACAGCCGCCATCTGCCTTGGTCTTGGTCCGGATTCCGAGGCGGAAACGGATGTGGCCAATTCACAGGGCCTGGGCCTGAGTGGTTGCCATGTAAATGGCTTAGGTTCTTGGTTCTCACTCAGTCTATTGCCAACTGTTGTGTCGTTCAAATGGCGTGCTTTGCATCGGTCTATATTAAATATTGTCTCTGTAGTTTTTTTATTCATCAATCGTCGGCCCCCTGCGCCCCTTTGCCCACCAGTGAGTCTAGCCCTTTACACTTGAGCCAAAACATTTATTATTTTACAAACATTAAACTTACTTCCCTTGTGTGTGCCAGTGTGAGTTCACTCAAATAAATAGGCTGAATATGCGTTTAAATATAGGCCACAGCAGGGCGGCAACACCACCGTACAAGGTGAACTTGAAGAGGCGATGGAGAAATAAGAACCTGTAAAAAAATAATTTGAGAATTTTAAGTAAGGTAGGAAGTGGCTTCAACAAAATAAAGTTGATGTGTCCTTATTTTAATTACAAAAAATTAAAGTAGAGGAAATGTAACAAATTTAACCAAAACCAGCAATTTAATTAATAATTTTATTTGATTAATGTAAATGGGAAGTCAAATTGCTGTTAGGAACGAAACAGAACATATTTTAAAGCAAAAGCAGAGGGTCCAAATACATAAATATACACCAAAAATTGTCATAGAAACTATACTATTGATAGGTGATTTTTAAACTATTGGGAATGTACGATTTTTCAATAAAATACGTATTAAATTATTACCACGATAGTTTTAAAATAAAACCTATGTGAAATGAAAATAAAAAGTTTAAGGTTTGTATTGCTAAGTTTTAAATTAATACCTATACAGACAGTATGGTACATAGTAGTTTATTTATTCTTATGCAACTTTATATTAGGAATATGCAACTCACCTTTTGTAGATCTTCTGAGCCCTTTCCAAACTCTCCGGTAAATCCTTGCCGAGATAGATGCGCAATCCGGCCAGGGCTTGCAGGAAGTAGTCGTCCCAATCGATGCTGGCAATGTCAAAGTCGTAGAGCTTTCGGTCCTCGGCGGACATACGCCGCCACAGCTGGTAGGTGTTGAAGGTGTCAAAATGCCAGGACGTGTCCACAAACGGGACCAGGATGTCGATGTTCTTGTGTATCTTGTCGTACAGCTTGATCATGCGCGGCTTGCGACCCCGCAGACGAAGCACCAGATCGATGGCATAGCCCGGCAGCAGGTGGTAGAAGAAGGCCATTAACCGAAACATCCAGGCGCTGGTGGTGCAGTGCAGGAAGGGCATCCACATCATCTGGGTGAGTGGGTATTTGGGCCTCAGCAGTGCCGCCTTGGTGCGGAACCCGCCCCAGGTGATCAGGTTGTCCTTGGTGGGCGTAAACGTGTAGATGGGTGGCTCCTGCGGCAGTTTCATCCTGCTCTCCCGGGCCGTGTCCCATGCGCAGGTCAGCAACATGTTGGCGCAGTAGTCCACCGGAACGATACCGGCATTGGCCTTTAAGTTGAGCCGTGTGACGCGCAGTACGCCGATGGCTGCTCCAAAGAGCACTGCAATGGGTCCGTAGAGGTTGTCGATCCAGCCGTTCATGGGCTCCTTGTAGCTGGCAATAACTGGAGGAGAAGCGAAAGTGTTAGTGGAGCAAGGGAGACCCAGTCGACGTTCACCTACTGACGCCAGGGCGAAAGATGCAAATGGGCAGATCCCCAGCCTCCTGCTGGAGCAGCTGTTCGGCCAGAGCCTTGGTGTAGGTGTAGGTATTGGGGTACCTGCCCAGCAATGCCGGTGCCATCTTGTCTATCAGCTCTTCACTGATGCCGTCGTGCAGTTCCAGCACCTTTTTGGCGGGGCAAGTCAAGTGCTCCGGATAGAAGCGCTCGCTGACGTGCTCCACCACGCAGTTGGAGAACGCGGTGGACACGTGGACAAACGCCTCCAGGTGGGGCATCTCCTTGGCCAGTTGAATCATTAGCCGAGCGGCTCGTGTATTGATGGCCAAAGCAATGTGCAACGGCTCCACAAAGCGCACAGTAGCTGCACTGTGGAGCACGATCTGCACCTCATCCACCAGCAACTTGCGATCCGAGATGCTCAGGCCAAGATCCGCTTCCTGGCAGTCACCGCTAAGGGGCACCACTCGCTTCAACACCTCGGGATCCACTTTCATTAGGTTAACGAAGACCTGTCATGGTTAAATTTAATTCAATGTGCTTTTAATATAACACTATGTTAAAATTAGGACATCGTCATTCTTAAACAACTTGTCCACTTAAAAATATTCGACTTCTTCCACCCAATTTTAAGAATTTAAAAAAGTGAATTATTGGTATAACTAAGTTAAATCCCATAAGTAATCTCTTAGCACAAAATTTCTAAGTAATCTGTTTGTTCTAATCAAAAAATTCTTAAAATAGATAAATTTTATAAAATCGTTTTCACAATCCAAAATTTATAAAAAAAATATTATTATTATTAATAAATAATTTAACAATAAAACAACCATTTTGTTAAGTATTTAAGGACTTTTTTTAAACTATTTAATTGTACTATACAATGTACAGTAAAAAATATAGTTTTCACTTTTGTTCTTGATGAAATTGCATTAGGAATTTTTAAATGCCTTAAATCAGATATAGATCAAAGTAAGGCTCCGAAAAGTTTCATACTTGTACAAGAGCCACCAAAAGGGCTAAATTCCGTAAAAAAGACTTGCGTTTGATTTAAATAAGGATCACTCACAGGCTCTGATCCCCAAGCGGCACATCGCTCCTGCATTTCCTGACCGCGCTTGGAGCGGATCAGCACATAGATGCGCTTCACTTCAGTGGTGCGAAGCAGCTTCTCAATGGTCACTGAAAAGGCAATAAACTTGAATTTTATCTTGAACTTAAACTGGTATGAAACCGTTTCCGCTAATCACTTTTTTTTTTTTGGTATTACAATTTGCAAAAGCATCTCAATTAACTACAATCCATATGATTCTGATGATTGGCGGACACTTGAACAACTTTTTATTTGTGCTGCAGCGAAAGAACTTAGGAATACCTTTTCCCAGGAATCCACTGCCACCTGTTAGAAAGACTGTTTTGTCTTTGTAGAATTTTTGCACATCCGTTGCCATTTTAAAGTGGGCTTAATTATCGAATCTTATTTGCGCACATATATACAGGAAGTCCTGATTACTTACTCCGCGTAGAACGGCACAGACTCGACTGATGCTTAAATGAGAGTGAATCTGTATTTTCAGTTGCTATTTATACGCGAACGCTTATTTCGAAAAAAAATCAATTGTCTTACCAAACACACAAGTGCACACATCGTAAATTTTGAGTCGTAAAAACTTACTTCCCTCCAGCACTGAAGAAGATCTTCCAAGCTGCTGCATTCGAGTATTACGTATACGCCCATTTGAACCATGGTCCATTAAAGCATGACCATTGTGGCTGACCTGCTGGGTAAGCAATTAGCTCTGCCTTTCCTACACTGAAATTAAAACCCTATGTCTCATTTCGGTGCATTGTGGTGCATTGTGGAGCATTGTGGTGCATTGTGGTGCAATGTCAAGTGGCGTGAAGACCTGTGATCCATCCATTTGGCTAATTGGAAAACGCTGTTGCTTTGGCCCCTTGCCGCAATGCCAATGCCCAAGGTAAAGTGCAATTCAGGGATAGAGAGTGAAACCCGGTAGTTGGACAGAATAGGTATACGTAATTGCAGTCGAGTGTCCGCACCCATGTGGCGAGTGTTTGGTCAGTGAGTGTTACTCAAGTCTAATGAATGTGACTGCCTAATTTGTATGGGAAATCGGAATGCAGACGTGTTAATTCTATTCATTGTAACGTAATTATATAGTACAAAGCATACGTAATACATGCAAAAATCAAAGAACGCTTCGATTACAATCAAATTGTGTCACTTTATAAAATTTAAATATTTTTATTGCGCTTTGAAAGCCGGCGGGGTAAATAAAAATGATAAGTGCTTTGGCAAATTATAATTTGACGACTTTCACCTTTCCTTCAAAACACAGCTGACTTTTTCACAACTTTGTCAAGACATGGTGTGTAAATACAATATAAAATACATTGTTAATGTAAACTTTATTCCTTTACATATTCACTTAGAGCACTTTCTTATTTATACACTTGTTCACTATTCAAAGCAAGGCGTTTAGTTAAATACCAGATTAAACATGTACCAAATAAAGCCCCCGAATAAAAGAATGAGTACCAGTTTAAGGGTTCTGTCCCATACGTAATACCTGCAAGAACATATTGAACATAGCATATTGCGACTTACTGATTGCCACTCACCTGGATAAAATCCGCTTGCCATTGGCCACGGATTCGGGCGTTCGAAGGTCCTTGAACAAGTAGAGTCGCACTCCGTCCATGACGGTCGTGAAGTACTCATCCCAGTTCAAGTTGGACAAATTGAAGTGGAAGGTTCTCTTGTCCGCCGGCGTCATCGACTGCCACATCTGGTCGGTGTTGTGCGTGTCCATGGTGAAGGTTTTCTTGGAAAAGGGAAACAGCACTCTCACTCCCTCGTGGATCTTGTGATAGGCCTTAATCATGGTCGGTTTCTCGCCCTTCAGGCGTAGAATCACATCGAGCAGGAGACCGGGCAGCATGTGGTAGAGGTAGACGCCAACGCTGTAGAGCCAGGGACAACCGATGTTGTGGGTGAATGGGTACCAAATCATCTTGGTATTGGGCACGGCCAGGCCATTAGCGTAGCATTTCTCAATGACTTCTCCGTAAGTGACGTCATTCGATTGGCAGGGTGTGTATGTGAAAATGGGTAGAACACTCTCCTTGGCTCCACTGGCCTTCTTGGCTATCTGAACAACGCTGGCAATGGCCACATTGACACAGTAGTCGGCCGGAACCACGAGGGCCTTCGCTTTGGGATTGACAAGCATTAAGTGCAAAACGCCGTATGCAGTCGCATAAATCATGCCTCCCAATCCTTGCAAGCCATCAACCCAACCGGGCAATGGCTCCTTGAAGACGGAGAAAACTGCAAGACCAAAGAGGTTGAGTTTAGAAGGGGTCTACTACTTTTTGATAGAAAAGTGATTTATTGAGAAGCGAAGGTTCTTAATTCTTATCTCATTCCACCTTTGAGATCGGAAGTAATTAAATGGTTAAACTCTCACTAGTTATGGTGAAATATAGATAGGTACGTACTGATGGCTGGTCGGAAAACACCGACTGGCAGGTCTCCCGCCTCCTCCTGAATCACCTGCTCCCCCAGAGCCTTGGTGTAGGTGTACGTATTGGGGAATCGGCCCATTAGGGTCGGTGCCATCTTGTTCACCATTTCGGTGCTGAGCGACTCGCTCAAGTCGAGAACCTTGTCAAAGGGACAGGTCAGGTTCTCCGGATAGAAACGCTCTTGGATGTGGTCCACCACACAGTTGGAGAAGGCCGTGGAGATGTGAAGAAAGGCCTCGAGACGGCGCATTTCCTTGGCCAGCTGCACCACCAGACGCACGGCGCGCGTATTGATGTTCAATGCGTCCTGCAGTGGCTCCATGAATCTAACCGAAGCAGCTCCATGCATCAGCACCTGAACCTCCTCGGCCAGAATCCTCCGATCCGCCTCGCTGATGGCCAAGTTGAGGGCACAGCAGTCCCCCGCTATGGGAGTCACATGCTCCAATGCACGCGGCTTGTCCTTGAGCAGAGCTTCAAAGATCTGCACAGAGAAAATGAAAACGGTGGTGTCTACAATGGCAGTGAGCAAAGACTTTTTAAGAATAAGACTTACTCGCTTAAAATATGTGCTATGATATGAAAACTACATTATAAAACAAAATTCTTTCATAGAATTTTCAGCACAATTTAATCAGACATTAAAATAAATTGTATGGTTTAAAAACTACATCTATTACAAAGCAAATGTAGCACAGATTGTTAGCACTCACCTTATCCTTTTTCCATGCCTCAAATCGTCCTTCCACTCTTTCTCCTCGCTTGGGTCTCACAAGGAAATATATACGCTTCACATCTGTAGCTCGCAATAACTTTTCTATGATCACTGCAAATTTTTGGATAAAACACTGCTATTATCCTTTGGTTGAAATTGATTTTTTTTTCTTTTTTTTGAAAAATGGCGCACCTTTGCCTAGAAATCCTGTGCCTCCAGTTATAAACACTGTTTTGTCCTTGTAAAAACTTAAAATTTCACTCTCCATTTTGTACTGCGAAAATGCGTAATTCACTCGGCGGATTCACTTCATCAAATAAGTAGTTTCTTTTTCATTTATATGTATTTATACCATTTTATACCAACCCACATATTATGTAATAGTGCAACGATATGCAAGCCGACAAGAAAATAAGAATATTGCTATATGTGTGTGAATAAATTGGAAATTGTAACTACAGTGAACCTCAATCACTGCAACCAAAAGATACATATAAGCAATACGGCTTTGTGTATTGGAAAAAGGTTTTTTTTATTAAATTTATTTATTTGTAATGTAGTTTAGAGTTGGTTTTGGCAAACTGAAGGAAACAATGCATAGAGAACGGATGGTCTTTAAGTTGATAAATTAAAAAAAAACCCCTAAAATTTATTTATTTTTTTTTTTTAAAAGAAAGAAAACCCTACATTTGGGGCACTTTATTTTAAGACCTTGACTTAGTTTTATATTTATTAATGTTTTAAAGGAATCTAAATTATTCCGACTAAGACTAAAATCATGTTTTGACTCATATTTTGTGGTATTGTATGGCCCTAACAATAATTATTGTTTTAAAATATTTGTTTAAATTTAATAATATGTAATTATTTTAAAAAAGCAAAGAAGAGTTTTCTACTGCTAACAGTGTCAAAATATTTAATATATAACAGTTCACAATATAACTAAATACAATTCCATATGTGTTTAAGATTGGTTTCGCTTGACGAGTTTGACCCAAAATCCTGTTTTTGGAGCCAATTGAAACCCGGAGCTGGCCAGCTCAAGTGGGATGCAGGATTTCGCGGCGGGGGCAAATCGGTAGTCCTTCAGCAGATAGTAGATGACAGCCTTTGCCTCGAGAAGAGCGAATCGGGAACCTAGAAGAAATATTAATTAATAATCAGCCAAGATTGGGCCATGGCCAAGGACGATCCATTTACCAATGCAGTTTCGTTGACCCAAACCGAAGGGATAGTATGTGAAGGGTTGAATGGTGTCCTTGTTCTCATCGCTAAAACGTTCCGGATCAAATTTCTTGGGGTTCTCAAAATACAGGGGATCACGATGGAAGCCACAGGTGGGCAGCCAGAGGACATCTCCCTTCTTAATCTCCACTTTTTGGCCATCCACCTCGTAGGTGATATCCTTGTTACACTCGCGGTCAACGGCAATTGCTGCTGGCCACTTGCGCAGCACCTCCGAGACGACCTGGTCCAGATACCTCATGCCCATGATGGCCTCGTAGGTCAGCTCCTTGCCCTCCAGGTCCGCGTCCACTTGCTGCACCTCCTCGTACAGCTTCTGCTGCACATCCTCGTTCTCCATCAACTCGTGGGCGGTGAAGCACATCAGCACAGCGGATGTCTCGAAGCCGGCAAAGAAGAACACAAAGCACTGGGCCACAATATCACGATCGCTCCATTCGCGCACCACCGTCGTCTTGGTCTTCTCCGTCTGGATGAGGCCACGCGCCTCCATCAGCATGTTGATCATGTCGGGTCGAATGATGTTGTGCTCCTGTCGGTACTTCATGGCATCCATCACCAGACGCACAAAGTACTGAGTGCTCTTTTTGTCAAAGATCTCCACTTTTAGGATCTAGAAAAGTAACGAACAACATGAGCAACATCTTCGGAAAGATTTGAATGTTACACCAACCTTATTGAGATGTTTCAATGCGAAAAAGAGCATGAACTTAATGTTCTGAAGGAACGAAAATGTGGTCAACTTTTTGCCCATCTGATAGAAGGTATTCTCCCGATCCTTGAACGAGTTAACCTGCAGCCCAAAGGCCGTCGAGGCGATCACATCGTTCGTGAATCGTGTGCAGTAGTCCTTCATGTCCATGTCCGTCTCCTGGACATCCTTGTTCAGGCAGTCCACGGCCTCCTTGGCCACCTGGTTCATCAGCTGGAACATCTGACGCATTTTGCTGCCAGTAAAGGCCGGGCTCAGAGTGCTCCGCATATCCTTCCACCGCGCATCTCGCATGGAGAACAAGGAGCTGCCAAAGAGATTGCTCATGTCATGCGGATCATCATCGCTGCTGGTGGCGAACACGTTGCGATGGTTGATAAAGTGGTCAAAGTCCTTTATGGTTATCTGCTTTATAAGATCTGGGTCGCGTACCATCAATAGCGGTTGTCGCTGCTCAAAGATACCGAAAAATCTAAAAAACAGAAAATAGAAATCAATGTTAATGGCCGATAAGCATTTTGTGACTCATTTACTGATACATCAAAAAGTTATTCCACCATTGAAAGAATTAGAATACATATACCCTTGCAGCTATTGCAAAAATTAAACATTCTTGAAAACTGTAAAATTATGATTTAGTTGCGTATATGTTTAAAAACATTGAAGCTATGATGACTTGCAGCTCAATTATTCTATAGTTCCTATGGCAGCTGTATGACATCGTTCTCCGATCTTAATAAAATTAAAAGCGTAATTCTGAACTGTCAAATTATTAATCAGTCAAAAAAGATTTTTAAAAAAATTACAAAATAAATTTAAATTTAAATTTTTTTAAACTTATTTTTTTTTACAAATTTTATTGTTTCCATGGAGGCTTTATTTTGATGAAATGTAAACTGTTTAACCCTTACTATATGTCGAAGAACTAAAAAAAATTTAAAAAACAACAGAATGAAATTATAAGGGTATGTAGACCATAAATTATGGTGGGTAAAACTTGCTAATTTCCATTTGATTTTTATCCGATGAATAGTCGGCATATTTATTGGTTGATCAAAGAGGTATTATTGGATATTGAAACTTATTAGAAATAAATAACAGAAATTACTGCTCTTAGAGGGAAACATTTGTTCGTTGTCATTCCGAGTAATTTTAATGAACCCACAGCATGCATAATAACAAAATATATTCTACAACAAAAACCAAAGCTGTTGAACGATATCTTTAAAGTAAGTGTTCCCGCAAAAGTAAACAAAAACATTCTTTGGTCAAAGGACCAAAGGGTTTTAGTCTTAATAATACCCAGAAAAAACTTAATAAAATTATATTATTAAAATACCTTTTTTAAAAATGGGTAAAAAATCAATTTAGACAGTTTTCATAGATTATAGATAAGGTTTCGGTAAACATTGTATAATTAATCTATAATTTAGAAAGGTAAGTTATTATCAAAGCAGTTGGCTAGAACTACGCTTTATCAATTATTTTTCCTATCTAAATATGAGCACTGTGAGTGCAACATTTAAAGCTGTCGTAAAATCGATAAGATTAAAACAAACTCTAGAGATAAACATAACAAAGCAAATCGCAACAGTAATACAATTATAGCTACTTCTGCAAATATTTTAGATAATTATTTCATTACTTCTACGATCTTTATACCATATGTTTGAGAGCATTTGAGAATTCGATGTTCAATAATTACTCAAACGCAGCCGCACCTACCATATTAGTAAGCTTATAGATAGAATACTGATTGCGTGACCTTGACGCCTACAATGATGAACCCCCATAGATATTTACATATGTACACAAATGCTCTAAACGGGTTTAAAGTGCAAACTAAGCACAACAATTAATTTATTAAATTCGGTTCATTGAAATCAACTCACTTGCTACTGCCGCCTTGCGTGTACAGATCACAGACTATGTCAAACATGGATTTCCGCCGCAAAAACATCTCGTACATGTTGCCAAAATACAGGATTGGCTTAGCGTATGGTAGGCCCCTGTCCTTGAAGAAGCCATTGTTGGCGGTTGCCCAGCGGTAGAAGATGCCACAGGCGATCGCAAAGAGTGCCAGGAATTCCCACAACATGATGGAGGAGCGTTTCGGTTCGTTCGGTTGGCGATCCAAGCGTCCAGAAGATAACTAAATACGCCACAAATAACTGGGAGCGTTTTGTTTTCACTACGCAGAGCTTTCGATTTAAGCTTTGCGTTCTGTCGCTAGATGCAGCCATATGTAAGCGGCATTTGATAAAATACTTGTTGTCCATTATAATATGTATATATTGGGTTTAATCGACTATGTATGTATGTATTTATGAGTGGAAGCGATTATGGCAAGTGCTCAGTATTTCAACAACACGAAATAAATTGGGTAAGCCGGCCGTCTCTCGGTTTTATAGAGATGTTTAGATGATAGTATGATCTGAAAAAAAACAAAAGCCAATCAATGAAAGCATATTAAACAATCAACAAATTTCTAAACTTAGCCTAAGCTCTTCAAGGTCGATTGTCTGGTTTGTATTTTAAAAAATTAGGATTATTATGCATGTCTTTTACCTTTCGTTCTTTGTTTGTTCTTAACTTTATATTTTTTCTGTCTACTTGTTCAACTCTAAATTCTGGGGATTTAATTTTCCACTACTAAAAATAGCACATCTCGATCCAAACATTCGGAGCTAACAAATGATTCAATAAAATTATTCACATGATAAAATAATTGTTGCTTTTAATATACAAATATTCAGTATAATCAAATATGCATTTGGGTGTACAAACGACTTAGACAAGAACTCAACATTTAACAATCAAGGCATGTAGTGGAAAGGGCTGCAGACTCTGAGTCTCGAGAGAAGTTTGGAGCCAGCTAACATTCAAATGCCGGCAGCTGCGTCGATAGAGCGGTCTGTGATAATGAAATTAAAATAATTAAAGCATTTAATCAAATTCGAGAAATTACTAAACATTACCTAAGCTTTTCCAGGTGCAGGGCCTCGTTTGTATTATAAAATACGAGATTAGCTTTTCGCGTTTCGGTGGTTGAAGATCCTCCATGCTGTGCAAATTGTTCCCTTAGCTTGCTTGCATCTTTTCCCATTGTAAAGTGAGCCACTAAACCTGCGAATAATTTGCTTTTTGAACTTGTTGGACCTGGAGTTTTTTCCTCCATCTTTGGTTCCTTTTTCACTTCTGATTTCAGCTCCTTACTGGGTTTGAAAAAGTCCTTCATCCCCTTTTGCGATGGTGACAAACTTTGATTCGCTTTTGGCTCCTTACGTTTGCTTGGCGGCGGAGCTGCCTCCTCATCATCCGAACCAGTTTTTGACCGTTTTTGTTTTTTCACTTTCTGTGGCGTTTTTTCAACATTCAGCGTATCCTCATCTTTGCCACAATTGGCCAAAAGCAGATCTACGTTTACATTCTTCTTGGAGGCTTCAAACAGATCTTCCAAATGGGCTAGGTCATTTGCATCCTTTGCCGATTTATCGCTGCGCAGACGGGTAATTCTGGGGAATCGGATCGAAATGCCAGACGCCGTATGCGCCTCGGATTTGGTGAACTCTGCGCCCGTAATCTCCCATACAGGCATTTTCAGCGGATCTTTGGCCAAGACATCTGGCACTAAGGACCTACTGCACAGCAGCCAATCGGGAATCTCGTTAGCATCGACACGTTCGGTCAGCTTGATGAGTGATTCGTGTACCTCCGCATTGGTGGAATCGTCCAGCCCAGAGTGCACTTTGGTCACCGTCTTCCACAAACGACCCGTCGCATCGTAGCAGCCCATGAGAAAAATGCTGAGCACGCCACCCTTTTTTCCCGATCCATACCAGGCACCAAGGACCACCAGGTCCGCTGTGTCAGCCATCTTGCCATCGAAAAGGTAGTCCTTCTTGACCTTCAGCCAGTTGCGCTTGCCGGGCTGATAGGTGCTGCTCGGGCTCTTCAGCACCACTCCCTCCAGATTGGCGTGCAACACCTTGGCCGTCATCATGGCCAGTTCCCTTTTGGTCTTGAGGAATTCCGACTCGGAAAGCTGTACGTGCGACTTGATGGGCTTGATATTCTGCTCAAGGATCTCACGGCGCTTACGGAATGGCCTGGAAGATAAACGTTAGTTATGGCTAACAAACAATTGCAACACTTACAGCTGGGTTAGATCCTCGCCATCGTAGAGTATGCAATCGAAGACGAATAGGCACACTGCTGCATTGGCAAAAGTCTGTTTCTTATGGGCACCCAACGAGCCAAACGGCAGCAGTGCTCCCGTGTCAGTGTCGACCAGTATGATCTCCGAGTCCAGAATCATCTCACCGCCTCCTGGAAAGGCGCGTGGTATGTACTCCCTTAGAGCTCTTATCTTGTGATCCACCACTGGCTTCAGATTGCGGCTGAAGAACTTGAAATCGTCTCCCTGCTTGTGGATTTGAACGCGCTCTCCGTCGTATTTGATTTCACTGTACAGGCCGGCGGGACTCTTCTTGAATGCTTCCTCCACGGACTTGCAGGCACTGGCCAGCATTGGCGATATTGGTGTCATCACCTGAATGCCGCTCAAGTTCACCTTCTTAGCCTTCTTGGCCGGGCTAATGGCGTCCTTTTTGTTCTCCTTGCCGGCGAACTGCTGCACAATAGCCACCAAATCGCGGGAAGACTGATATGCGGGATAGGCGTCGGGGCCAAAGGCATCCAAAATGTGTCTGGCTCTCGCATTGATCCGCAGGTCGTGCTTCACCAGCCGGATAAAGGTGCGCAGATCCAAGTCGGTGGCCTTCGTGCAGAGCTCCTGCAGCAACTCCGTCTGCTCATCCTCCTTGGTGCGCTCCACCAGCTTCAGCAGCAGCTGCTCCACCTCCTGCAGGTAGAGCTTGCTGTGCGCCTGAGGCTTCAGTTTCTTGGAGGCAGCAAAGTGCTTGCACAGCGTTTCCGAAAGGTCTCCATCTACAAGAAACCATACATATGTTAGTTAGAATCTTAATCAAAAAAAAAACAAGGTTTTGGAGTGGCTTTGGTTAAAACAAGTTGTGAGGCACTGCACACAAGGATATATATTAAATTAAGGACTATAACTTGCCCTGCTCCAAATCCAAGTGCATTTGCTGCTGGTTGGCGTTGAAAATTCGAGAGAACAGCTTGATGAGCGCCTTGTTTTGGAGATTATAGACGCGCTGGTTGGCCGCCGGTATGAGGAACTGCACCCAGAGCAGGGTGTCGCCCTCGAATCCCTTGCCACTGGTGCCCCGCTCGAAGAATCGCTGCAGTTTCTCCGCCTTCTTCAGGTAGCTCGACTCGCCGGCTATTTCATCACAGATGCGACGGAAGGTGTCCAACTTGTTGTCCTCGTTGTGCACCCGCTTGCCGGCCATATTTGTGCTGAGGAGACGAGTTAGGAATCTGGCCTGTCCTGTCAACTTGGGCAATAACATACGCAGAGGCACTACAAATTAACAACAATTTTCTATTTCACAGAACAATGCAAGCAGACGTTTGACTCACGCGTAAACAAATCGGGCACATTCGACTCCAATCAGCTGTTGCTGGCAAAACACGCTCTCGGCGGCGTTTTAATTGGCGGCTCGAGAGTCCTGCAATGCCGTTACGAATTTGAAGCCCAGCCGCCGGAACGGATCCAGATCCGATTCCACGACTTCAACGTGCCCACGGAGCACGAGAACTCGACGGCATGTCAGCCGGGGGATGCTCTTCACGTGGTCACCGAGGTACGCGGCCGGTACGAGACGCAGGAGCTGCTGTGCGGCGCCTTTCTGCCCAAGCCACTGATGTCCAATGGAGCACGGTTGCAACTGCAGTTCGTCGGAAAGTATCCACCCGCCATGACCAACAAGGTTCAATACTACGGATTTCGGGCGGAGTACCGCTTCCTGACCAGTAAGTGTTTCCACTGATTATAGGCTCTTTCCACTAACGAATTTGTTAGCCTATGCTAAATGTACGTATCTATATGTAATAAAAAACTGCATCAAAACACATAAAGATTTCACTATTTTCCTAAAGCTTTCATAAAAAATATTTTATTTTATTTTTTTTGTAATATTCTTTTGAATGTCTAATGAATCTTCGTAAAATGGATCAATTTCTGATAGATAAATATACTTTATTTTACGATTTAGGATTGCCTATACATATTTATTTGTTTCTTCTTTTTAAAATTTTTTTTTAATTCAAAAATACTATGTTTGCTCTTATATTTTAAGACTTTGGCATCATGACCGGCGTGCAACAGGAGGACTGCTCTTTCGTCTACAATAGCAGCGAGCGTATAAGTGGCCTCTTTCACTCCCCAAATTTTCCTGGTTACTATCTGGAAAACGTGGTGTGCAATTATTATTTCTACGGTGCCAGTGACGAGAGAGTTGTGCTGCATTTCACCTATTTCGATGTGGAAGGCATTGGATCGTAAGATCTCCATTATTATATATTTATATTATTGTATTTATGTTTTTACCGTGCAGTTGTGACCACCAGACTGCCAGTGACTTTATTGAGTTTTCCAACTTCATGAGCACGGATCGAAAGTTCAGCAGATACTGTGGGAGACTTCCGGATTTCGAAATGCGTTCCGATGGGCGTTTCTTTCGCGTCACCTTGCATTCAAATGATCGCTTTGTGGCCATCGGATTTCGCGCACTGTACACCTTTGAAACAATTCCCGTGAATAACTCTATTGCCGATCTGCGAGATAATGCCTCCATGCAGAGCTTCGTTTCGTCAGCTTTATCTCCGCCGGTTACTAACTTGTACAAGTTGATTTTTTATATTATGTTCTTGTACTTATAAAATATACCCATTGCAGTCAAACCAGAGTCCTATAGCTGCCGAAAAATTATCAGGAAATTTGGCGAATATCTTTTGTTAAAAAGTTTGTTAGGCTGGCGGATTATTAGCTGCAATTTTTGGTACTATATTTTTTAGTTGCTGAGTTTAATATAAATTACAAAAAAAAATTTACAAGTCGGACAAAAGAAATTTATTATAACTACAATAAGCTTTTTTTAAACGCCGTAGATCAAGAATTAGACAATTCGCAATAAAGGAGCTTTTGCAGCCTATTAAAATCACATTTATTTAAATCAGGAACTAATATCCTCTTCACACTGTCTTTTTATCGAGTTCGCTTTCGATTGCTAATTCGATCAGCTGTTCTTTGTTTTGATTTTAATATAGAAGGTCTCTAGAGATCACAACAATAGCAACGTGTGAACGAACCACTTGTTGCTATCTGCAATCTAACATCACCTGTAAGATTGCGTTTTTTCAGTTTTGTGGAGTCACGACGCCACTATCTGCAATAAATACAGCTGTAGCTCGATGCGATTAGCGTTATTAACATTTTAACAGTCGGTCGAAGCAGCCGAAATTACCGCAGGGTCTGGAGCTGATAACGCAGTTCTAGTCAACAATCACTAAAAGCGCATATTTGTGACCTCTGGAATGGCGACCAAGAAACTGGATGCCATAATTTTCGGTGCGACCGGGTTTACCGGCAAGTACACGGTGCTCGAGGCGGTGAGCGTGCTGAAGGGCCTCCAGTGGGGCATCGCCGGTCGCAACCAGGAGAAGCTGCAGTCGGTGCTCCGTGAGATGGGGGCAAAGTCCAAGACGGACCTCTCCCAAACGCCCATCGTGATTGCGGACGTGAACAATGAGGCGTCGCTGCTGGAGATGGCCAAGCGCTGCCGGATTGTGGTCAATACGGCGGGACCGTACCGATTCTTTGGCGAAAAGGTGGTCAAAGCCTGCCTGGAGGCGGGCACCCACCACGTGGACGTCAGCGGGGAGCCCCAGTACATGGAGACGATGCAGTTGCGCTACAATGATCTCGCCAAGGAGCGTGGCGTGTACGTGATCAGCGCCTGCGGATTCGATTCCATACCCGCCGACATGGGCGTCACCTTCCTGGAGAAGAACTTCGACGGAGTGGTCAACTCGGTGGAGAACTTTGTCTACATGGGTGTCAAGGGTGGCACCAAGGGCACGGGCACTGCCGCCCTCAACACCGGCACCTGGGAGAGTGCCATTCACGCCATCGCCAACCGGAGTGAGTCGGTGGCCATCCGCCGGAAGCTGTTCCCCCAGCGCCTGCCCAGGTTCCAGCCGAGTCTGAAGTCCCGAACTCCGCTGTCCCGCGCCGCCGAGGTGGACAACAAGGTGATCCTGCCCTTCCCCGAAACGGATCGCTCGGTGGTGATGCGCTCGCAGCGTTTCCTTTACGAGCAGGAGAAGAAGCGTCCCGTCCAGATGCAGGCCTACATGACATATCCCTCGTGGTTCGCGGCCAGTGTTGTGGTGCTCTTTGCCGCCGTAATCGGTATCCTGTCCAAGTTCTCCTTCGGCCGCCAGCTGCTGCTCAAGTACCCCGGCGTTTTCTCCGGCGGCATGGCTTCCCGGGACGGTCCCAGCGAGGCCCGCATGGAGCGCACCTTCTTCAGGATGACCATGAAGGCCACCGGATGGCCCAAGACCGAGCAGCTGGCCGAGAGCACGGATCAGTACAGCTCACCGCCCACGAAGACATTGACCGCAAGGATTACGGGTCCCAATCCAGGCTACGGCGCCACCTGCGTGGCCCTGCTGTCCACGGCGAAGACCATCCTCAACGAAAGCGACAAGATGCCCGGCACTGGCGGAGTCCTGCCTCCAGGAGCCGCCTTCCGCACAACCAGTCTAATCACCGAGCTGGAGAAACACGAGCACGGCATCAAGTTCGAGATCGTGGCCAACAAGTAGTGGCCAAAAACAAGGAGCAACTTTCAGATTTATATAAAAACATACAGACATTCAAAATATGAGGTGTTTTCATTTTCGATCTATCCGTGTTGGGGAGTACCTAGATATATAGTACCTGTGGTACTTTTTAACTGACTTAGGTAATGTATTTTTCCGCCTTTTAGAAAAAAAAAACCGAAAATTGAGAGAAGTAATTTATTAGACCAAAACAACGAGAAATACACAAATAACTTAAAATAACAGCTATAGTAGACTACGTAGGGTATAGAAAGCATGTCTGGCTTCTAGTATTGATCAAAATAAGTGGATCCGAACTAGTTCCGTTTCGTTTTGCACGGATTTCAACGCACGGTCACACCGATAGCGATTGGTTTTGTTTGGCCATCACTATCGCCTTTGGGGTACCTCTTTTGTTGTTTACCTTTTGCTCATTACCATTTTGGACGCCAACGCGAAAATATATAAGTTATTAAAATGAGTGCAGAAATTTCCGGCTTCCGACGGTTCCTGCACTGGGGCCCAATAACAGCCCTGAGTAAGTAGTGACCTGGCTAATTGGTGCTTATACGTGCTATCCGTCTGGAAGGGATCCAATTTGCGAATGGATGAAAGTGCAGAGTGAACGAACTGCTGGAAGGATGGGCCCATTACGGGGGCGGTACTGGCCAGCGGCCACGCCCCAATGCCGTCTTGTTTGTTGTCTGCGCCATATCGTGTTTCATATGCCACCACACCATCTCAACACACGCCACACACTCGTCGCTCGGAGTTCCAATCGGTTGACAACCCAGCAGCGACTTTTAATTCGCTTAATGTGCCGCGCAAATTGCGTTTTAGTTGTGTGTCGTTTGCCCTTTTATTGCCTTCTGCCCAGTCCTTTGGTCCTTTGGTCCTTGGTCCTTGGAGCCTATCGGGAATTTCACGGAGCTCTTGAACATGGCGTGCAATTTGGCCGTTTGGCCATTTGGCGGGGCAGACGCCATAAGACTTCCGGGCCTCCACGATATTGAACTGATATACCATTGTTCCTGGCATAATGGCTTTATTGGACGCCGGCCGCTTGTTGCTGGTCCTGAAAAGGATTCCGAATCAGTCAGAGAAACGACAAAATTACTCATTACTGGACCGTGGTGCCGGCTAATCAACTCGAAAAGCGACAATAAACTAAATAAATGAGCCCTATTTCCTCCGCACGCACTTGCCAAGCGAAGCATGGCCACCAGAGCCTAACCCCTTCCAAGCCAGGTCCCCCAAACTATGTATATCTATGTATTTGGACATGAATCACTCTAATGTTTATCTACCTCTTTGCTTGCAGGCATCATCAAATGCATAACGCTGACGACCCTCTACATGAACTCGATGTGGTGGCCGCCGAATGAATCATTCGCCGGTTTCGCCCACCAGGCCCTGTTCCTGCTGCTCTCCACGCTGGCCACATTCAATTACGTCATGGCCACGCTGACAGGTCCCGGACTGATGCCAAAACAGTGGCAGCCGAAGGTACAAAGGGCGAAGAGAGAAGCGGAATGTTGTGACACAATGACAATGTCCCCCCCCAATCGTTAAAGACACCTGTTACCATTGATAATGCCTTCCAACGGCCCAAAAAACTGTTGACCCGTCACAAACTGCCAACGTAGTTTGGCTTTGTCCAGGGGTTGTTTTCCGTCGCTTTGTGCATCGTCATTCCAAAGCGGAAGCAATTGTTTAGGTGCCGATAGCTCTGTGGGCGTAGGGCCTCCAGGGGTTTCCCTTGTCCGAGTTTCAGCCCAGACAAATGGGCCAACCCGGCCCATTGGCGTGTGCGACTGCTTATCGCATAATCCGCGCCAATTAAACGCTGCAATTTATTTTTAAGAATCCGGACCCGGCGGAGAATCAAAAAGATGTCGTGCCCGGACCATTAGCGCCTGTAACGTTTTTCGACTCCCATTCATTTTGTACGGCCGTGGCGCGACCCAAATATAATTTATTAGCGCCGACTCCTCACATTACGGCCGTGCCCTGCACGCGAACGCATTCTACGGGGCCCGAAGTCCGTAATGCAATTACCCGAATTTGCATAAATGTTTTGTAGGCGAGTCCAGACGCAAGAGGGGCGGGCTGGCTGGTTTAGACCACTGGTTGGACCATGGGCAATGGGAGGTGGTCACTTAATGAGCTGTGCGTCGTTAGGTTTTGTTGTACCTTGCGGTGTCGGGCGACGCGCATAAATCACGTATAATTTGGCCATTTTCTGTATTTTAATGAATTTAAATTTTTGCCAGGAGCCCAAGGACGCTGAGTTCCTGCAGTACTGCAAAAAATGTGAAGGATACAAGGCCCCCCGCTCCCATCACTGTCGCAAGTGTAAGTTCATGTTCTTTTAATAATTTATTAATTTAAATAAAACTAATTTGGCTAACTTGATTAGAGAAGAAAAATTGTTTGAAATGTTGTTCAATAATTATTGCTTTCTTTTGAATCTTAATTTATATTTAAGTTTAAATAACTAAAAAGTATACAATATCAAAACTATTACTTTTTGGCAATTAATGAAAGATAAAAAAATATTCAATAATTCTAAATAGTTGAGACGCCTTAAAATTACAAAAACTTTAGTTGAATAAATAAACATATAAATATATATAGTGTGTAAGCTCACATTCTTTTAATAATTTATAAAAATAAAATAATAAAATATTCAATAATTCTAAGTCGTTGACGCGCCTTAAAAATACAAAAACATTAGTTGAATAAACATAAATATAAATTATTTAACGATATATTTACTTTATTTAGTGTAAAAAGAGTAAACAAAACTGCAAAGTATAATGTAGTTCTTTGTAAATCCAGATAAATTTACCAGAAAGCTTAAAATATTTAATATTGTAAACTATTTAATGCTTGGTGTGATTTCTTATTTCACCTTAATAAGTAATGCACAAATAAATAAATATATTCTTATACTTTTTAAACGCACATCCACAGGTGACCGCTGCGTCAAGAAGATGGACCACCACTGCCCGTGGATCAATCACTGCGTTGGCTGGGCCAACCACGCCTACTTCACCTACTTCCTGCTGTTCTCCATCCTGGGCAGCCTGCACGGCACCGTGGTGCTGTGCTGCTCCTTCTGGCGTGGCATATACCGCTACTACTATCTCACCCATGGACTGGTGCACCTGGCCAGCGTTCAGTTCACACTGGCCAGCATCATCATGTGCATCCTTGGCATGGGCTTGGCCATCGGCGTCGTCATTGGCCTGAGCATGCTGCTCTTTATTCAGCTAAAGACGATTGTCACCAATCAGACGGGCATAGAAATCTGGATAGTGGAGAAGGCCATCTACCGCCGCTATAGGAATTCGGACAGCGACGACGAGTTCCTCTATCCCTACGATCTGGGCTGGCGTCAAAATCTGCGGCTGGTGTTCAATGACGAGTGCCAAAAGCGAGGCGATGGCATCGAATGGCCTGTGGTGGAGGGTTGCGATCAGTATACACTAACGGTGAGCAGGTGAAATTGCCCACAAAGATCGAAAAAAAAAAAATAACCTCTAACCTTTTCAGCGCGAGCAACTGGCGCAGAAGGAGGAGAAGCGGGCTCGGACCCGCACCTTTAGGTGCATCAGACCCGTCACGGGTCGCTGGCTGCCGATTTTCTCGCAGGGATGGCGGGTCTGTGTGGCCGCTCCCTGCTCCGATGAGCCGCGCATCCGGCTGCGACCCGACGACATGGTTAGGGTCACCCGCTTCCGCAACCACTGGCTCTTTGGCGAGCGTGTGCTCTCCGATCAGGAGCTGACTGGCAATCAAAAGCACCAGCGCAAAGGTCACATCCGCGGATGGTTCCCACGGCGCAGCGCCGTTGAGGTCATTGAGGCGGTCCAGGAGTGCAGCGGTGACAGCAACATCGAGCCACCGCCGGCCCAGAATGGCAACGCTCACAGCCAACTGAAGCAGCAGCAACGAAACGGACACGCCAAAAAGTACATGTAGCCCGGGAATTTATGCCACCGCCTACGGCTTGTAAATAGATTAAGATTCCGCTTAAAGACTTGACGCTTTCACGCTTAACCAGGCCGCCGTCTCGTTTACTCTGTTAACACTGTCGACCAATAAAAACAAGCGATCGAAGTTAATCAGTTGTGGATCGAAGTTAATCAGTTGCTTATCGGCAGATGGTCAACATTATCGTTAGCCATTCTCAGATCATACTTTCAATAGCACCATTGTATCAGATTGTATTCATCAGACCTCAATATATTTATTTATTGATTATTCCATAATTTGATTATGTTACAAGTATATTACATATGCATAAGTGTAAATAGATTGCCCAAGCCGATGGTTGTATTCATGGCGAGCTCATGGCTGCCTCGATTTCCTCAACTGTCCGGGGCACAATTGCAAAATTCTCGACACCAGTTTTAGTAATCAGCACATCGTCCTCTATGCGCACGCCGCCGAATCCTCGGAAGCGGTTGAACATCTCCACATTGATGTACTTACCGATTTTGGGATCGGCCAACGCGCTGTCCATCAGCCAGTTGATGAAGTAGCAGCCCGGCTCGATGGTCACATACATGCCGGCCCTGAGGACGCGGGCAAAGCGCAACTTGCTCAGCCACGGCTCGCTGGGTCGCTTCGGCTCACCGGGCAGGTAGCCACCCACGTCGTGCACATCCAGGCCGACCAAGTGGCCCAGGCCGTGCGGCTGGAACACCCCGGAGACGCCTGCCTCCAGCATCTCCTCCACATCGCCCTTGAGCATGCCGCCCTCCTTGAGGCACTGCAGCAGCACACGGCCCGCCAGCTTGTGCATGTCCACCCAGGACACTCCGTCTCTGGCCGCCTCCGTGACCGCATTGCGGGCAGCCAGCACGGCGTTGTAGATGAACTTCTGGTCGTCGGTGAACTTGCCGTTGGCCGGGAAGGTGCAGGTGATGTCTGCTGCGTAGCCGCAGTAGTTGGCCCCCATGTCGAACAGACAGAGATCACCATCCTGGACGGGTCGGCTGTTGGGAGCTCCGGCGTGGCCTAGATGTACCAAGTAATTAAGGGAACTAGATAAGAAGGTATCAACAAAATGAAAAACCCAAACTTAAAACAAGTTTAAAAATGGCAACCTATTTTGTAAACAACTTGATTTTCTTTAACAAAACATTGGATCCTAAGACTTTTGCCCTAAAGTAGTTCGTTGAGAAGATAGGTCTAGGAAAGTTTATTAATCTATGTATCTTATATGATCTAAATTCTACCAGTTAGTGTATTTTGACTTCGATGAAAGGTTGATTTACCCATGTCTGTCTGTCTGTCCGTATAAACCTGGATTTATTGGATAGAGAGAGATTTGGCATTCAACATAAAGGTGCTATTAATTCCTAAGCAGCTTAAGTTTATTTTATAATTCGGCCACGGTTTATTTCACTGTGTGCTTTCACTTTTAGACATGGTAGAGGTCAGTTATCGGGCATTATATGTTTATAAAAAGCAACAAAAAATGTTCTAAGTCGCACCATTATTTAAAAAGTAATTGGCAATTAAGATATTTAATGACGTCATTGCATAAAGCAGTTCTTTCATTTAAGAGAGCGAAACAATGAGAAATGAACTGTTGGCTTGTAGTGTTGACCACACAGTTCGGCAGATGGCGCCACCTTTAACCTGATTTTCTAAATTATTTAGCTGAGGAAAGGGTATCCAATAGTCGTTTTTGTTTTATCTTCAAATTTCTTTTTTTTTCTTTTTAAAAATAACTTACCGTAGTGTAGGATGGCAGAGTTCGTCCCGCTGCCGCATATGCAGGTGTAGGAGGCGTGCCGGCAGCCACCCACGGAGTAGGCGTGGTGCAGGAAGAGCGACTCGCCCTCGAACTCCATGCGGCCAGGACGCATGAACTTCATCACCCGGATGTGGGCATCCGACGAGACCTTGGCCACGTAACGCAGCACCTCGATCTCCTCGGGCGACTTGATCACCCGGCACTCGGACAGGATGGGATAAAGCAGATCGCAGTCGGTCACGTACTTCTCCTTGCCCTCGAACTCCGGCGGCTGGAGGGTGTGTCCGCTATCGCTGTTGGTGCCGCTCAGCGTGAGTATCAGCTTGGGCGACGCCCCCTCCAGATAGACGTTGAGTTCGTCGGCATAGAGCACCTCGTCCACCTCGTACATGACCTTGAAGTCCTGCGGGCTGAGCAGTTCACCCATCCAGGTCCCATACTCGTCGGGAAAGCGGGGCACAAACAGAACGCTCCTCTGGCCGCCCGTCTTCACGTCGATGACGAGGATGCCGTAGCAGCCCGGCTCCTTGACCCCAAAGAGGTACTGGAAGAAGGACTCCTGCCGGAACAGATAGTCCACGTCCGTGTTGTACAGGCTCTGATCCTTGCCGCCCTCGAGGAGCACCAGCAGGTTGCCCGCATCGAACTTGAGGCCCGGGAGCAGCTCCTGGAGGATGGCCTTGACGGCGCGATCCCTGTTGTTCCGGAAAAGGCTCATGGGCACCGCGTGACCCGATCCCATTTGGAAGGCTGCCATGGTGTATCGATGGAGTGCAAAGTTTAACTGGCGCACTGGACAAAAGCGAGTGCTCAACCCAGTAAGATTAGCTGATAATAGCCTGGGGCTAACAAAGGCAGTAAATTATTTGTTTTTATCTGTGTTTTTATGTTTTTGCAGCAGTATGACCGAGTACCGAACGCCAAAATAAACCGATTAAGCAAATAACTGTTGGGTGATCGTTATTCCGACTTTCTAACTACTTAAAAAAAAAAAGTTCGGTAAAAATTTAAGTTAATCCATGTTATTAAAAAAAATCCCAAATTAATTAATTAGTTTGTTTCTCATTTTCAGCTCTGCCTTTACTCACAAGGTTCAAAAACAAATTTTTTAAATATTTTATAATCAACAATTTTTAAATATCAAGTCAATACTTATTAAATGCCTAGTCAAATACCACTTTGCTTTTCGGAATTTAATATTTAAACTTTCTGACTTAAAAACCTATTTAAGTAATTTTATATAAAGTATTTATCAACATTAATAAAATATGTGTATACATGTTAAAAGTTTATAAGGTTTATTTGACGAATAAACTTTTTCCTAGCAACGTTGTTAATAAAAAAGTATAATGAAGGGAGTTCCCCTTAATAAACGTACAAAACAAATTTTTTATGAGTTGGTTTCGAACTGTGAACTGGTTCCGGATAGCGACGCACAAAAACTATCGATAGCTGACGGCATCGGCAGCATTCCCAAGTCTGGTCACACTCGAGCAGCTTTTATTGCAAATTTTTATTTCTATAATTCAGGAGAATTTGCATTTTAAAGCGAAAAACAAGCTGTTTCTGCGCCCAAAATAGCAACTACCGGACAGCACTGTTGTGGAAGCGGATTGCGGATCATCACCAGTATTACGTATAGGCCATCGAATCCCAGTGACCCGTTTCCATCAGATATTCAATGTCGGCGTCACAACGCGGCGGATGCAACAACAAATGAGTATAATTGTTCTGAGCCAATAAAGTGCACGCTGTGTGGGCCGACGACTCCAATGCGCCGCTAGCAGGGATCAGGAGCAGTCGGGGCCATGTCCAGTTCGGTGTTTACGGAGGCGCCCAGCGCCCGGCCGGCGGCGGCGGATGGCGACTCCAATCTGGTGGTGGTCTACAGCAAGAACGGAGTCTCCTTTGACGAGCGCGCCATTGGGAACATCATGGGTAAGCCTTGTCCCTTGACTCATTTCTCGCCTCCCAACTGACTTGGTTTGTTTACTGCAGAGGAAAAATCGATTTCCACCATTAGCGTGGTGCGACTAACTTCGCCCACGCCCAGCATGGTGGATCAGGAGGAGGCCGAGCGGCTGGAGGAGCTGGAGAGTTTCCTGGAGGCGGCCACCGACTCTGAGCTGGACAGCGACAATGGCAGCCAAAGTGGCGGCGAAGATGCCAGCGATGCGAGTGCCCAGGACGAGGAGAATCAAAACAGCGGCGAGGAGAACAATGGTGACTCCACGGAGACGGAAACCGATGCGCCGCGCACCCGCAGGCGTGCCGGTCGCAAGCCCAAGGCCATTAAAAAGCGGAAACGACGCCGACCCAAGGAGCGACCGCAAATCGTGGGCCTGCGGGTGGAGCAGTTCTATGCGGACGGCACGGCCGATATGGTTGTGAAAAACGCCCTGAGTAAATAGCGTCGTACACAGTTGTGGTGAAAATGATAGAACAACAAAGTTTTATCGTTCAGACCCCAACTATAAATAAGCCCCGTTTAGTCTCTAACTTATTTCTATTCCACTTACAGAGCTGGCCGGAGTTTCCTGCTACAAAAGGACCGCGGAGACAGACGCCCTGATGGAAGTGATACGTAACGACCACAACTACACACCATTCACCTCGCCGGAGGAACTGAAGAACCACAAGCGGGCCGAGAAGATGGCCATGGAAATGCAGGCCCAAAGCCGCAAGATCATTATGCAGGCACCGGGAAGCGTGAAGTTAATTAATGCCAAAAAGCGGGTCCAGACCATTCCCCTCAGTCCGCTGCAGGTGAAGGTCCAGAGACTGCCCATGAAGCCCACCCCAGTTCAGCAGCCGACGCATCTGCAACCCAAGGTGCAGCTGATCCGCAAGACCATCCAACAGCCACTGCCAAGACCGAAGCCAGAGATTAACGCGAGTCCCGTGGTGAGTGTGAGGCCGCGGCCGACTCGCGCCCCCGTCAAGGTGATTGCTCCTGTCCAGGACTACATCGAAGACGATGACGATGCGCAAAGCTCGGATCCCGCTGACGAGGAGAACGCCGATAAGTCCTACGACACGGAGGAATTGAGCGAGGAGAGCGATGACTTTCAGGACTCGGACAACGACAGGGACAGCGACATGGACTTCAATATGAGGCGCAGCGGTGGCCGCAACCCAAACAAACGGAAGCGGATGAGGAAGGTGATCAGGCCAGTGCAAACGAAGCCAGCGAAGCCTCTGCCCCTGGCTCCATCAACGCCCCAACACTTCCCCGAGCTGAAGAAACGAAAGGAAGTCGTAGAACAAAAGGCTCCGCAGATCGGCCAAATCATACAGTTGCCCCCGAAGGCGCCGCCCTCGGTGATTGCCCTGGGCAGAGGTCTTGCGAGCACCTCGTTCCTCAAGATCCGACCCACACATCAGACGCTGCCCGTCAAGAAGCCGCCACTGCCAGCGACTGCCGCAAATACCAAAGTTCGCCGTATGCCGGTCGTGCACTTGGGCAGAATCATAAACTCGGCCACGCCCGGCGTTTTTACCACTCCGCCGCAGGAAGGAGTCAAGGAGATTATCATAAACAAGAACATGGCCAGTCCGAAGGGTGTGTTCACCAACCTCAACAGTCTGCTGGGCGAGAATAACAATGCAACCATCAAATCGTCACCAGATCCCCTACGCCACCGGGCCGTAATGTCGCCCAGCACCCCGAGATCGAGCTACAGCCAGCAGTTGGCGCCAATTGTCGTGCCTGTTCCTGCTCAGGCTCAAGCTCCCAACCCGTCCAAGGGTTTTATGCCCATCGGTGTGGACACGGCCCAGTCGCATAAGCTGCCCTCTCAAATTGTGATCGAAACCCACCAGAGCTCCTCCGAGTTGGCGGCGGAAAATGACAAGCAGCTTGATCTGATCAACTCGATTGTGCAGGATGAACTGCTGAAGACAACGCTGGTGGAACAGCCGACAGTGAATGCGGACGAGGATATACCAAAACTTGTGAAGATGCTGGAGAGTACAGCGGCGGGTTTGGATCAAGCGGCCGTGTCCTTGCCCACGCCGAGCTTTGCCACTTCAGAGATGCAGGGAGTTAACAACTCTGCCGTGGTGGATCCCATTGACATCACCGACGAGGATGAGATCACGGCAGATTTCCTTCAACACGTGGTCGGTCTCATCGAGGAGGACAAACAGTTTGAGGCCGAGGTGGTGAAGCAAGTGCTGGCCAGCGCTGAACCAGGTGCCCTGGATTCCATTGTGTCGTTACCCACGCCCGCGCAGCCTGTAATCTTGCCACAAGCGCCCATTGTTCAGGTTCGTTTAAAGATTTGTTTTTTTTTTAAACAAAGCTAACCTCTCGTTTCTTTCCAGCAACAAGTGAACATGCCATCTCAGGCAGTTCTTGTTGAAGCTGCGATGCCCTCATTGCCCATCGCCTGCAGCACACCTTCGAGGAGCGTGGCAAACCCGCTTCCTACCTCGGCGAAGGTTGTGCGTGGCAACGGGCGGGTCATTTACCTTCCTCCCATCGAAGCGCCCACCACGCGGGCCAAGCGACGGGCGCAATTTCCTCCGACCCCGGGAATGGCCACCACCGGCACGGGGGATCTGAGCAACCTGTCATTTGGTGATACGTCGCTGGATACAAGCATCAATCAGGTGGCCAATAGTAGCAGCCTCAGCAACGACAGCCAGTCGGGAGTTGGCCCCAAACGACCCAATCCCAGAGAGCCATCGATGGCCAGGCGCTCAACGGTGCCCAGAAGATCGAAGAAACTGAACACAAGTCAAAGCAATGATCCCGATGCTTCAGAATCTCAGGAGGATGACGATGATCCCAATAAGTAAGCTATCCTTAAAGATTATAAGGCCAGGAATCGAAGTGTCTTGAATTGATTATATTTAAATTGTTTAAATTTCCTAACAATTTATATAACAACTTAACTTTTCTTCCAGGCTCTGGTGTATTTGTCGTCAGCCGCACAACAATCGCTTCATGATCTGCTGCGATTTGTGCGAGGATTGGTTCCACGGCACATGTGTGGGGGTGACCAAGGCAATGGGCACAGAGATGGAACAAAAGGGCGTCGACTGGAAGTGCCCCAAATGCGTTAAAAAGCAGGAGGAAAAGGTAGTTAAACATAAACAAATTCCAAGTCTGTTTATATTGATTTTTCGTTTAATTTTCTAGAACCAGCCAAGGATAACGGAAATGTTGGTCACCAGAACAACCGCAGAAGCCGATGAAAAACCCAAAGAAACCAAAGTGTTGACGTTGCCAGCAGAGTTTGGCCAGGTAACGACGCCCAGGAGAACGCTGCCGGTGGGTGTTACGGTGGCCAGCTCGCCCGTACGTGTTCCCATGATGAAACCAGTCAAGAAATTCCCAGCCGGTACTGTCACCCACCAGCAGCAGCAGTTAAACTTCATCAAATTGGGCCCATCCCCTGCCAACCGCATGTCGGAATCAATATGCGTGGTGTGCAAGCGGCCAGCAAGTCCTCATTCGGTTTACTGTGGCGAGGAGTGTATACGAAAGTATGCACAGAGTGCCCTTCAAGCGCACACAGCCACCAAGGCACCAGAAAGTCCAGTGCCACACAATGCCAGCACTCAATCGCCACTGAACAACTCACTGGAGGCGAAGAAAAACAAGAAGAAGGATCTATTCGAGGACGTGTTGAGGCAGGCGGACTCCGTGTCAAAAGTGGAACGGGTAAACATTTTCGGTTCAACTCCGTCTAGCTTCTGTACTTATAGAGATTTAAAATACTCTACAGATAAATGTGTTTGAACGTAGAAGTGGTCGAGTAATCACCGGTCACTTGGCCCCCACCGCGCATCAATTCCGCAAATGGCTGCAGGAGAATCCCACCTTCGAGGTGCTGCCCTCCGGAACCCTTCACTCAGCCGACGTAGAGGTAAGTCTTGTTTTGTTTTTAACGCAAAATAATAATTATAACATATATATTACTAGAAGCGTCAGTTGAAACGCGCACCGGAAGTATCTTCCGTCGACGAATCGGGAACACCAGCAGTGCAAAAGAAGCCGCTTGAAGCTGCAACTAAACTTTCCCAACCCATCACAGTTCAGGTTAACCCACTGGGCATCTCCTCCGTGCGTCCCCTGGCCAAGAAAGTGATCGATAAGGAGAAAGAGAAAGAGAAGCCGCCGCCGCCACAAGTGGCCACTCCGGTGCGAAGCGACGGAAGACCCGAGCCAGTTCGGATTGGCATCCGGCGGTCACTGCGAGAGCAACTGCTGGCGAGGATCAAGGAAGCCCAGGCTGAGGAGCAAACTGACAACCAGACTGCCAATCAGACCACAACCCAGTGGCTGACGTCATTCGAGGTGGATCAGTTTGTCAAGAGCGTGGAACTGGAAATGTTCAACTCGTTCGGACGCGACGTGGGAGCCAAGTATAAGGCCAAGTACCGCTCGCTAATGTTTAACATCAAGGATCGCAAGAATCGGACTCTGTTCGAGAAGATTTGTGCCAAGCAGGTGGAGCCCAAGCAACTGGTGCGGATGACGCCGGAGCAGTTGGCCAGCCAAGAGCTGGCCAAGTGGCGGGAGGAGGAGAACCGGCATCAGTTGGACATGATCAAGAAATCCGAGCTGGACATGCTGTCATGTGCCCAAAACTATGTGGTGAAGACCCACAAGGGTGAGGAGGTGATCGCCACCAAGGTGGATGTGACCCTGCCCGAGGAGGATATCAACGCACCCGCAACGGTTGACAAAAAGCAGACGTCGTTGGTCAGTGAGCCAGATACCTCCGCACCAGAACGTTCCATTGCCAGGGACAAGTCGGCGACGTCCAAGGAGAAGCGACACAAGAGCCACAAGCATCATCACCGCAAGCGGAGTCGCAGTCGCTCCAATAGTCGTGGACGAACCGTGGACAAGCGCCATCGCAGGCACCACAACGAGGGCGAGTCGGGCACGGGATCAGGTGGCGGCGATCGCGACCGTGAGCATCGGTCCCGCGACAAACAGAGCCGGGAAAAAGACGAGGCAGTCCACTCACCCATCGCCAAAAAGAGAGACGAAAACGATGTGTCGCCTGTGGCCAAAAAGATGCCGGAAAAGAAAGCAGAGGCGAGTGCCTACAACCTGATCGATCAAATTCTGGAGTCTGAGAAAACGGTTGAGCAGGCGGCGAACCTGGGACAACCCAAAGCGACACCCAAGCCGCTTCCAACGCTTCCAACGCTCCCAAGCTCCTCAAAGCCCCCCGAGCCGATGGATAGCAACTATGCGCGCTATGTGCAGGGTCAGGCCACCAGTCCGCTGTGGTCCGGACCCCTGAAGATGATCGATGTGACCGAGTTCGACGTTGCGATGCACCCGGTTCAGGGCAACTGCCACCAGATGGGCAAGCTGATGCCCAGCCAGCTGGACGTGATCGGTCGCATTACCCGCGTTAATGTCTGGGAGTACATCAAGAAGCTGAAAAAGAGCCCCACCAAGGAGGTGGTCATCGTGAACATATTCCCCGCCACGCCTAACGACACGTTCAAGTTCGATCTCTTCTTCGACTACCTCGACTCGCGTCAGCGGTTGGGCGTCATGGGCGTGGATTCGGATCAGATCAGGGACTTTTACATATTCCCCTTGGGCACCGGCGATCCATTGCCCGCTGCTCTCCAGACCACGGACCGGGTGCCCTTCTACGAGGATGTCCACAGACCCAACACGCTGCTGGGGATCATCGTGCGCTGTCTGAGCAAACGACCGCCGGAGGCTCAGACCACGCCCCCATCAGTGCCTTCTCCGGTTCCCGCTGCCAGCAGCAAGGCGGCCAAGGTAAGATCTTTTCAAATGCTAACTTACGGTGGTATTCTTATCTAGACTTTGGGAAAAAATCGATTTTAAAGTTTAGACTTTCAAAAATATGATCCTAAAAAGATTTTTCAAAATTCGACTTATTTTAGGAAGTATTTTAGGAGCCATTAAACATATTTTCTAAGTTTTAAATGCGTTTTTCTAGAAACGATTTTTTTTTTGAGGTGGTTGCCTTTTTGTCTCAAGTTCTACTTAACCGATTCTTTTGAAATGTTGTCCATATCTTATTTATACAACTCCCTATTTTGATTATAAGTATTTTTAAAATATTCGAAAAGTTCCGAAAAATTGGGTAAAAAACACTTTTTGTTTTCAAGTCGACGTCATTTTATATAGGTATATTTATACATATATTTTTTTTATAGTGGTCAACCCTATAGCGTCATCTTTATCAATGAAGAATATGTTTGATTTATTTTTGCAATCACTACAAGGGTTCATATCATGTAGTGATGCACCGATTTTTTAAATATTTACAAAAAAAAATATTTATAAAGAAAAACATAAAAAACCTGGTACAAAAAAGTTTCTTTAAGTCTTTTAGATAGAATCAAGTTTTCAGAATGATTAGCGATTGATACTAATACTGAATGCCTGTCTATCTTGCAGAAACCTCGCAGCACGACCTCGTTCACGCCGCAAATCAGCCCCAAACGTAAGGCCAGCACCCACTCCACCAGCTCCAAGGATGATGAGTTCGATATTGATGCCATCATCAAGGCGCCCATTGCAAAGCTGCAGAAGAGTACGTATACGCCATGTGAGTAGCTTACAAAATGATTGCTCTAATGCTAACCATTTGCAGCGGTACCCAAACCTGTGCCCCTGCCACCGGCCAATAACGATGCCGATGATGAGCCCTACTCACCCGGCGGCTCCGATGACGAATTGGTTCCGGCTGATCCAAGGGTTTCCAACGATCTTGAGCGGCAGGTGAATGAAATCAACAAGCAAATTGCCGCGCAGCAGATGGAAATCGCTGGTCTTCTTAAAGTGGAGCCTACGGTAAGTGCTGGATTTGGGTAATCCTGGTGGTTTTTGTGGTGCTCACTTCCACGCTATCGCTACCCACAGGGATCTGCGTCCTCGTCGAATGTCCTAGCCGGCATATCAATTCCACCAAATCTTTCAAAGATTCTGGCCAGCATCAAGGACAAGGCGGACCTGTCAGCCAGCGAATACAATCCCGAGGACGCAATCACCACGACCAGTGCATTTGGTAAGTCTGCTAATGATGATGTACAGTGAAAACCCAATATGATGAACTCGCTTCTTGCAGCAGCGAAGCCGAAGAGCAAAGGTCGTTTGGCGCATCTAAGTGAAGCTGAGCTTCTTAGCATGGTTCCGGACAATCTGGCTGGCGTGATACCCAGCTCGTCGATGACCCGCCACCAGCAGCCGGCGCCGCCGCCGCTTCCGCCACCGCCACCACCTCCTGGTGTTTAGGGTGTTAGCCCCCACCTGGATGTAGGCCCAACCCGCGCGCCAATCCCCCTCTAATCGTTATTAGTTTCTGAATTCTGAATTCACGACTCTTGATTTGAAATTGTCCCTCGACCGCCCCCACTCTCCCCCTTCTCATTGTGTACATTCTCATCCAGCGAATTCAATACCATCTCTGTATTATATCTGGCCAAACGCTACCATTTAGTTTTCAGTCCTCCCAATCCCGCCCCCCGCCACCGCCCCGCCCTCGCACTTAAAGAGGATCTTCTAACGCGTTGCAATGCAAGTTGAGGATCGGTTCTTCGCATTATACTGTGTACTCTATCAAGTCCTGTACATTTCCTCGAAAATAAAAAGTGCTACGTAACATTTGTTTTAGGGATACGATAATCGTAACGATTCTTTATTTCCGACAGCACTTAGTTGATCTCGCAGGGATCGTCCTTGCCGCTGAAGTGGGCGCACGTGATCTTCGGCCCGTTGTGCACCCGTGGAATGGCGATGCGGAAGAGAGTGCCGTGCGGCATGCAGGCGCAGATCTTGTACTGGACACTGCCGGTGCGGAGGCCTAGCTCCGAGCTGACAATCGGGATGCGATCCATGTCCAGGAAGATGCCCGTGCCGGCCTCCAGGATGGTGGCGCCCTGCGTCGAGTTGATGGCGACATGGTGCTCGGCCTGCATCTCTACGCTGGCCCCGTCGAAGTAGACGCCCTCGGAGCCCCGGATGGCGGCGCGTCCGTCGCTCTCCAGCAGCAGGGACTCGTCGATGGGGCTGGCGATGCCGCTGGCACCCACGACCTTGGCCAGCAAAGCATCCACGCCGCCGGGCATGTTGTACTGCGGACGGTGGGTGGTGAAGACGGGTTGCTTGTCGACCGGGTCCTTGACCTCGAACAGATTGGTGGCCTGGACGAGGATGCCCTCGCTGTTGAGGACAATCCTGTCGCGCTCGCTGCTGGCCCCGTTGGCATTGCGGAACACCCGCACATGGACGCCGGCCTGGCCATCGCCATTGTCGGCATCACTGCTGATGGTCACTGGGACATCGGAGAAGCCGTGGATCTGGCCAATCGCATTGGTCTGCACCCGCTCCAGGTCCGTGGAGCCGTAGAACTTGACCACATCCTCCTCGGGTATCACCTCCATGCCCTGGACACCCTTGCCCAGGCGCAGCACACCCACAATGGTGAGGGTCAGGACGAGATTGCCAACGGTAAGGACGAGAAGGAGCATCACAATGGTCCAGAAGGCGAAGGTGTTGCGTCCTTGGTGGCCGGGATGCAGGCGGGAGCAGCTGTCGCTGTTGTACTTCTCGTCGAAGTAGTCCGCCGTATCCGTCTTTGAGTCGTCGCGACAGAAGTCCAAATCCGACACCACTCCTCCAATGGGCAGCGTCACGGACAGCGCGTTCTCCGAGTTGGCATCGTCGGAATAGGACGGCGAGGGTCCTCGGATGAAGGTGTTCTCAAACGTGTGCATCATTGGATCGCAATATTCTGAGTGTTCCTCTCAAAAAACCTGTCTGTATCCAGTGATACAAAAATAGGGCATGTACACGTGAAGAATACAATTCTCTGACATGCGCAGAAATTTCAAACCGCCAGTTTCGAATATTTACTAGATTAAAATGCTAACTTGCAAAGCTGTTAACTAAAACATATAAAAGAAAAATATATATACTTAATACTAAAACAATACTTTACACATTTTACTAACATCTTGTAAAGTTTTAAATTTAAGTGAATTTTCAAATCTACTTTCGAAAAAAATAAACTGTAAGGCAATACTATATACAATCCTTTGATTTACGAACATACAAATTCTTAATACTTTTTTAAAAATGAGTTTAGCCAGACGATTTCGAACTCTTTTGTTGTGACTAATTACTAAATAATGTTAATAACCTCAAAATATAAATTCAAAATAATCTAATGCTTATTGTTTTTTTCACCCATGCCTTTTTTTTAATAAGACTGTAACTAATGTTGACTGTATCATTAAATTTTAGAAAAGAAAGAAAATACATATTTTTGTTTTGTAAATTAGTTGTTTTAGAGACAAAATGTTTTTTTTTTCAAAGAATATAAAAGACGATAGGACTTATATGCTTGATGAACGTATTTTCGTATTTAACGTCAAATATCTTTGAATATTTGATTTAAAATCGATCAAATAAGCGGAACTGAACCGAACTAGTTCCGAGATAAAAATCCCGCAGCCCTGGAAGAAATAGCATGCGAAGTGGGCTTGACTTTGGTATATTTCGAATTTGTGGTCACGGTCACACTACCTGTCTCCATTTTGCAAGATGTCCTTTAAGGTGAGCTTTTGCCCAAAATCTTAAGCCCCGACTAACCCCCCAATTGCCCACAATGACGCAGCCTATTGATCCGAAGCGCGACGAGATCCGGCGCTACCTGGAGCGCGGCAGCGTCCTGGACTCGCTGACCAAGATCTTCATACGCGTGATCAAGGAGCGCCCGGAGAATCCGATGGAGTACATCCGTAACAACATCGGCGTGGTGCGTCACCAGCACGACAAGTACGAGCGCCTGCAGCAGGACCTGCAGCTGGCCAACGAGGAGATCCAGCGGCTGCGTGGCATCATCAACAGCATCAATCCAGAGGTTCTGCAGGGCCATCAGTCCGTGGCCCCCAGTGAGGCGCCTCCGGAGGCTCAAGAGGTCGTGGCAGAGCCAACTCCAGTGGCGGAGCAGCCGGAGAACGTGGAGCCCAATCCGGAAGGGAAACCTGGAGAAAGTTCGGCGGCCGTTGCGGAAGTAACAGCTGCTGTGGAAGCCTGCCAGATTGAGGAGAAAGCGGTGGTCGCCAACGACGAGGCGGCTGCCGCGCCAGCTCAACCCAATCCATCCGTCCAAGTCGAGGCCAGTGGCGCCAACGAGTAGATCTCAGATGCCAGAAGCTTACACCAAAAACATCCCATCAGAACGCATCCATTTAGAACAAGTGTAAAGTACTTTCCTTAATGTAAATGTAAATAAAGCGAAATACAAAATATGAAGCCTGCGAATTATGGATTTTTCAAATGTTTATTGAAATCAGTTTCATAATTCATACACTTTTTATATCTTTTGTTTATTAATACAAAGGATTATTGATAATACATATTAATAATAGTTAATTTTTAAAAAAACACATCTTAAAAATGACCGGGGATCGATTGATTAATGAACGGAACGGAAAGGCGGAAAGGAGTTGAATGCAAAATTATAAATTTCTTCGATTTCGGGTGCAGGTATGTATGTATATCTGGGTCCATTTGATCGGACTGCAATGTGGACGAACAAAAACTGATTCAAGGTCGAAACTTAGTGTTTATATTTCACTTCTTGGCAAGCGTTCTCCTCTGTTCAACGATTTCCCTTCTTCGATTTTTTTTGTTTTTGCTTTATACTCTTAAGGCCAAAGAGCGCTACAGGGCCCCCTTTCTATATATGTTTTGTGACCGACTAAGGTCCAGTCGCTCTCCGTACGTCTAATCCAATATTATGCTGGGTGCTCTGCTCGTACGGACCTGTTTACCTAGTGTTTAGAATTTGGACAAAACCTATAATCGCAGGTGTGTGTGCTTGTGTGTGTGTGTGCTTGGATGGTTGATTGGTTGGTCGGTAGATATATGTATATATGCGGGGGCGATTAAAAATAAATATGTGGCTTTTAATCATGGTATAATCATGTCAATGTGTTTGTAATTGCGAATAAAATCTCAAGGGGATAAACTTCATTCTTCTGCTAAGGACCCAGGATGTCCTTTGGTCGAGGCTTGCTCCTCCATGCATTCGCTGGCTGTCCGCGTTGTTGAGGGTTTTTTTTTTTGTGTGGATTTTGACGCGCTCCGGCTGCCGATGATAAGTGACCAAAAACAGAGATAAGGTTGTGGTGAGTGATTCACTAGGCACTAGGTAGCGGTAGCTTTGCTTTAACAGCCCACACTTACGTTTCATCCATGATCTGATTTGTGGCTACGAAGCATATTATTTCTGGTTGTTGCTGTGTTTTTTGTTTGTTTGTTTGTTTCTTGGTTGGATTTGTTTTGTTTTCTTGTTTTTTGTTTAATATAGAAAAAGACTGCTCTTGGTGCTGTGTGGGTGTGGTGATATTACTTTTTACGCTTGTCAGCCGGCTTGAGGATCTGGAACGAGCACATCAGCGTGTCGTCCACGGACATCATGGCGCCGGCGTTATCGAACTCGCCGCAGTAATTGGGCGCCGAGAAGAGGGTGACCAGCTGGCGCTTGGCGAAGAACTCGTACCCGTCCTCGACGACCTGATGGGCTCGGCAGATGAGATCGAACTCGTGCTTCTGCAAGAACTTGGCCACCACCTCGGCGCCGAAGGTGAAGCTGACGCCGCGGTCGTTCTCGCCCCAGCCCATGGTGTCCTTGTCCGGATCGGACCAGAGCAGATCGCACAGCAGGCCCTGGTCGGGCACATCGGTGGGGCGCATGATGCGCCGGATCTGCTCCATGGAGGTCAGATCGGGACTAAGGCCGCCGTGGCAGCAGAAGATCTTCTCATCGACAATGGCCGCCACCGGCAGGCAGTTGAAGCAGTCCGTGAAGGTCTTCCACAACTTGATGCTGTAGCGACGCTTGCACTCGTCGTAGAACCCGTAGATGCGATTGATGCTGGCGCACTCGTGGTTGCCGCGCAGCAGGAAGAAGTTCTCCGAGTATTTGATCTTGTAGGCGAGCAGCAGGCAGATGGTCTCCAGCGACTGCTTGCCGCGATCGACATAGTCGCCCAGGAACAGGTAGTTCGACTCCGGCGGGAAGCCGCCGTACTCGAACAGGCGCAGCAGATCATAGTACTGGCCGTGGATGTCGCCGCAGATCTTCAGCGGGGCCTCCAGCTCGAGCAGAATGGGCTGCGAGAGGAAGATCTCGCGCGACTTTAGGCACAGTCCGCGTATCTCGCCTTCCGAGAGCTGAACGTTCTTGCCTGGCCGTGCCCCACGCACTTCCAGAAGTCGCGATATTATGCTGTCGATATTCATCACGTCGCCCATGTTTGCTGCTTGATCTGTGGTGCACTGCTGCTACTGATGGTGTCGAGGTTGCCGCTAACGATGGTTGGTAGCGCCGAAATAGCCTCGAAATCTGTAGTTTTCCAAAACTATTTCTGCTAAATACTTTTCACAGCTAACTAGTATGAAAATTTCTCCAGTGTGTCCACATTGACAGAGCAGCAGGAAGGAACGAAACAGGCAGTTAGTCATGCCCAGGTGCGCCTATTTGTCTCTTTCTCGCTTTCTCGCTGCTCTTCTGCGTCGTACGCTTGTAACGGGTGCGAGCGGGCTGACATGTATACACCCCGATGGTGCTGCCACATCGGGAGAATACCACATCTGGCCAAACCAAAGACGCCATTTTATCTATTCGATTTCTTATCGACATGCCACTCGATAAGTTTTCTGCCTACGCCCGTCTATCATTCAATTAACTGTTAAATTAGGCGGATTCAAATCTGTATAAAATGCTTTTGAACGATATTATAAGCGGAAAAGTAGGCGACGCCGTCTATATTATTGCGGAAATTGGCCAAAACCACCAGGGATGCCTGGAAACGGCCAAAAGGATGATATCCGAGGCCAAGAATTCCGGATGCCACTGCGTAAAGTTTCAGAAATCCGATTTGTCAGCAAAGTTTACGCGATCCGCTTTGGATCGAGAATATGTCAGCGATCACGCTTGGGGAAAAACTTACGGAGAACACAAGGAGTACCTGGAGTTTTCCAAGGATCAGTACTTTGAACTACAAGCTTTCAGCCGGGAAATAAATGTGGACTTTACAGCATCCGCAATGGATGAGGTAGTATTATATTAATTAATCTTAATCTGAAATACTCTTTTTTTTAAGTAAGTTTTTCATTGAGAAAAAAAATTCTTTTATTGCATTATTGATAAGTTTAATTTATTTTTTTTATTTAAAATAATATATATGAATTATGTTGTTGGATCAAATAATACTTACGCAGAAGGCTTTATTAATTTATTCAAAAATGTAATAGTAAAAAGTTGGCAATGCAAAAATCATGCTAAAATTGAAGTATAAAGAGATTGATTTTTATATTTAAATCATTACTTACGGTCCCTGGTCAAAATATCATTAAATACTCAGATTCTGATGCGCTCATACATTATTGATAAATTCAAATTAATTTTGGTTTTTGAATCATATTTCAAGTTCAGTTTAATTTTTGAATAGCTTTTCAATGTCTGATTTACTATATAATCATTACAATACATATGATTTACAAAATCCTGTTCATTCTTTAATAGCTTTCCCTTGATTTTCTGGTCGAACTAAAAGTGTCATTCATTAAAATTGGCTCCGGAGATGCAAACAACTTTCCGCTTTTGAAAAAAGCAGCCCGTTTGGACATGCCATTGGTAATCTCGACCGGAATGCAGACCATGGAGACGGTGGAGAGGATTGTTCAAACAATGGAGGAGGCTGGAAAACGAAACTACGCTCTAATGCACTGCGTTTCATCATACCCAACTGCCCCCAAAGATTCCAAATTGCAACTGATTTCCATGCTGAAGAGGCGCTTTCCCAATGTACCCATTGGTTATTCTGGCCATGAACTGGGAGTGGTCATTAGTCAAGCTGCTGTCTTGCTGGGAGCACGCATAGTGGAGCGCCATTTCACCCTGGACAAAAATCAGAAGGGCTCCGACCATCGATGCTCACTCGAGCCCCAAGAACTGAGAGTCCTAACCACAGCAATTACGAACTTTAACCTTTCGACAGTTCCGTTGTCTCCCAAAGAAATCTTACAAAAACTTAATGGCACTGCAGAACTGGAGGAAGCTCTTGAGGACGTTGAGTGTAAAACCATTTTACCTTGCGAGTTGCCCTGTCGAAATAAACTGGGCAAATCCATCGTGGCATCTAGACCTCTCAAAAAAGGCCACAGACTTCAATTGGCGGACATGGCCATCAAAGTAAGTGAACCCAGCGGCCTGGCAGCAGAGTCATACATGACCATAATCGACAAGGAATTAACAGACGATGTTGGTGAGGATGAACCCATATTGGGGATTAGTATAATCCTTTAGGTCATGGTGTTTGGAAAAATACATGATGTGCAATGTGAAATGCAATTGTAAGTGAAAATATCCTGGCTCGTTTTATTCGGCTCCATCGTCGCTGCCGTCGTCCTCGTTCTCATTCTCAATCATCTCGATGTCCTCCTCGAGGTCGCCTTCCTTCTTGTCCGTGGGCTTCTCGTAGACAGCGGTTAGGGGAGAGACGCACACGCCGTTCCAGACGGACATTTCGCGCACGATGCTGGTGTTGCCCTCCAATCCCAGGATGTGCTTGTATCCTCCGTGGGCCAGCACACGGAGCAGCGTCTGCGACGTGTAGCAGCACACATCCTGCTGCTCCAGCGTCATGGCAGTGTGCACTCGGATGTGACCCGGTTCGGTGGGATCTGTGATGCCGGCCGAGCCGGGCAGAAAGAGTCCGGCGGAGAGCAGCTGAAAGACGCGACGGAAGGCCAAATTGATGGGCAGGGCCTGGCGCGACGGGTTGTTCATGATGGCCAGGTGGGCGATCAGGTCCAGCATCCAGGCCGACAGCGGCGCGAAGGCGTCAAAGCGCCTGGTGAGATCCTTGAGTATGCGAATGAGCACCTTGATCGAGGAGTGGTGGGCGTTCTCCTCAAACCAACGCGTGTGCCGAATGGCGGCCAGATGGCTCTGCATCAGCTTGTGATCCAAGTGGATCTCCGGCTCCAGCTTGCGCAAGTTTTGTGGCAAGGTAGCGATCAGGATGCGCACCTTGGCATGGACGTTAGCGATGTCGAAGCCGCGCTCGTGGATCTGCACAGTATGCTGGTCGCCCTTGGTCAGCACCTCAGTCTTCATGCTGGCCTTCAGGTCGGCCTCCACCTTTTTGGCCAGAGCGTCAACCGACTCCTTGGTGGGTAGCGTCTTGAGAATGACCACCACATCGGCCACGTTATTGCCGGTTAGAATGGTGCCCTTCTTGAACGAGCCCACCTGACGCACCTCCTCCAGTTGCTATTTATGAATGGCATTGAGAGTATATGACCGGGAAGGAAGAGCAAATATACTCACGCAAGTAGTCAGATCGCCGGGAGCCACCACCAGGTTGTCCAGCACAGCCTGCACCTTGGTCACCAGATTCCCGATGGCCGTCTGCTCGCTGGGAGTGGGACTCAAGTCCTGGTTGCGTTTCAGCAGTGCCTGTGAGAAATGTTATGATTTAGTTGAATCCACCACGCATGTGCGTTTATTGATTTACCGCAGTTAGAGCCGAATCGTCCACGGTACCGGCGAGTGGGACTTTGGGAAAGAAGACCTCCGCCAGGGTCAAATCGAACGGGTGGCGGGGCACAAAGGTTTTCTTGAACGGCGGACGGATGCCCCCACGCATGGGGCGTCCACCTCGGAGAGCTCCGCGCACCATATTCCTGTGTGGATGAATTTTTACTTATTTTCTCAACGCCGGAGCGTTCTGTTTTTCTTGAGGGATGAGAACAGTGTGACCGCAGCTAGACCGGTAAAAAACACCATGGGGCTTCAATATAAATGTGAAAAGATTTTTCAAATTAAACCAAGTTTATAATAGGCTTTTCACACAGGCGCTTAAATAAGTGGATGTGTAATAAATAACGCTAGCGTTCAGACAGAGCGGGGTTTATGCGAAATGGTAAAGTGCTCTTTTTAAATTCGTTATATATTATTTAAAATACTATATTTACCGTTCAGAGTCTCTTCAACATAGGAGAAAGCCCGGAAGACCAATAGAAAGACCATCGTGTCTCAAGTTGTTAAAGACTTGAAAATAGACTTCTGCTCTGCAAACTAAAAAATAAGAGTACTTAATTAAAAAAAAAAATGTATTTTGTATAACTATTAAAATTTCTATTAAATAAAGTTGTTGTACAAACTTTTCTGGGTGCATAGTTTGTTTACAAAGTGTTTTTAATTCAATACATATGTATACGCTGCTGCAAACGTTTTAAAACGTTAGACTGTGTGGCCAAACATTCAGTGTACAATTTTGAAGCAGTGTTCAATTTTTAGCATTCCGAATTCGGTCACACTGCCGCCCAATTGCTGTGTCATTTTTGTTTCTGTGCGAAGTAAGTCGGCTTTTTTATTTTAAACATCAAATTACTGCTGCTAAAGACTAGGAAATATGGCTACCGAACGCTATAGCTTTTCGTTGACCACGTTCAGGTGAGAAAATCGTGAAAACCGATGAGGAGCAACTCAAATGGAACTTAACCTGCCGCCATGACTGGGCAATAACTACAACTCTTGCCATTTTGCAGTCCTTCCGGAAAGCTCGTTCAACTGGAGTATGCATTGGCGGCCGTATCCGGCGGAGCTCCCTCCGTGGGCATCATGGGTGAGTATTGCCAGAAATCTGCCCTGTGCATTCAATATAAAGCCCCCTTCGGATGCAGCTTCCAACGGCGTCGTCATTGCCACAGAGAACAAACACAAGTCTCCGCTTTATGAGGAGCACAGTGTGCACCGCGTGGAGATGATCTACAAGCACATCGGCATGGTCTACTCGGGAATGGGTCCGGACTACCGCCTGCTGGTCAAGCAGGCCCGCAAGATCGCCCAGACGTACTACCTGACCTACAAAGAGCCGATTCCAGTGTCGCAGCTGGTGCAGCGCGTGGCCACTCTCATGCAGGAGTATACCCAGTCGGGGTAAGTGGGGGATCCATTCTCAAAATTGTATTGCCTGATAACATCTCCCAATCCCTCTCACAGTGGTGTTCGTCCTTTCGGTGTTTCCCTGCTGATCTGCGGCTGGGACAATGGCCGTCCGTATCTTTACCAATCGGATCCTTCGGGCGCGTACTTCGCCTGGAAGGCCACTGCCATGGGCAAGAATGCAGTCAACGGCAAAACCTTCCTGGAGAAGCGGTTAGTACCAATTAAACTCTTAATCTACATTTGGTTATAAAATTCTCTTCCCGATGCAGTTACAGCGAAGATCTAGAGCTGGACGACGCTGTACATACCGCCATCCTCACTCTGAAAGAAGGTTTCGAGGGAAAAATGACTGCCGACAACATTGAGATCGGAATTTGCGATCAGAACGGATTCCAGCGTTTGGACCCCGCATCGATCAAGGACTATTTGGCCAGCATCCCCTAAACGTTAAACGCCCCGCTAAGATTAAACCCAAGCTAAGCTTTTTTGATAAGTACGGGACATTAAAAAAAAATAAAATTTACAACTTTGGTGTTATTTGAAATTCAGATTTTTAATAGATGCAGTTATTAAGTCTGCTTCACTTGGCCTCAATGGTCTCAAAATATCCAGCACAAGTCTCGGGGTCGAATACGAAGAGATTGCGGTGCGGCGCCTCCATTTTGGTAACCACCTTGATGACCTCTTGGGCCACAACGCCGCCCACTACCGCCACGGCTGGCGAAATCTGGGCAAAGATCACGCCCAGAGCTTCGTCTGTTAGGTCAGAGTTTGGCAGTAGTTCGTCGCGAATCCCGCGAAGCAGTTCCAGATCCGCCGCTCGGGTCTTGTAACTGGGATCTCGCTGGTGGGTGGTACGGAACTTCTGCAAAACGCTCAATAGCAAAACTCCGGGTCCGTTGCGTTTTAACTTGCGCAGATAACTAGGCGCTGTAATATCGAAATCCAGCCAGGCCGAATAGCCGGGGTAATCCACTTCGCGTTGTGTTGGAATGGACACAGTTTCGTACTTTTTTTTCTTATCCGGGTCGGAAACCAACTTGTGTTTGATTACATCCCTGGGAAAAATATAAATTCATTAAAATGACTTGTTAAACATTAATATGCTATGAATCTTAAGACTGGTTTGGATTTACCAGAGGCTAATCGTAAACTACATTAATAAAAAAACATACTCAACGTAGCTGTGCTTCTGGAGACTGGCAAAGTAGAAGCCAAAGGTGCCCCAAACATCGGTGGCTATGAACTTAACGCCCAACTCCCGGCAAATGGTGTCGATGCGCAACAGTTCCTCGTTGGTCTCGCCATTGACCACCACCACGTCGAACTGGCCAAAGAACTCCGCGGTCTTCTCCTTCAATGGTTCTCTGTCGGCGGAGATGTCCACCATCGGATTAAGAGCACGTGCGCGCACCAAGGAGGCTTCGGCGCGATTGGTGTTCAGGGATTCACGTGCTGCCAGGAACTGCGAACAAAAGTCCGCTTCGGTTACGGACTTATCATCCAACAGCTTTACAGAGTTAACACCAGACAGAATGATGTTCTTGGTTATTTCGGCACCAAGGCCACACAGTCCTGCAATTAGGATCTTGGCCGTGCGCAGGCTGAAAATTTGCAATTGATTAGAGCGCCATTGCAAAAAGCCGGCTTTTTTTGCACTCACCGCTTCTGCGATTCCAGGCCCCACAGGCGGATTTGTCTGTCGTACAGTTCGTTCTCCGCCTCCGTGAGCTCCACTACCGCCTCCTTGGTGTCCATTTCCACGCCCATAATTGATTTCCAATAGTTAAACTCTTTTCAATTGCTTAAATTCAGAGACGCCAGCTGAAAGCACTAACGCGTTTTAATAACACCAGAATGCCGTTCACGAAATCAGTGATGTCGATTTCCCCATTGGCAAGTTATCGTACTATATTTTAGCTAGAAGGGATATTTTTTTAAGGGAACGAACATTTTGTAATTCAAAATGATATGTTGCTCCGCAATGATAGGAATAACAATAAAATTAATTGAGCATTGCCGGAACGTTTGCCAGGTGTTCCTAACATATTTAACTTTCTGAAAATTAAGTTAATTTAGCTGTTACATTTTCTAGCTGTCAAATCAATCAGTAAACTAGCTTTATTTAAGGGAAAAAAGCTAGATAGTCACACCCTAGCAATCGGATGGTGGCAACCCTGCAACACAATTACCATTGAATTGTTTTTACGAAACTTGACGAATATTTAATTTTCCGGTAAGCATTTCCGCTTGTTTACCCTTTAATTGTGAGTAATTTATTGTTTTTTGCACCAGGAAATGTTGCGTAAATTATGCAGACAGGTGGGCCAGCAGGTGGGTCAGCAAGCACGTTTCACAGCTTACCGCACATTCTCCTCGACAAAAGCGCTGCGCAAAGGTTTGCACATACAATTCGGCTGAAAAACCGGTGACATAATGTGGGAATACATTAACCGTGAGACACCTTCACCATTCCAGATGCTGCGCCCCAGGAGGCGGCGGAGTCCGGCCCGCCCAAGAACATCCTGGTGGAGAAGGACAAGAACATCACGCTGATCGGAATTAACCGGCCGCAGCAGCGCAATGCCATCGATTCCCTCACCGCCTCGCAGCTCTGTGACGCCTTCGCCACTTTCGAGGCGGACGACACGTCGCCGGTGGCCGTGCTGTACGGCGTGGGCGGGTCCTTCTGCTCCGGCTTCGACATCCTGGAGATCAGCACCGACGAGAAGGAGGAGATCAGCGTCGACATCCTGATGCGGCCCGAGGGCTCCGTGGGCCCCACTCGCCGCCAAATCAAGAAGCCAGTCGTGTGCGGCATCAATGGCTACTGCATAGCAAACGGCCTGGAACTGGCCCTGATGTGCGATCTGCGCGTCATGGAGGAGTCCGCCGTACTGGGATTCTTCAATCGCCGCTTCGGCGTGCCAATGCTCGATGCCGGCACTATTCGTCTGCCGGCCATGATTGGCCTGTCCCGTGCCCTTGACCTGATACTCACTGGTCGTCCGGTGGGCTCCCAGGAGGCCCACGACATCGGCCTGGTCAACCGGATCGTGCCCACGGGCACTGCCCTGGGCAATGCCCTGGAGCTGGCCACGTGCATTGCCAAGTTTCCGCAACGCGCGCTCATTCACGACCGCAACTCGGTCTACTCGAGCACTTTCGAAACGTCCACGTTCCATCAGGCGGTGCAGAACGAGGTGATGTTCACTTCGCGTGAGATCATCGAGGATATGCAGAACGGCATCAAGTGGTTTAACCAGAGTGAGTTGCTTCGGGCTTATTAGGGTTCCCCTTTCCCCATTCTAATCGTTTATTGCACACAGCTTTTCAGCCGGACAACACGCATTCGTGGCTAAAGCGGGATCGCTCCATGGCCGACTGGGATGACGAGGAAGTGGCTGAGGCCGCCGCGCAAAAGGAGAAACTAAAGCAAGAGCAGGAGGCTGCCCTGGCCGAGGCCGAAAAACAAAAGCAGGCCGAAAAGGACCAGAAAAAGTCAAAGAAGGCTGAAGAAAAGCCAGCTGAAAGCGCAGATAGTAAAGATCCCAAAGACAAGCCAACTGAAAAATAGGAAAGCCTGATAAAAAAAAACAAAATTACCTGTTCCCAATCATTTAAAATAATTTTGTACATAACGCACTCATAAGCAGTTCCAAACTGATCCATTCGACTTTGCTAACTTATTGAAATACATTATTGTAATCGGAAACAAGTGTTTGAGCGTAAATGGTTTTAATCTTTTAATCGTCAGATATAAATATGTTTAAACACCTGTTTGTGGGGTCAATATAAATTGTAATTGGTAAATGTTTTAGACCCTCAAATTTTTAATGCAGTAAAGAAGACATATCCGGCCCCATTAAGTATATATGTTCTGGGATTTTAGGAAGTTTAACTAATTTGAATTCCTAGCAACAGCAAGGTTGATGCTGCGATTTACAATGAAGAAAATGTAAATTATGTGTCGCATATCAATTGCATAATTACAAAATCATTGATCTAGGGTTAATAATAAAAATTCAAATTCATTGTTTTATGTATTGAAGTCTTTCTAGTTGTAACAGCATTTGTAACACAGTAACTGCAGTGATCGGAAGTGCCAAAATCAAAAGTATTTTATATCCCACAAAGCTAGTTCCTACATTTAAAGAGCTTTTTAGAAATAACAAAGACGATTGTTGCAAATTCGGTTAAAGTGATTTCAAGACCCGATAAGGAGTTGCAGTGCAGTGAAGACAGTGACATGGCACCACTTTTTAGGATTAGCACCAATGACGAATCGTCAAGGCAGACAGGCGTTCTTTTCGAGGACGATGCAAAAACTGTTGACGGAGACCTGGTCATCGAGAGGTTTAAATTGAAGCGGGCCGAGAATCGGAAGCTAAAAACCTATATAATTTAATTTAATACATAATCCCTGTTTTTTCAGCAAAGATTAATCAATACAATATTGTATAATCTTGTTTTTCATATATATATTTCCACATCATTTTTCCTTAATTTTTATTTTTAATTTTATATGCATATTTGTTTATTCCGTACCTTAGGCTAGGTAATACACACTAGTACCTGTGCCAACACTGCTTATAGACGCAATCCGGTAAACAAAAACATTTAACTGCCCAATTATCAACGGTTTATGATAGTGCTAATAGTCGGTGCCAATTATAACTGATATTGCTTATCGAAAGACCGAAGGGATTTCTTTGTGGTGATCCGTCGAGGGTTGAGGGTTGAGTGTTGAGGGTCTAGCAGGTCGGATGTGATAAGACTAATCGTTGTGTCTGTAGGAAAGTTTAAGATTGATTACGCCTGGTCTTTTCGAGCCGCTTACGTTTTGCTCTTGACGTCCGGCACGTGGAGCACCACCTGGGCCAGTGCCTGTGCATTGACCCCGGCCTCCAGGAGCTCAAGGCACAGGTCGAAGGCCGTCTTGGACAAACGGGTGTTGATCAGGGCCGACATTCCATGCAGGGCTATGTGCAACGGCGGCGAAGTGTGCAGGCAAAGAAAACTACCAGTGGTTGGCTGAGCCCGCGGCTTTAAGTCCGGAGCTTCATCCGGTTCAGTTCCTTGCGACATTATTTTTTTGGCTGATCATTGGCTAGTTGACAATTTAAAACATGTTATACTGATTTAGGGTAGTAACCGGCTGTGAGGATCAGTTCCCTTCGAAGAAAGTATTCCAGCATGTATGGGTATCTTGGGAATGGGTGGCCATTGTTAGGAGCAGCAGTGCGGCTGAAAACGTGGTATGGAATCTTTGTATTTGGGCCAGCACTAGAATGCTGATATAAGTAGCGGCTTATACTATTATTTTGACTGTATTAAACAGTTTTCAAAATACTTTTCTTTGCTTGCATGTTTTATGATGTCATAAACTAATTGATAAAAGTCCATCACAATTTTAAATAATATCTTACATTTTCCTACATATTACGTTATAAAAAAACAATTTAAATTAAAAAAAAAACATGTGTCCAGTTTCTACATAAAAGTGTCAATGTCAAAGAAGAAATTCTGGAAGCTAATATATATTATTTTTTCAACAACCATTTAACCGCCCAAAATCAAAAATTTAAGCTGAATCGGCTTAAAAGTGAAATCGGAACTTATAAATTCAAATTTAATTCAAAATCATTTTCAACTATCGATAAAATTAGGAAAATAATCAATCCGAACCGGGAAACCCCTTTAAGATAATATCGATAAGATACCATAAATCGATATTTTTCTTGCTCATAACTACGTGTACAGCAGTGTCATCACTAAAAATAGGAGATTTTTGGAATTAAGTTGGTCATAAAAATATAAAAGTGCAGTATTCCTCGGGGCCTGGATAACATTTAAGTAAGTCGTAAGCAATAACACCGTACCATCACGCCAATAACATAAGGTACTATATATTTTAAGCTATTGTTGATACACATACATACACGTTTTCGCAAATCTGGCTGCTGGCCGGCGTCTGTTTTATTGAATTGCGTGTTGCTGATTAGAAGTATTGTCGATTATCAAGTAATGGAAATTTATTTAATAGATTATGGTTCTAAAAGCAGTGCATTGCACCGAAAGTTGTTTACATGTGACCTTAGCGCGCGCACGCCCCGGTGACGTCATTCCTCATGCACCTAATCCCAATTTAACCCTTTCAGGGGCATTGGGAACTACGCATACCCAGTTTCAATCAGAATCTGATTAGCAAATGATATTTTATACTCTTCCAGAGAGTGCTTAAAAATGCTTCTTAAAAATAGAAAATTCTAAGTAAAGTAAGACTCATTGCTTACTTCCGTCTGCCACGTTTGAAAATAGAGTTCAAGACTTCCTTACTTCCTGTTCTCAAAAGTTTGGCAAGTGTTTTTGTTATATAAAATAACTAAAATTAGATATTTGTCCTTCTATCAACTTGAAATAATTTTTATTAAAACCATATTATAAAATATTGCTGATGAAGGGTGTTACAGATTTGTATAAAATATGGATTATAAACTTTTTCAATTGACGTCCAAAGAAGTACGTAAGTCACATCCGCTGATGATCAGATTAAGAAATTTCTAATTGAGTCGTGATTAATTCCTTTGAAATTTACGAACATGTGGGGCAAAATGTACAGATTTTAAGCGTCTCTTCAAACTGCGCACTACGAAGTGATTTGTTGTTTGAATATAAACACATGTATAGATAAATGGATATTTGTTATATATAATAACATATGTATGACCTATTTGTATATACAATTATTTTTTATTAGAACGCAGTGGCTCTTTTGAAAGACATTCTAAATAGAACATTATACTGGATTATCCGACACTATTACAAAATTCAAGGTTTTAAATTTTCTTTTGGCGCAAGCGATTCGGATGTGCATTTCGTAATTTATAGCTATGACATAAATATTCAATTAGTTGGATAGTTTCCAGCGTTGGAAGTGGAAGAAAAAATTCGCGTGTCACTTAACCTCATCTTCTGAAATGTTTGAATACAAAAAAATATGCAAAGCAGACGCCTTGTGTTTGTATGTCTTTAGTGAAATATGTATAGTTATTGGTCTAAAGCTCGAGGAGGTTGATCTTGCTAACTGGTTTCGATCGGCCAAAGTACGAGAACCGTAAACTTGACTAGAAACAGATTATGAGAGGGCAGGTGTATTCACGGCTAAACCATTATCATAGAAAGCCGGCAAACCAGAAATCATCGATAAGATTGGTTTAACACAGTCCCAAACTTTCAGCTGGTTCCAAAGTGCGAAGGCTAACCTTTCCGGTGATGGGTTGGCCCTATTTTTACCTTATGATAATTGTATTGTTTACTAGCCTCATGCCAATTGACTCGAAAACTCCACCGTTTTAAATCAGATTCAATTAATCACTTTAGGAGCTGGGCGGTGCGCACAAACTTGGTGTTTGTCGTTTCGCAGATGTTGACAATTTCACAGAGATTAGGACGGAAGATTGAGCTACGTGCATGCCGCTAATCTGGGGAACTCGAGGGGAAATAGCCACAAAATGCACACGACGGCGGAGAAAAACGCTCTGACGTTGTCCCGCCGCTTTGCCCAATCGATTTGTTTTCGTTTTGGCAAGTGTGCGAACGGTTGGTCAGTTCAATTCGAAGTCGTCTAGTGAATGGACGTGTGCTCTGGCACTGCTCCACTGAAATAGTGAAAATAGATTGAAATACCAAAGAGACCCACAGTTTTCGGACACCCGACTGTGCGAAGAGAAAAGTGCGAGTTTTAGAAGTTGTATTGTGCCTTTTTTTGGAGAAGCAAACAGGTTGGTTTTCCAGCTGGTCTTCAGTGGCAACTTGTTGAGCCATTGCATCAGGATTTGTTTTTCCCTGGACCAGTGTTTACGTAAACCCAGCCCCACAAGTAGAAAATCGAGAAAAGCCACTAACGCAAGAGTTTTTCGGTAGCTTTAAATTTGCCTACAAACTCTAAACATGTGAATTTAATTTTAAAATGCCCTCTGGCTCTACGATCTTGGCTCAAGTTTATGTAGCGTTCACTCTTCGTTTGTCAAGGTTTCAGTTGAACGGTCACTGTGCATTTCGGAAGGTTAGGTCTTTTGTTTTTAAATACCCTTGTGGAGGGTCAGTTGATTTATTCCGTGGGTTAGAAGCGTAGAAAAAAAACTCGTTCTATATTTAAAACTAATCCACACATGCTTAGAACTTTCTTGATCGAGTACAACATAAAAATTTCAAAGTTGAGATCCCATTAAGTCGAACAGGAAAGCGGGCGTTCAAGTTTAATGACAAATTTACATCACATTTGCAAGGGCAATCGAAGCTCTGTACCCGACGCATTCGCTTTTTCCGTGCTCTATTTGATTTATCATATGAATTAATTCTTTGCTTTTCGACTTTAAACTAAGCTGAGCCAGTTTCTCTTTTTTTTTACGGTGAATGAACTTTGACTGCAATTATACATGGATACGAAGTGTAATTTACCGCTTAAATTGCAAATTAATTGTTTCGAACTTGTGAAAAACGAATTGTCACTCGTTTTGAACCACAGCCCGCACGTCAAGCGGACTAGTTTTACAGCTAAAGTCTATTTGTCAAATTAGATAAAGTGCAAATATTCAATTGTCAGATATGACATCTAAACAAAACGTCGGACTGCAGAGCAAATGATGAATTTGAAAAATTACTTTACAGAATAATTTGTACGTTTACATTGTGTTGAAATAGAAGTTGAACCAACAACTGTTTATGGCATAAAACATAAGATACACTGAAATAGATAAACTAGATACATACATATAAAGTAACTTTTGGACTTATTTCAATTAAAAATAGAAAAACTGCATTTTCAAATGCTGAAAAATAACTTAAGAAACTCTTCTGAGAATTATGTAGGCACATTTAAACAGTTTAATGGAATTTTTAACAGATTTTTTTGTTTGTTTGGTTAGAATTCTAGAACATTGTTTATGTGTAATATTGTAGGGAAGCATCACGCTCTTGCAACGTGATAGCGGGCCGCAACAATAACAAAAGTCAACTACTCTCTCCCTTCGGCCCGCTCTCCATCTTGCTCTCTGTCTCTGCCTCCATTCACGCTCTTTCACTCTCTCGTTTAAGCTCCCACGCTTTCAGTTCCCCCCAAAAATACAAGAAATTGGCATGAGGCCATGCAGCTGCAAATTTCAAGTTCAATGCGTGCCTCTGATAAATGGAAAATGTTTGCTGACTCTGTCTGCTTTTTGCCGGTTTTCGGACTCATTTGATTATGTATACCGCTCTCCCTTGGCTCCAAAAGCAATCGCTTGTTTTGTTGACATGTTGGCGGCATTTGCTTTTTTCTCCCTTTCTCTCACTATCTCTTGCCCTTTCGTACGCCATTTTAAAAGCTTTCTCTTGTGATCTACTGTTCTTGCATTACAAATATACATATGCACATAGCAACGAATGCGGAATTCTTCTCTCCACCCTATCTCTCTACAAACAGGGGCTTATGTATATAACTTTTCAAAGGGGGTACTTCAGGAAGAAAACTGTTATTGTCTATGAAAAGCGTTCACAATTTGTTGTCAATATGTTTATTTGTTCTAAAAAGTTAGAATGATTCTTTAACTTATTGTATTGTTGTTATTTTAAAAACTTTAAAAACTACACTACGTAAAGAAGAAAAACATTTTATCCACTCATTTTTAAATCTTCTAGAGCCATAATGTTAAATACCAAACGCAAAAGTTTGTTAGTACGTTTATTTAGCGCGTTTTACAAAATTGAGCAAAATTTATTGTTGTTATGGGGAAAGGAAAATTATAATTTGACTTTAAATCCAAAACAATAATCAAAAGGCATTTTGTACTGGTTCTCAATCCGTAAATTCTAGCCGTAAATTCAAACGATCTAAATAGTAAGCAAAGCACCCCCCGTGGTAAAGCCCCTGTTCGACACTCTCTTCTAATCACCTTTTTGGTGTCTATTCCCATAAGCATCGTATGATTTTTAAGCTCTTGCCTGACCGCAGGTTCACGTGTTTAATTGGGCTGTGTTCCCATCCAGAGTTCGAAGTACAGCTGACCGACCAGTTTTGTAATATCTGCTTGTCTGATGAAACAGCAGTTAGCGACTGAACCGCATGTGATTGGATCAAGATAGAAGTATAGATAGAGACACGCCGCCACCGCCATCAACACGACAGGTTGTTAAGGGCGGCCAACCGATTAGATTGGGCCAAAGTCGGCCGGTCTGCAGTCTGCAGTCTAGACAAATCAAATTTAACCCTGACCTTAGCAATAGGCGAAATCGTTCAACCAACCGACCCAACATCTAATCTGCAAATAAGGAGCACACCGCACACACCACACACACCTGCAAAAGCTTTCCAGCGACTAATCTAGAGCTTGCGAGCGAGCTTTTTGGCAGCTGCCGCGATTATTCTTCATGCGAAAGAAACTTCGACACAGCACTTTCAAAACCCAAGTTAACCAAAACGGCTTGTCGTTAATTTGTGCTGAGGCAAAAATAAAACATATTTTTTGGGTGTAACCAGGTACAACAAAGTGGGTGTCTCAAGTGCCATTCCTCGAACGTGGACAAGTGTTTGCGATGCACTTACTGCTGAATAGTTTGCAATTCTTGTTAATTTTGCATGTAGCATGGTGTGCGTGTGTGTGTGTGTGTGTGTGTGCCTGTATATCAAAGCATGTTAAAGTTGATTGAACAAGGAATTTTCCACTAAGCGTTTTGCTTCTTAACCTTGAGCCAAGGTTCCCAATTCCCAGTTCCCAGTGACCCACAAAACACATGTTACAAAAATCCACCACCTGGTGCTTTTTCCCACACACCGGCTTTTTCATTATTCATGCTGTGCGAATCCTGACACAAGGACGCGGCCAGCGAATATTGATTTTTTTTCAGCCATTAGCCATTAGCCGATTAAAAATCCGCATTAGGCAAGAATTTAGTATGAAAGGGTACGGACACTCGACTTGACTCGACGGCACCTCGGGGTCTGGCCATAAAGAGCTGTTTAAATCGCCTCCCAAAAGCGTGTCAAGTTCAGCTGGCTAATTGCCCAAGCCACCAAGTTGGCGCACACAGTAATTGCTATTTTGTTTATTTCGTTACTGACGTGTTGTTTCATCTTTTTTCCCACCAACAGTTGATGCAAGATGCCGCCCAACGCCCAAGCCGGTGCCCAGTCCATCACGGACTCGCTGCTCGCCGCGGCTAGTGCCGCCGCCGATTCGGGGCAGAGCCCCACTAAGCTGCAGGAGGACTCCACCGGAGTGCTCTTCGAGTGCGATGTGGAGACCACCGATGGCGGCCTCGTCAAGGACATCACCGTGATGAAGAAGGCCGAGAAGCGCCGCCTGAAGCTCGTCTGGCGCAACATCATCGCCTTTGGATACCTCCATCTGGCGGCTCTCTACGGCGCTTACCTCATGGTCACCTCTGCCAAGTGGCAAACCGTCATCCTGGGTGAGTTGAACTACATCTTTATCGGGGGAGTTAAAAAAAAACTCTACCAACCTGATTGATTTAAAAGCCAAGAACCAACTTAAACTTCAATTACGTATTAAAATTATATTTAGTCTAAAATTTGCAATGCTTTTATTAGTTTCAAATCGCTTAGCCAAGTTAACCGAAACTTTAAAATAAATAGAAAACAACGATGGTTACAATGAACTTTGTTTGAACTAAAGTGCTAACGCAGGGTCATATTATTAAAAAAAAACAAAAACTAATTACTAAATAGTTAAAACACTTTCTTAGAACAACATTATCTGGTGACCTGATTCACCCTTTTTGCTTTTTACTTTAAAACGTACCTACGATTTTCTAATTTGCGTTCTGTATTGTAAAATGTTGTTTACCCAATTAGGAAAATTTTAGCGCTTTACGAAATGCATTTTGATAGATGAATTGAGTGAGACTTGGCAACCATTGCATTTTTTAGACGCGTGCCGGCGCGCGAATATATGGGGGCTATCTATTGCTCTGGCCCTGATAACCTTTGCAAAGTCGTATTTATGGCAAATCATGGCACAGACTGCTGATCGGGCTTTCCTTAAATGCGATTACCTTTACGTGCTGAAATTTGTTTTCGTCGTAAATTCGATCACCTGATGCTGACTATCTGTTTCTAAAAGCAAACTTTAAAACCACAACTTGTAAAAATGAAAAAAGATTAATCAATACGCAAACAAAGGTTAGAAAATAAAGCAAGATTACAAGATTTAATATTTATTATAGATGATTACAAATCAATCTATTAAGATTAGGATTAGGATTATGTTATTTCTGATGCTAGTTGCGTGTTCGTTTTCACTTATCAATTAGATTGACATTTTTGTTTGATTTTTTCAGCTTATCTTCTATATGTTGTTTCCGGTCTGGGCATTACTGCCGGTGCCCATCGTCTGTGGGCGCATCGCTCCTACAAGGCCAAGTGGCCCCTGCGCGTGATTCTGGTCATCTTCAACACGATCGCCTTCCAGGATGCCGCCTACCACTGGGCCCGTGACCATCGTGTCCACCACAAATACTCGGAGACCGACGCCGATCCGCACAACGCCACCCGTGGCTTCTTCTTCTCGCACGTCGGCTGGTTGCTGTGCAAGAAGCACCCGGAAGTGAAGGCCAAGGGCAAGGGAGTTGATCTATCCGATCTTCGCGCCGATCCCATCCTCATGTTCCAAAAGAAGTAAGTTTTTCAATAAAACTATTTAAGTTGTGACTAAGTCTTATAAAATATTTTCTATTGTGCAGATACTACATGCTGTTGATGCCCATTGCCTGCTTCATCATTCCGACCGTGGTGCCCATGTACTTCTGGGGGGAATCGTTTATGAATGCCTGGTTCGTGGCCACCATGTTCCGCTGGTGTTTCATCCTGAACGTAACCTGGCTGGTGAACAGTGCTGCCCACAAGTTTGGTGGCCGCCCCTACGACAAGTGAGTGTTGCAAACATGGCCAAAATTTCAAATGGTTACTTACAGAATGAACTAATCTATTTGCAGATTCATCAACCCCTCGGAGAACATCTCTGTGGCTATCCTGGCCTTCGGCGAGGGATGGCATAACTACCACCACGTATTCCCCTGGGACTACAAGACGGCCGAGTTCGGCAAATACTCGCTAAACTTCACCACCGCCTTCATTGACTTCTTCGCCAAGATCGGTTGGGCATACGACCTCAAGACCGTGTCCACGGACATCATCAAGAAGCGTGTGAAGCGCACCGGTGACGGAACCCACGCCACGTGGGGATGGGGCGACGTGGACCAGCCCAAGGAGGAGATTGAGGATGCTGTCATTACACACAAAAAGAGCGAATAGGCAGGCTGAGCTTAGGGCTTATCATGGGAGGGTTTAGCAGAAAATCAATCAAATTCAAATAAAACCAAGTAACATAATTTTCCATTTTGCACATGTCCGCGGAACAAATTTCCTAAAAGAGCAGATGAAACCCATTTAATTAATTCTAAGATAAAACGTTGATGATAACTGTTTGTTGTATCTCGAAAACTTTATACCGTCTGTGTTAAACCAGCTCTGGAAATGTTTTTATTTCGCTCTGGAAATGCTTTTTAAATGAGACGCAAACTAACTTTGTATTTATACATGCATATAATTGCTTAAAACCTGGATATTGATGTACAATAGTCGGCAATTGGAGCTTTTCATTCACTGTTATCTCGAGGTCACTTTGTAATTTGAGAGAAATTTTCAGTTAAAAAATATAAAAACTTATACAAATAATGGAGGAAATTTTTCCGTTTCAAAGAAAAAGAAATACCTGCAAATGAAAGATTTTAGTATTTAGCGTAAGCCAAAAACAAAAATAATTATCAAGGAACTAATATATTAAATATATATTAAACGATCGATGTTAGAACACTAAAAGGCACTTTCACCTATATACATATGATATTTCTTTAAATGTTATTAAATAAAACTGGAAAACGCCTCTGGGTTACGAATCCCAGTAGGCTTTTCCGTAACCTGAAAATGTCAATATTTTTGTCTCCATATCTACCCTTCAGTTCAATCACACACTTGTAACGATATTGAAGCACTAGCAAACGCTCCAAATTATCGTAATATTTTTTAGATATGGATAATTTCAATGTACCCAAAAAAGTGAATCGTAATGTTCTCAAGGCTCTCGGCATCCTCCAATCCTCTGGTACCCATTACGTCGACGTTAATGACATAACTCGCCAGGTAAAGGCCCAAATGCGAAACTACAATCCGGTCGCCAACATGGAGGAAGCCATCCTGGAGTCTTTGTGCAACCTGACTAATCTGGGCATAGTGAAGCGGAACAGCTCGTCGAAGTATGCGATTTGCAGTCCTATTTTCGGCCGTGTGGGAAGGGCCCTGCCCAATCGCATTATAAAAGTGCCGGGCGTTCCTGGAACACCACTGCGACGCACTGAGCGTGAGGCTGTAAGTATCGCAACTATACCATCGGAAGCAAAGGCAATAAGGATACTAACATATTTGCTTTTTCCTAAATAGTAAAATAGTTCGATTTTGTAATATATAATTTATATAACTTCAGCGTCCCAAGCGCGTCCTCGGAAACTTAAATCCACGGAAGCCGGCCACCAGGGTCCTAACTGAGGAATCTCTATCTGGGAATGAGATGGACAAGGCGCGTAAGAGGATTCGCAGCAACAACAAGCGCATTGTAAAAAACAAAGGAACTACCTTACGCAATCAAAGACCAAAACTGTCCGTGAAGAATGATGTAGGCATACGTTCGTCGAGCGCATCAACGCATACACAACCAACTATCGGTTCCATGGGTTGGAGCCATCGTACTCTGAACACAGTTATCTTGCCATCGTGTTGTACAAAACGGCGATTTCCCCAAAACTTAATGGATGTCGTTTGTGAAGACTGCCGCCATGGGGTTTCTCTATTACACGGGTCCCGCAACAGCAACACGGCGGTAAATAACACAATGGATGTAGATGTGCATGGGATGGGGTCAACTAATTGCGCCGATCCTGTCGGATTGAATGTCAGGCCTGCCGGGTATACCTCCGGAGGGGAATCTGATGTCGAAAACGCTTCCGCGATTGGACTATGCGGTAGTCCTTTGTGCTTGAAAGCGGAACAGGTTGTTGTCGGCAAGAATCCTACGATTGATGCGGCTTCATCGCAAGGTTCAGTTTGCCAAAAAGATCATTCTCAAGAGGTGGTAAACCCCACATCGGAATCTCCAGAATCAGAATATTTATTGCCTCAAGAAGTCGCTATATCTCTAGAGTCAAACGCCTCTATCAGTCAAGAAGCAAAAACGGCAGTATCCCAGGACTTGCAAAATTCAAAATCTCGAGAAGAACTCATAATATCTCAGCAACCACAAAAGGCATTATCTGAAGAGGCGTTTAACTCGGAAGTGAAAGGATCAACTTCCCACGAAATTCAGTCTTCAACTTTACTAGAGGCCAACAGTTCAGAATCTTCCAATGTCCAGGTACCTATGTCCATATATAATGAAGAGCCATCGGAATTTGACTTTTATGAATGATTTCAAAATTAAAAAAACTTATCGAGTACCCGCGTCGACATCGACATATCGATAGTTGGCTTGCGTGGTTATTATCTAAGATCTGACTCACGACTTTGTAGTTGTATGCGTTTTGGTGTTTGCTCTCTCTTGCTCTCTCTTACTCTCTCGAATTTAAATTCCTTACTCTTTCGCTGTGAGAGGCGAGTCCATCGAATTGGAGATGCTTTTTGTTTAAAATAACTGAACGTGTTGTCATTCAGATGTATGAGTAATGGAACCCCAGTGTTGGGAAAGGTACTCGTTTTTTGGATCTAGGTAAGGTACAAGGTGTTTGAAATAAATAAACAATTTGTCACAATTCAATTTAATGGGATCAAGCTAATTTAAAAACAAAAATAAACAAAATGTCAAGCTCATATGAAAACCAAATTGAATAAAAATAAGGAATAAGGTATCACAAAATTCAAGTATCTAGATACATCCAAATACTGTGGAACTCAAATTGTACTTATGTATTATGATAACGGGCATGTAGGGTATACAAAATTCGAGGTGCCGTGAAATCGGGAATTCTGTTATTAGCGCGCTGCCTGCCGAAGTCTTTTGCAGTCCTCTTTCAGTCCTCGACGCATAAACATTGCATTTAAAATTCGTGCTCAGATTGCTTTGAGTTTACACGCGTTGTTTATTTGTTGTATTTTAAGCATTTACATTGTGTTATATTGCTTTCAAAAATTGTTAAGTACATAGATGCGGCCCGTTTATTCTGCCTTTTGTGCGATTTTAACTAGTTATTGAGAGAGAACCAAAGTTCACGCCCCCTCTCTTGTGACGTCGTATGCAAATGCAGTGCGCGGCGGCAGGTTAATTGAATTCGATTTGATTGCACTTGCACTCGACCAGCGGCGGGAAAATATACAGATAGCGGCCACAGGATGGATAGGAAATTCCTGATGATTCTCATCCTGGGCTTCGGCTTCATGTTCGTCTTCACGGCATTCCAGACCATGTGTAACATCGAGGTACGTTCTCTCCCAACGTGTATGTATGTATGCGTGGGCGTTGTTGTTGTTGTTGATATCCTTGCCATTGGACGTTCGTCCTTGTCCTTGCCAATAGACAACGTAGTGCCCTTGCCACCCACACACACACACACACACACCACTCCACTCACCACCCACCACCCACCAACGCGTAACAGGATGCGGCAACGTTGCCGCCATTCAACCAGCGCAAATTGCTGTGTCGTAAATTACCCCCTGATTTGTGGCGGTGTAAAGTGGCTAGGAGTTGCTTATAATAACGATTTAATGAACTGCTCCAAAGGTCACCAGTCATTCGGAGCCATTGTTCGTTGTGTGTAACACATCTGTGGGCTTCAATTGATAAGAAGTGTGAGCACTGGGGCACTCGTCATCATCCGCCATAGAGCGGTTATCATTAGTAATGCAAATAAAGACGGAAAAGTTGAACCCGATAAGGGAATTTGACTCTTTTATTCTTCTATTCTTATTATTTGTCCATTGCCCACACTTTCAGCTGCTAAGAATGTTGTATAACTTATAATTTTTGATGTCTTTGGTGCCATATAAAACATCTTTTAGAATTTAAATACAGCCGTACATGCCACTTGAAGACAGAAAAGTTGACCTCAATAAGAGAATTGACTTTAACTTTCCTACTATTATTTCCCCATAACCCACATTTCTTTAGCTGAAAGTGTTGTATAATTTGTAACTTATGATTGCTTCTCGAAAAAAAGTACAAAAAGACAAAAAGTGAAGAACATAGTATGTATTTTCTTACAATTTTTACCCCATAACCTACACTTTTTGAGCTGAAAGTGCTGTATAACTTGTAATTTATGATTGTTTCTCGAAATAAAGGTGTAACAAGCTAATTATTATTTTGTAGTAAAAACTAAATATATGCAGGTATATATTAAAATTTATTTTAATGTGTCCTATGACATGAAATATATTTGACTTGGCCACTTGAAAGAGACAATGGAATTCAGATTTTAGATGTCATAAAAAATATTAAACGTATTTCTTTTATTATAATATATAGGAACAGCTATGTTTTATATACATATATGCCCAGTGGTCTCTAGCTGATATAGTTTCTAGTTAAACAAGATCCGCTCTAATTCGCTTATTATTATTTCCGAGAACCAGCTGGCTAATATCCCATTCATAGGACGATTTGGGGGGGCACACTCCAAACTATTGTTATAATGAAGTGATAGCGATTACCTAATTAATATGGGCAAATAACATCAATGGACTACAACTACCACTTATGTATGTACTTATTGGTAATGATAGGCACAGATAACTCCATGGACGCGTTCATTGACTAGTTGCTTTATAACGGCTTATAACGTAGATTATTTATTGTCAGTAATGAAAGCCGTAAGATCAAGGCCGCGCAAAAACAAAACCAGAAAACAGACTTACCTATTTTTATATTATATACAGACCATATCAATTCGCACCCAGATCGTGAGTGTTGTGGATTCATTAAGCAACTGGATTGTCAGGTATGCGCAAAAAAAGCGTTCTTTTCATTTTCATCTCGTCTTATTACGTATGCGAGGCGTTTTTGTTGCCCAAACTGGCCATCACAAAAGGTCTTTGTCATTTGTTTTCAGACAACACATTTACTTTGAACCATTTTGTTATGGTTCAATGGACTGAATGAGTGCCTACTGATAAATACCGCAAAAAATTGTTTTGAATCGAGTGAAGCACTGTTATTTGTCCCTTTGCTGTTACTTTTTCTGGTTTGCTTTATGATTTTATTTTGGCCTTTCAGCGCGGCAAGCGGCGCATGCGCAATATAATTTATCTGTCTTTGTGTCTGCCCTCCAGTTAGTGGTTCTCCTTATAAACAATTTACTACGGCAGCAAAACAACAAAAGCAAAAGTGACTTGGAATTCCAAGCAGGGCGTGCACTGGCGTAGTTAGCCAAACTTATAGACCACACAGGAAAAAAAATATATCTTAAGGGGTAAACAATGTTTTTATTTACAATAAACTTTTAATTTAGTTATACAAATTATTATTAATCAAATACTTTATTGCGTCTCTGTATAGAGATTAATAGTCGAGATACATGGACAAGAAACTTAACTTATAGTACTTTCTTACAATTAAGTTCATGAAGTACTTGTTTGTACCAGCAGATATCCAGTTGAATCTGCTGTTTTCTTGAGTGTAGCTCGCTTAACTTATAGACCAGCAATCGATCGATCGGCCAGTATTTAGCCCGTATTCCGTGGCTATTAGAGAGCAATTTTCAAGCGAGGCCTTGGCTTATATGGTGCAATCATTGGAGTGGCACAGAACACTTTTTGAGACCACTCAGACCGCTTTCCTTTCCACCTGATTGCGCAATCGAAACCAAACGCCCAACGCAAAACGCGTCAAACGGCAACTCTTTCAATGTCATTGCAATTGCAAGTTCGCTGCCGCCGCAGACACACACTCGCCACACACGCACACTAGTGTCAGGCGTCAGGCTCAAGGCCACGTCAGCAATAAAGTAAGCCAGGTTGACCAACATACATATGCACACATCAATTTGGCCAAGACGCTGGGCTGTGAGTGAGGGGACGGAGGGGGTGGCGACGGTCGGAGCGCCTGCGCCCAGCCAAAGAGCATAGCCAACAGCCGGTTGCACAACAACAAAGCGAAAAGTGGGTGTGCGCCGACGAGCCCACCACTCACTGCCCGAGCCACATTACCCCCACCCCCGCCAAATCCCCTAAATCACCACTCAGCAGTCGTGTGCAGCAATGTCTGGCCAAAAGAGCGGAAAATCAAGTCTAGCCTGGCCAGACCGAGTGTATCGAACACCCTATAAAGACACAATGGCCCCGACGAAAATGGTAATTTACAACTCTCGGAATTTCCCATTAATGTTGTAACACATTTTTCACAAATCAAACAATGTAATCGAAAAATATTATTACATTTAAGAGGCATTGAATTGTGGGTTTTTTTTTATATAAAATAACATTGTCAACTCCCTTTAAAATATATATATATAATATTATAATGCATTTATACAGTTCTGTTACTTATATAGTAATTTTTATTACAGCTTTTAAGGCTTTTTTAATTTTTAAATATATATAAAATTACATTACTCTCAAAAATATAACATACATACATAAATCTACATTTTAAGTAAAGAATCTATTTATATAGACGCCCTGGTTCATTGAAAAGGCACATTTAAAAAAAACTTTATTTTATAAAGAAGAAAGAGAATATTTTTAAAACTGTTCGATCAAAACAAGATCAAAATTTGCACAACATTTTAAACCACATTAAAATACTTTAGCACTGATTTAACTGTTTTATGGTAATCCAAAAAAATAGTTTCTATAAATTCAAAGTTGAGTTTAAAATCTACTTTTAGAGTACCATGATCGAGCCTCAAACTATACAAATTGAATTGAAGAAAGCAAAACCATTCTAGTAGGCTTTTCAAATATAGATCAACAAAACGAAACGTTCAACAGGCATAACCTATATTTCCACCCAAAAAAAATGGACAAACCTGGGAAAAAGGATATTGATTTCAAAGTTGAACGCGATACACACCAGACTAATGCTCGCACGTATGGATTTATGAAGACCACAAGGTCGGATACTCCCATCCCCTTGGCTAAAAAGAGTATCGTTCCCATTACATTAATGGAAAGGCTGAGCGGCCTAACTGCAATTCGGTCGCAAACTAGTGAAAACGAAGAAGGGTTAAGTGAAGAGCAGTCATCGTCATCGTCATATTCGAAAGCATCAAACAAAACGACCTTTGAAATGAAACGGAAACTTTTTGATGAAGCCGAGTTCACCATAACACGAGGTCAGAAACTCAGTGATGTCTTTCATCCCGGCCATGTAGAGGGGCAAATGTCCTTTACTGATCCGGGAAAGCATTCTCTCGAAGAAATGGAGGCTTATTGCGAAAGGATGAACATTAAGTTTGCAAAGTGATTGAACGTTGTATTTCATTTACGTTCAGTCAAGAAAATCCTAAGATCATACATCAAATAAACAAAAATGTCCGTAAACAATAAACACCTAAGTTAACAACATACATAAATTTCTTACTACAAGAAATCGAAGCTCGTAGTTATGGTTTAATGAAGACCTTTAGAATGGATACGCCTATTCCCATGCCCCGAAAGAAAATCAATGCTACATAGAAGGATACACCAGCAAGTCAGACTCTTGAAGAATTCAAGGAATACAGTCGCCAAATTTACATTAAATTTACCAAATAATTAATATAGTTTTTTTTTTGTCTACTGCAACTAAATGATAATAAAGCCCAAGATTTTATTATTGTATTGTAACCTTTTTCAAAATTAAATAGTTATGTTAAACCACATAAAACTACTCAATATGCAGTATGCATTACCTGTGGTGCGTGCAAGCTTCAAGTAAAAGTACAAATACCTTCTGCAAGGAGAAACAAACCAAACTCGTTTCAGCATTTTAAAAGTTTTTCGTGAGTCGTTGTGCCAGTTTATTTTGCGTAATAAATAAACAAAGCAAAGTGACGATCGAATTAATAAGTTGTCCAGCATATTCTCCTGCAATTCCGCGTACGCACTTTACTTTCTTTATTGCATTCCGACTTTCTTTCGATTGTTGTTTGCACAAAACTTGACCCAATTCTCTGGTTGGGTATTTATGTTCGTCAATTCAATATTAAGGAGATCACCAGCAAATGTTCATTGAGCTCCATTGGTGGCGATAACGACTACTTGCACTTGAAACTCGAGATTTCTTATCAGTGCCGTCACAAAGTCGTCTAGAACTCTGCTTTTTATTATTCTCTAATACAGTGTGCTTGATTTAACGTATGTATGTAAGCAATGAAAAAGCCAGTCACAATCCCAAAAGTTGCCGTTGGACTGTGATTAAATCCATACATAGACTTATAAATAGTTCCTGAATTCTCAAGGGCACTAGCTATATGTACAACTACTTCCGCTTCTCGAGTGCAGACAAATGAATTCTAGACTTTCACTTGCTGTGGCCCCCTGTATTCCTCTACAGAGCGATTTATAAGCATTATCTGTATGTGCAACCTCTCAAGTTGGACTTCAAAATGGGCACGAGGACCGGACCAGATTTGCAGCGCCACTTAATTGATGCAAATAGAAATCAAAATCGTGTCAGAGTCACAATTTTTGCGCTGAGATAACGATATCACTCGGTCGTTTACCGAGATGCGTCCTTTGGAATGGAAAATTTTGTAGTTTGTAAACTCAACCACAAACATGTTTCGCCTGAGCAGCTTGTAATTTTCCATTCACAGCCGCAAGAATTGTAAAGTTGCACTTGGCTCTGATCCAAGTCGCGCCCAGAATCGGATTAATTCGTTTGAACAGCTGCACTTAAAGAGTTTGCTTTATGCGTTATGCAAATATATAAATTTCTTAAAGAACTTTGTGAATAAAGCACAACTTTATCTCAATAATTCATTTTTTTTTAGGATTTTTTTTAATTTTTCCCTTTAATTTAGTATTAAACTAAATAAAGTTTTTTGTTAAACTTAATTGTATACTTTTTTGATTTAAATTGTCGAATATAATTTAATTACAAGCTACCAAACCTGCCTACAATGTTATACTATTTCAAACCAACTTTGTTGAATTTATATTCTGTCGACTGCGGGTGCTGTTTTGTTTAGGGAGATGTTGGAGGCAAAAACCAAAACGTATCCGGACAGGAAATACCTGTTGATGTGTACTTGAACCGAGAACACGTTTACCGTATAACATTTAAAGAAAAAAAAAAAAAACAATAAACAAATGCGTTGCTGCCGGTTCATTGGCATGCAGTCGTCAAAATGTGTCTGGCACGTTTCCAAAATGCTAATCGTTTCACTTTTCGATCCGATCTATCCATCCGACAGAAAACCATACTGGACAGCATTTCCCAGGAGGATGATAGCTTCAAGGGCGAGGGTTACACCAGTCTGGCCATCATCTATCTGTTCTTCTCGCTCTCCAACTGGCTGGCACCGTCGTTCATTTCGTTCACCGGACCCCGAGTGGCCATGGTCGTGGGAGCACTGACCTATACGTGAGTGTTTACTGCCATACTGTCCAGTTCATATAATTTTGGTAACTAACTGGGCTAACGCACCCGCTGCTTGCAGGGTCTTCATGATCACGTTCATGTTCCCATCCACGGTGCTGCTGTACGTGGGCAGCGCAGTGCTGGGACTGGGTGCCTCGATCACCTGGACGGGCCAGGGAACGTACCTGGCACGCTGCAGCGAGACCACCACCATATCCCGCAACTCGGGCGTCTTTTGGGCCCTGCTGGAGTGCAGCATGTTCATCGGCAACCTGTTCGTGTACTATCAGTTCCAGGACAAGACCCACATTGACAAGGAGACACGGAACCTGGTCATCGGTGTGCTCACTGTGATCGCCGTGCTGGGCATTGTCTTCCTGGCCGCCCTAAGATTCATGGCCGACAATGCCGAGCACGACAATGAGCTGGAGCAAAAGCACACGGGTTGCGGACAGGCCATGTACGCGTTGAAGTCGGCTGGACAATTGTTTCTCACCAAGAAGATGCTGCTCCTCAGCTTGGCCTTCTTTTATACAGGTGTGCTAATCCCAGATGAGTTTCCAAAATTTGTTCACCCTTTTTATACATTTATACCTTGACCTTGCAGGTCTGGAACTGTCGTTCTTCAGCGGCGTCTTTGGCTCAGCGATTGGATTCACCACGAAAATAGCCGAAACACCCAAGGAGATCGTTGGACTGGTGGGCATCTGCATTGGAGCCGGCGAGGTCTTCGGAGGCGGACTCTTTGGGATACTGGGCAACAAGACGACGCGATATGGACGCGATCCCATCGTGATTGTGGGCTATTTGATGCACATGGCGGCCTACTTCATGATCTTCATCAACCTGCCGAATAGCGCACCGTTCAAAGATACCACCGATATATCGTACCTGGATCCGCCCAGAGCCAGCATCGCCCTGGTTTGTGCCTTCCTTTTGGGCCTGGGCGATGCCTGCTTCAACACACAGATCTACTCGATGCTGGGCGGGGAGTATGTGAACAATGCCGTTGGAGCTTTTGCCCTGTTCAAGTTCACCCAGTCGGTGGCGGCGGCCATCAGCTTCTTCTACTCCTCGCACTTCGGGCTGTACGTACAGCTGGGCATACTGGTGGTCATGGGAACCATCGGCACCATTGCCTTCGTCTTCGTCGAGTGGGGCTTCAAGAGGCATCACCGCGAGCAGGAGGCCCTGGAGAAGTAATTTGTCCCGCCTGGGATCTAGAGTATTAGCTGCTGGTTCTCGTTAGGACCATACGGCTTAGGCCATTTGTCCGCGTTTGTTGAATTCCTCGGAGTGCGTTGAATCCGTGCGACTGCGTCGTCTTCCTAGACAATAACTGATAAGTGTTTTTGCGCGCTACTGTTGGTTGCTATATGTACGTATTTTAGTGTTGGCATTCCAAAACGTAAATGTAATCTAGTTGTCTATGTTTTTTATATGTGTGTATTGTATACGTGCGTTTATTTATTTTAAGCAGCATTAATTGTGCAACTGTAAATTAATTAAACCGCAGGTTCGAAGTATTATAAGAGAAATGGGCGGCGTGCAAGAAGGGCACAACCGTGCAAATATATAACGAATTTTAAGAAAACTTGCGAAATTTTTAATTTTGAAGTTGGTTATTTATTTGGATTTAATAGTTGGGGGGAAAGGCTATTGCCTAAAAATCAACATTACAAATATCAACTTCAGGAGTAAAGTACAATTAAACTTTAAAATTATTTTAAAGTTTTGCTGTCACTTAAATAATAATATTAAAATTGAGTTTTTAATCTGTACCCGCTAAATTCTAACTTTGAAAAGTTTGATTTTGGCGGTTTAAAATTGTACTCGATTATAAGATATTCGATACAGGGAAATATCGATAGACCATGGGCACATATCGATTGGCCAGCCAGGAGCAGTCATTTCGTCCATCACTAAAAGCCATCATTGGGAATTTCGGAAAATTTGGATGAAAACATGAAAAATGGCCAAGAATAAGTCGACGGTGTACCTGGGCTACGAGGATGAGGAGGTTACGCCCAAGCAGGAGCAGATCCTGACCAGCTGCACCAACAAAATCGGCGGAACACCCGTAAGAAAGGCGATTGCAGAGGCGGTTGACTTCGACTGAGACAGCTGATAATTGAAATTGATTTTTACCCACAGGATTGGCCGCGACACGAGGTGACCATTCCGACGTGCCCGCTGTGCGGTGCAGTGCGTCCGCTGATCGTACAGATGTACGCTCCGCTGGACCGCTCCCAGTTCCATCGCAGCCTGTACGTCTTCGGATGCGTTAGCCCCGCCTGCTCGCAGAACTCCAAGAGCTGGGCCTGTGTGCGCACCCAGCACCTGGACCACCAGTTCGAGGTCATCAGCGAGCAGTCGCCCAGGGCCTCGGCGGCCGGCAAGCAGCACTCCAAGAAGAAGGGCAAGTCCAGCGCGCTGCAGGCGGTCAACTGGTGCAGTGGAGCGGACGACTGGGGCGACAGCGGCGGTGGTGCCATCGCGCTGGCCAAGACCAACTGCGTGGCCTTGGACGAGGCCATGGACATAACCGCCGATGACGAGCAGAACGAGCGGAATGGCAATTTGCGACCCAATGCCCTGCAGTACGGCAAGGGTGATGCACAATTGGGAGAACCAGCCAAGGTCGAGCCGGTAAAGATTGGCGGCGATGATATCGACGACGACGAGGACGAGAGCACTTCGCTGGAGAACGACCTGATCTCGGGCTTCCATCAAATGGACATGATCTCGCCCCAGAACGCCGACGACGATCCGAATGCCAACTGTGCAGCAGCGGCCGCTCCCAGTTTGGATGGTGCCGGAGCCAGCGCCGCTTCCGCGTCCATTTGCGCCGAGATCGAGGGTCCCGAAACGGATGTCGTGCTGGTCGACACACCCAAGAAGCCGGAACGCGACCTGATCGCCCTGCTAAAGCACACCTCGCTTTCAGTGTCGCAGATAAAGGACCTTACACTGAAGTCCTACTACATCGCCGTGGATGTGGAGAGCAAGACGCAGGCGGAAGAGTACGAGAACTACGGCGGGGCTCTCTCCATGGACCACATACGTGATCTGTACCAGGAGTACAAGCTGCGGGACGAAGATGCCACCCATTCGCCCACGGGCGGTGCATCCGGATCTGGCGAAGCCGGCGAAGATCACGAATCCTACGAGAAAGCCCTGCCCGCCCACGGCGACATAGTGTTTCATAATTTTATCACTACCATCCAGCAGAATCCGGGTCAAGTGTTGAGGTAAGTCTTTCTTATTAACCTCCTGGGTTTTCTTCTTAACTTTCCCTGCTCTGCTTCAGGTATTCACGGGATGCGCTTCCGCTGCTGGTTGCCCCGCTGACGGAACCTATACCAAAGTGTCCCAATTGCAAGGGTGAGACCATCTGCGAGGTGCAGTTGCTGCCCACACTCATTCCCAAGCTGCGGTTTCAGCTAAACGGCTGCAATGCACCAATCGAGTTTGGCAACGTGCTGGTTTTCACCTGCCTCAAGAGCTGCTGGGACACGCCCGACCTCATGCGCTACGAGCATATAGTGGTGCAGTCCGAATCTTAGAGCTGCGTCCGCCCATTTGCCATTTCCCAAAGCCATAGAACCCATTCGCTGTAGCTGCTGGGGTTGCAGACTGGTGCAACGAATTTTAAACGCAAACTGCAGAGGAAAGCTAAGCTTCTCGATTGTCCTAGGAAGATTTTATGCTCTAGTTGTTAAGAACGTTGTAAGCTTTTAGACACTCCGATAAGGATAGTTGCTAATTATATCTCGTTATTTCCACTCCCCCTCTAATAGGGTTTCAAAACAAATTAGTTTTATTTCCCCCTTCAAACGTGTTTTTTAAATCATATTGATATTCTTTTTAAGGCTTATTTAACTTAAGCTAGTGGTGCATCGGCATCGAGGTGGTAGCTCTTGACGGTGGAGAACCTCAGCGGCGGATATTTGGCCTCCGTCAGATCGAACTCGGAGCTGGTGTCCACCTTGTTGCGCTTCTGCACAAGCGTGTAATGTGACCAAACCAGCTGTGTGCAGCGTCGCTTGGTTGTGCTTGCGATCCGCAGCTCGATCAGGAACTGCGAGGAGTCCTCCTCCAACGGCATGATGCTGCCACGCCTCTGGCGCATGTGTCCCGCTCCCCGGGCCTGCGACTTCTGCAGCACCAAAGTGACTGTGCTTCCGAAGAGTCGGTAGCGTCCCCGCAGCATTTCGGGACGTACGCTGTGCACTTGTTTCAGCTTGGATACACCCTGCGCCGGCTCATCGGCGCTCGTCATCATAAGCACCTTGCCGTCAGGCAGGAATCGAATATAACGATAGTACTCCACCAGCTGCACTGGCCGGTAAAACTGGTCCTGAAAGCTGTTCTCCCCCATTCGCAGGTACGTGGTCTTGCTAATATAGCAGCCATTGAAGAGCACTCGCTCCCGCCGGATGAACATGTCGCGCCAGGAGTAATAGACGTTGCTGATGTCCGAATCCTGGGCCTCCAAGGTTCCAACGTTGTGGCCCCATACTCTGAAAAAGTTTTAGCTGATTAATATAATATAAAATACAACAATCGTGGTCTAATAACATAGTGATCTGAATATGCCTAGGCCCTATAAAGAATATTTGTGCATTCTTACTTGACGCAGGCCAGCCTCCAAAGCTCCTCATCCCGGGCGTAGACATAGAAACCTTTGGACACAGCGGCGCACTGCTCCAGGGAGCGCATGTCCAGCTGGGCGGACACCACCCAGCGCAGAATGCGCATCACAATCTCGGGCGGCAGGTCGGAAAAGTGTAGGCCAGTGGTCAGGACACTGGCATCGCGGCTGGACGCGATCATCTTGCCATTGTAGATGCTGTCCTGTCGCAAGTCCTGCTGGAACTTGTCGTACAGGTTGTCCACGACCTCCTCGCCAACATCCGAAGTATCCGGCGGGCCCAGATCCAGCTGCTTGGCCAGATCGCTGGCCAAACTGTGGTACTTTTTGTTTACATCGCTGCTGAGCTTCTGCTGCTCGTAGAACTTAAACTCGATGTCCGGTACGATCTGCGTGGCCTTCCGGTAGAAGGGAAGTGCGTCGTATACCTTGCCACGCTGCTCCAGCTGAACGGCAGTCCGGTAAAGACTTTCGGCCTTGGCCTGGAGGAGATCTGCCTCGCTGAGATTGGAGTTGGCCGCCGTAAGGGGATCTGCAGCTTCAGAGCTTCGGTGCCTGGACGCCGTGTTCATATGACCTTGAAGCTCCCGCTGCCAGCTCTCCCGGAACTCATCCAGTGCGCTGGTGCCCGTTTCCTGGCCAGGTGCTTCGCCGTCCGAGTCCACATCCGACATGGCTATGGTAAAACTAGTCTGCCAAGGCCAAACAGATTGTAAAAATGGATTTACCCGCTTTTATCTGACGCAATTTCTAACCTGAAAGGTCTTAGTAATCGGCGTTGGAAGAAGGGGGAATTCGGGCCGAAATAAAACTTATAATAAAGGGCCGCGCGTACTGCTGATTTTGGCCGCGGGCTTCACCCCAGAATTTCGAAGTCGAACGCAACTGGGAGCAACATGTGGCCATTGGTAAGACCCCTAAGATTAAGTTTGTTCAGATACGCAAACGGGAACACTTCTACCTGTGTAAAGTTATTGTTTTCAGTGTGAACGTTTATGATTAGAAGGGAAATCTCAAGAGCAAAGAGGAACACACCAATAATAACAACAAATCGATATGTTATCGATAAGTTTTTGCAAGCAGCTGACTTCAACGCGGTTGTGTTTTGTTTTGATTGCACATTTGTTTGAGCCGCATTATCAGCAGGTAAAAAGCATCCTGTTATTAAGAATCGAAGAGTGGCAGGAACCATGTCCGCGGACTACTCGCACCTGAGCTCCGCCATCCTGGAGCAGTGCTTCGGCAAGGTGGTGCAGGCGGTGTCCGACTGCCTCTTCTCGGCCACCACGCGGACTCTGGGACAGATCACCAGTGCTACCAAGTTCTCGCGCAAGGAGGTGGCCCTCGCACTGGCGGTGCTCGTCAAGTACCGACTGGTGGACTTCGCCGCCTCCAAACAGAATCCCTTCCTGGCCGAGTACGCCCTCCGACGCGAGGATGTGCTCTGCCTCCTGCGCTATCCACGGTAAGTTGCGTTGGGACACCTTTGAGTTCCGATATCTGCTTCACACTCTAACTTCAATGAATATCTGTTCAAATAATAAAAAATAAAACTCAACATACATATTCTAAAGGGCGTGATTATTAAATTACTATGCAATATTTAATATGTTAGAAAAATTAAAAATTATAATATAACAAGAATGTCATAAATCCTGCAATTTGTTCTTTAATCTTTGTTAAAATGCTTAAAATCTAGGAACTCCCGAACAATATATCTATAATACACTTTTCGGAATTTAAATTTCGTAAAATAAAATTTGAAAAAGCCTTGTTTTCAAATCAAAAGTCAAATTGAGGTGTATTGTTTATAATGGTTTTATTTTTTAACCGTAGTCAATACAAGTATTAAAAACAAGGTAATGTAATTTTATTAATCATAAACTGTCACTAAAAAATAAAGGCAATTTGTTTTAAAAATTGCTATTCTCTTAATTTAAGCCAATGAAATTTATTTTGAAAAACTTAAGATGGTAAATAAAAATCAACAGCAATCTTTTCAAAATAAAAAAACCCAGAAATATATGTAGCACCCCTCACAAACCAACCTTTTAAATGACCAATAATTTTTTTTAGCTACGTTCATCTGGTGCAAACAAAGTACGGAAATGTGGGTGCTTCCATCGCCGAGGAGCTCATCAACTCGGGATCGGATACTGCCAGCGGAATTTTGATCAAGTGCCTGGCAGAGGGCGAGAACAAGGCGGAAAGCCCGGAATCATATCGCAATACCTTCCTGCAAATGATAACCGATCATTACATAATTAAAAGACCAGAGCTGTTAGTGGGCGACGACCAGGATGAAAGTGTGCCAAAATTCGAGAGCAACGAATGCGACTTTTTCAGGCATCCCAACATTGATCTTCAGCTGCTAGCCAAAATACGAAAGGGCGATGCCACATTGGAGGAGGCCAAGGACAACACAACGGTGTGGAACCTAAACTACGATCGCTTTCATCAGGACTTTCGGGACACCATTATGGTAGACGCCATTGAGCGAAAACTGGGCGAAAATGCTGCAGAATGCTTTCGGTTTATTCTGAAGATAATGTACAACACAACTGATCCGTGGCAGAGAGTAGGTTGCACATTTGTAGCTGAAGAATAGCATTAACACAATATATTTTACAGAAACTTTCCAACCAAATCACTTTTGTGGAAATAAAACAGGCAATCGAAAGGAAATCCAATAACCTGGATCTTATGAAGTATTTGGATCAGTACATAAGTTTGTTGAGTAAGCCAAAACCTTTTTTTAATATATGACTATTCAATTAACTATTTCATAATACGTTTTAGCTGACGACTCACTGGGATTTTTTCGGAGAGTTGGCGACATGGGTGGCGGAGTGTACGTTGTGGATATGGAACATGCCTTTGAGTCGCTTGCCTTTGCTTGTGTCGAGTCCGTAATTACCGAACGCTTTGGCTCGAAGGCAGCCCGCATATTCCGAGTGATTCGATGCAAGAAGTACATAGAACAGGAAGACCTACAGAAAGAGGCCATGATTCCCTCGAAAGAGGCAAAGTCTTTGGCCTACAATTTGTTCCAGGAACAGTTTATACATGTGAAGATTATTAAGAAGCCTGGCGGAGGCAGCAATGGTCCCGCAAAAGCATTTTATCTCTTCCAAGTCAAGGAAAAAGATGTAAGTGTCGCTGGTTAAAAATCAATGCATTAGATTAAATGTAATCCAATACTTTTAGACGGTGAGAATGTTGTTGGATGCCAGCTACAAGTCCCTTTATAACACCATAGAGCGATCAAACTTTGAGAAAAATGAGCACAAGGGGCTCATTGAAAAGTCCCAAAGGCTGGACAGCATAGTTGAAACCATGAAGGAACGCGGCGAGACTGACGAATATATCGCAGAGGTAATTATAGTTAAGGATAAACTTAAAACTGTTTTTATCTGTCCAATTGCCTTTCAGATTGTGGAAACCTTCACTCCACCCGAGTGTGAGATCCTAAATAAGGTAAAGAATCGGATAAAGACCTTGTCGAAGGCCGAACTGACTCTGGATGATACAATCTTCCTTTTGCAAATGTATCAGCATCATTGCACATCGCTGCCAACGGGCATTCGCAAATTTAAATAAAAGGTACTTTTAGGGCAATGGATTGTCTTGTTTATTGAAATTGTTTAGTGAACACTTTACAGAGATTTTTGGTACGTTTTTAATTGGTACTTGCAAATAATATTTTATGATTTTTTTGTTTTTAAAGTTGCTCAAAACTAAATCTTTAAAAGTATGGTTTCTAAAGCTACCACAGCATTATTGCCAAATTATTAAAGTATATTAGATTCAAGTTAATTAAAACACACAAAAGCGTATGAAATGACAGCACGCTTAATCACAGGCTATATAAATAAGGTATGCTTTAAATGGTTAGTTACTTTCTGGAGTAATTACACTCCGTTTTCGGTGAACAATTCGCTGCTCGCGGTGTGCTTTTTGCAATTTAATGAAGTGCTGCTCCAGGGCATCGAAATCAATGCCACTTTTGTACTCCAGCGAGTTTCGCTCGTCTCTGAAAATAAAGAATTGTACTCGAAGAGTCGTTAGCCAAGGATATGACTTACATGGGATCATGACCCCAGTAGTTGGGCACGCATTGCAGACGATTCCGAAGGGTATCGAAGGCTTCTGTCTGCGGCAGCAACATCAGGATGCCAAACAGGGCGTGCGCCAAGTACTGAGCATCTGCGCAATTGTTCGCCTTGGAAACGAGCGTGAGACGCAAAGGTGCGAATATGGGGGACTCTATCAACTGAACCAGTTTGTCCAATTCGGTAAGCAGCTCCAAGGTGATTTCCACATCAGCACTGTGGGAGGGATATACATTTGATAAACGAAAGTATATAAATTTTTTGTTCAATTGTCTTACAACAAGGTAACCAAACGGGATACATGCTGGTAGCTCTGTGCCAGCAGGCACAAGGAAAGCGTGGAAACTGGACAGTGGGCCCAACTCTTGTAGAGGCACTGAAAGAGATCTGCGGACTTTTCGTTGGCAATGTTTCGCAGGCTGGTACGCAACTCAAACAACTCCGTTGAGGTGAGTAGAATGATGTTAAGAAGGCGTACAACCGTGGATGCAAACTTCAAGTTGGGCACCTCCTCCGCTATTATTTCGGCAAAAGTGCGGTAAATGTATTCTGCATTTAGCAGTACACAAAGTTTTCTAAAAAAAATCCCATCGTTTTAACATTTTTGTTGGGCAAAGGTTCTCTTAACTTACCTTATAATAAGACTGGCTCTGTTTTCCAACATCAGTTTCTCCTCGCTGAAGAGGTTCAACAGGCTAAGTAAAAACTTACGATAATGCGATTTGTTGAAGTCGTTTAACTCTGCCAAGAAAGAATGATTTGTAAATAAGTGTTGAAAATTCATCAACATGAACTTTTTACCCCTGCTGTCCTGAGAGTTGACGATTTCCGCCAGAACCGATAGACTTTGAAGAACAACCTCATCCGAGTTGTCGGCCAATGTGGACAACAGATTGTTATTTAAGTTACTGGCGTGCACGGACATTTCAGTTGGAAAGTTGGTGAACAGATGATGGATCCACTTGAGCACAGCGATCTTAGTGTGCATGGAGTTGTGCGTGAGATACTGTGAAAGGACGTCCATAATTGAGCGCAAATCAATCTTGGACTCCGTCTGCGTCTTCAGCTCCTTGGTGGACACCAGTAACATCATCGAGTTGTTAACGGACACGGCGCACTCTTTAATGCCTAAATATTGAATGTATAAGTTATCTGGACCAAATCGTATGGCATTTTCTTACTCCTTTTGGACTCCACATTGTACTCAAGGCACGGCAATATCGCCGTAAATATTCCACTGGCATAGGGAAGCACATTAGGCCCAAATATCTGCACAAACTCGCGGATCCAGGTGATCGCAATGGACTTGATGAGCTCATTGGGTGATTGCGCATGGGTGATAAGCGTATTGATGGTGTCCTCCATTCGCACGGAGGAAGAGTCGTTCCTTATCGACTTGAGGAACTGACTGATCGTCGTCTCACACATGCGCTGGATCTCGGGCGTGTTGTCCTCGAGCATGACGAACAGCCCGTCCAGAATCTCGGTCAAATAGTTGACCATGTTGATGTCCGGCACGGCGTTTAGAATCGATATCCATGAGATCACATACTGACGGGCAAAAGCATCCTTGACATAGATGTGCTCCCTCAGCAATGGAATGAAGCCTTGTAGATTGAAGGTCTGCGATGATTCCGTGACAATGTCCTACAAAAGATAAGGATTCATAAAAAAAATTATTACTAAGGGGAAATTGTAAAAAAAAATATTTTTGTCTGAACATTTCATTTACAAGAGTAGTATGCTTAAATAAGTTTTAATCAAACTTAATATATATTTTAACAGCAAAAAAAAAAGTTGGGCATTCAAGAAATAATAGTTACTTTATCATTATAATTAAGGGGAAATTGTTATGAAGATTTGTTTTTTTGAACATTTCATTTAGGTGAGTCGTCTCTATGTAGATCAAGTATGAACTTAAGTAAGTTTAAATCAAGCTTAAGATACAATTTAGCAACTTTGTCCTATACAGATAAAGACTGTAATGAGCATTCAATAAATAATGATATAATCATGTTATAATTAAGGGGAAATTGTGAAAGATATTTTTTGGACATTTCATTTGTGATTAATATATACTTTAATAAGTTTTTATCAAACTTAAAATGAAATTTAACAACCTTGAGAAGGCGATCCAGCAGCTCGCTGCCGTCCTTCACCATCTGATCCGAATCGGTGACCAGTCGGGATAGTGCTGCGAAAAGCTCCGGAAAGAAGGGAATGATGGCGGAGCGTGCCACCTTGACCACGTTGTACAAGGACTCGCAGGCGAAGTAGCGCACCCGCAGATCCGGATCCGAGAGGCAGGTCATGATGGGTGTCACCAGACCCTGCACATACTTGTCCGAGTCCTGGAAAGTGAACGGTTGTCTAGTTATGTGGCTACGAGGAGTCGGATGACTAATGGCCATACCTTGCCCAACCCTAATCCCGTGGCTGCGAGACCGATAAGCGCCCCTTTCCGCCGATTTACATCTCGTGATGTGGCATAGTCGGTGGCCAGCACTTCGATCAGCTTGCGAATCTGCGTCGAGTTGTTTTTGTTGTTGAATTCCGTGACCATTCTGGCGGAGAGTCGCAATTCCCAATTGGAATGACGAATGAAACTTGGGGGTGCCATATTACTCATGTGGGAACACTCACTTCTCGATTTCCTGCGAGGCCAACTTCCGTTTCTCGTACACTTTGTCGCCCAAAGCCTTGGCGCAGGACTCACTCAACGGGGCATACGACGGTTCCATTCTGTAATCCGTTTTCCAATCAAAATAACAATATTTGTAGGCGGGTTTTGTGTTTGCTCTGCATAGCTCGGCAAACAGCTGATTGATGGGGCTGCCAACTCGGTCGCCAAAGTGGCTCAGTATACTGCTAAGTGCTCACGTTTCCGTTACGTTTAAACTTTAAAATTGTTAACAAAATGCCTAATTAAATCAGAATATAAAATATTGGACAAAGGCTACGGTCTTTTTTTTAAAGATCTAACCATTTTAATGTATGCATGTATGGTAAGACTTTTTTTTTAATTTATTTAACTGCTCTTGAATTTGACATATATTTTTTCCTTAAAACGTAATAAATAATTCCATATGTCCTTTTGATTACCTTCCCTTATAAAAATATATTTAAGCCATCTGTATTTCTTACCAAAACTCAGTTACCAAAACGAGTATACAAAATCGCAACAGTTTACTAAAACTAAATTATAGTAGTAAATCATATTTATATTTTGTTTGCCCATTTGTTTTTGTTTTCACAACTGTTCAGTCGCTCCTGATTTATTTTATTTATATTGAATAACCCTTAAAATAACAATAAATTTGGTCTAAACCATCACCTCTGACTCCTCAGCGATCTGTGGGAATATGAGCTGACGTTCAGCTACTTTGTGTTTAAATTTAAAAGTACCCTTTTGATGACATTTTTGCCCGAAATATAAACGCAAAGAAGTTTATCTTTTAAGGTAAAATAAATTATTTATTTTTCATATTTCTAATTAAGCGTATAACAATTTGTTTACTAAATTAAGACATGTAAATTACTAATAATGCTAAGGACTTATTTAAGAGTATTCAACTTAAAAATTCATATCAGTCCTAAAAACTTAGAGTAAAATAGGAAAGAGTCCACACTGATGAACAGAAAAAGTCTCATTGGCTTTAGTCGACCTCTTCGACGGTGGGTCCCGAGTAGCCGCCGAATCCTCCGGCCTGCTGGCCGCAATTGGCTCCCGGGCCACCAGTTGCTCCTGCTCCCGCTGCCTGCTGATGCATCTTGGTCATGATGGGCGAGCAGTGGCGGGTGAGCTCCTCGAGCTTGTGGTCGAACTCCTCCTTGTCGGCAGTGGTGTTGCTGTCCAACCACCGAATAACTTCGCTGCACTTCTCCAGGACGGAGTTCTTGTCGGCCTCATCCAACTTTCCAGATTCCGCCTGCTCCACCGCCTGTTTCACGTTGAAGACGTAGCTCTCCAGGGCATTCCGCGAGGTTATGCGCTGGCGCTGCTTCTCGTCCTCATCCGCGTACTTCTCTGCCTCGCTCACCATGCGGTCAATCTCGGCCTGCGAGAGGCGTCCCTTGTCGTTCTTGATGGTGATGTTCTTGGCCTTGCCCGTGCTCATCTCCTTTGCCGTGACGTTCAGGATTCCATTGGCGTCCATGTCGAAGGTGACCTCTATCTGGGGCACACCCCTCGGAGCTGGCGGTATTCCCGACAGATCGAAGGTGCCCAGTGCATTGTTGTCTTTGGTCATTGCCCGTTCGCCCTCATACACCTGGATGGAGACTCCGGGCTGGTTGTCGGAGTAGGTCGAGAACGTCTTGGTCTGCTTGCACGGGATGCGGCAGTTGCGCTCGATCAGCTTGGTCATCACCCCGCCTGCGGTCTCGATTCCGAGCGACAGGGGAGCGACGTCCACCAGCAGCACGTCCTGGATCTTGCCGCTCTGGTCTCCGCTGAGGATGGCGGCCTGGACCGCCGCTCCGTAGGCCACCGCCTCGTCTGGGTTGATGGAGAGGTTGAGGCTCTTGCCGTGGAAGAACTCCTGCAGCAGGCTCTGCACCTTGGGAATGCGCGTGGATCCGCCGACGAGTACGATGTCGTGGATCTGGCCCTTGTCCATCCTGGCGTCGTTGAGGGCCTTCTCCACGGGCTGCAGGGTGTTGCGGAAGAGGTCTGCGCACAGCTCCTCGAACCTGGCGCGGCTCACCTTGGTGTAGAAGTCGTGGCCCTCAAACAAAGCGTCGATCTCGATGGTGGCCTCCGTGCTGGAGGAGAGCGTGCGCTTGGCTCGCTCGGCCGCCGTCCTTAGGCGTCTCAGAGCGCGCGGGTTGGAGCGTAGATCCTTCTTGAATTTGCGCTTGAACTCCTCAGCCAAGTGGGTGACCAGTCGGTTGTCGAAGTCCTCGCCGCCCAGATGTGTGTCTCCGGCTGTGGAGCGTACCTCGAACAAGGATCCCTCGTCAATAGTCAGGATAGAGACATCAAAGGTACCTCCACCCAGGTCAAAGATGAGAACGTTGCGCTCCCCCTTGAGGTTCTTGTCCAGTCCGTAGGCCAGTGCCGCCGCCGTGGGCTCGTTGATGATGCGGAGCACGTTCAGACCGGCGATGTGACCGGCGTCCTTGGTGGCCTGACGCTGGGAGTCGTTGAAGTAGGCGGGCACTGTGATCACAGCGTCCGTGATGCTCTCGCCCAGATACGCCTCCGCCGTCTCCTTCATCTTGGTCAGCACCATCGAGCTGATTTCCTCGGGGGCGAACCGCTTGGCCTCGCCCTTGAACTCCACCCCGATCTTGGGCTTTCCTCCGTCGCTGACCACCTTGAAGGGCCAGTGCTTGATGTCCTCCGCGATCTTGGGGTCGTCGTACTTGCGCCCAATGAGGCGCTTGGCGTCGAACACCGTGTTCCTGGGATTCATGGCCACCTGGTTCTTGGCGGGGTCGCCGATGAGGCGCTCCGAGTCTGTGAAGGCCACGTAGGACGGTGTGGTGCGGTTGCCCTGGTCGTTGGCGATAATCTCCACCTTGCCATGTTGGTAGACACCCACGCAGGAGTAGGTGGTGCCCAGATCGATTCCAATAGCTGGCATTGTGTGTTTGCTTCTTACTTGGTAATCAGTAGTAGGTAAAAGGTAATTAGGTGTCTTCTACTCGTTCTTGTTTCAGTAATAACTTCTTCAGTGGTTACTTGTATTAAATTCACTTTAAATTTGCAGTTTAATTTAGCTTTATCAGCCGCGTTTGTTTTGTTTTGCTTAGCTTTTGCTTAGCGATGTTTTCACTTTGCTTGTTTGAATTGAATTGACGCTCAGAGCAACGAGCGGCCCTATTTATACTCCACAGCTCTCTTCGTGAACATTCGAGATGTGCTCTCTCGAAACGTCGAGAACTGAGCGAGATGGAATGCTGTTACAGCAGTGAGAGTGAAGGAGACAGGGAATGCGGCGGCAATTTAAGAGAGGGTGAGCGGCAATTGTTATTGCACCCGAAATTTCTCGACTTTTCTCCGCTTCAAATAAATGACCTACGACAAACCAATGTTTTCTTTTTGGGTTCTAGAAAAATCGCTTTTCTGGTTTGTTTATTTACATTTTAAAATGGGTAAATAACTTTTTTTTTAAAATAGCAACGCTATATTTGGCTTTCGAAGCACGTGAATGAGACACTATGATATCAAGTTACTTATTTATTCAGACTTTATTATGCAGAATATTAAATAGCTAAGAAAGACTTTTTAAAAATTAGTAAGTTTTTATTGCTAACGGGTGGTATTTGTGTTATAGCGGTTACATAATATGTATTGTTTAGATTGCAGATATTTTTAAGATGAGTACTAAGCTTTTAAAAACAGGGGGTATAAAGAAAACTGTTGTTAAATATGTTTATATGCAGCTTTACTAAATCTCTGGCTATTGGTTACTCTATTCAAACGTATTTCTTGTAAATGGCAGAGTTTCCGAAAACACAATTTTACCCTCAAGGTATTCTAAACGATGGCAAAGATGTGCTTTTTCACTCATTATTCAATGATTTCACATTCTTTAAATTTTTAGAACACTGAGAATAGAGGTGAAATCGTCTAATAAAACCCGCAAAGCAATGACTTTACTAAAAATATGATGGAAAATAATGTGCAAATCTAAAGGAAGGCCATTACAGCTATTTATTGTTATGGGTCTCAATAAACTGGAGTATGCACTCTCGATGATATCATAATCAAAACATTAAATCTTATCATTTTTTCCTAATCACTAATCCAAAACGAAGTATACAAATACATACATAAGCTTGGATAATGCTCTATCAACTTAATTTTCTATTAGGTATCTAATAAATCAGGTAAGTTGAAAACAAAACTATTTAATGATCTTCATAATAAGTCTGCAAAAAAAATAACGTCAAATCATATTGTCTCATTCACGTGCTTCGAAAGCCAAATATAGCGTTGCTATTTTTAAACAAAGTTATTTACCCATCTAAAAATGTACATAAATAAACAAACCAGAACAGCGATTTTTCTAGAACCCAAAAAGAAAACATTGGTTTGTCGTAGGTCATTTATTTGAAGCGGAGAAAAGTCGAGAAATTTCGGGTGCAATAACAATTGCCGCTCACCCTCTCTTAAATTGCCGCCGCATTCCCTGTCTCCTTCACTCTCACTGCTGTAACAGCATTCCATCTCGCTCAGTTCTCGACGTTTCGAGAGAGCACATCTCGAATGTTCACGAAGAGAGCTGTGGAGTATAAATAGGGCCGCTCGTTGCTCTGAGCGTCAATTCAATTCAAACAAGCAAAGTGAAAACATCGCTAAGCAAAAGCTAAGCAAAACAAAACAAACGCGGCTGATAAAGCTAAATTAAACTGCAAATTTAAAGTGAATTTAATACAAGTAACCACTGAAGAAGTTATTACTGAAACAAGAACGAGTAGAAGACACCTAATTACCTTTTACCTACTACTGATTACCAAGTAAGAAGCAAACACACAATGCCAGCTATTGGAATCGATCTGGGCACCACCTACTCCTGCGTGGGTGTCTACCAACATGGCAAGGTGGAGATTATCGCCAACGACCAGGGCAACCGCACCACACCGTCCTACGTGGCCTTCACAGACTCGGAGCGCCTCATCGGCGACCCCGCCAAGAACCAGGTGGCCATGAATCCCAGGAACACGGTGTTCGACGCCAAGCGCCTCATTGGGCGCAAGTACGACGACCCCAAGATCGCGGAGGACATCAAGCACTGGCCCTTCAAGGTGGTCAGCGACGGAGGAAAGCCCAAGATCGGGGTGGAGTTCAAGGGCGAGGCCAAGCGGTTCGCCCCCGAGGAAATCAGCTCGATGGTGCTGACCAAGATGAAGGAGACGGCGGAGGCGTATCTGGGCGAGAGCATCACGGACGCTGTGATCACAGTGCCCGCCTACTTCAACGACTCCCAGCGTCAGGCCACCAAGGACGCCGGCCACATCGCCGGTCTGAACGTGCTCCGCATCATCAACGAGCCCACGGCGGCGGCACTGGCCTACGGACTGGACAAGAACCTCAAGGGGGAGCGCAACGTTCTCATCTTTGACCTGGGTGGAGGTACCTTTGATGTCTCTATCCTGACTATTGACGAGGGATCCTTGTTCGAGGTACGCTCCACAGCCGGAGACACACATCTGGGCGGCGAGGACTTCGACAACCGACTGGTCACCCACTTGGCTGAGGAGTTCAAGCGCAAATTCAAGAAGGATCTACGCTCCAACCCGCGCGCTCTGAGACGCCTAAGGACGGCGGCCGAGCGAGCCAAGCGCACGCTCTCCTCCAGCACGGAGGCCACCATCGAGATCGACGCTTTGTTTGAGGGCCACGACTTCTACACCAAGGTGAGCCGCGCCAGGTTCGAGGAGCTGTGCGCAGACCTCTTCCGCAACACCCTGCAGCCCGTGGAGAAGGCCCTCAACGACGCCAGGATGGACAAGGGCCAGATCCACGACATCGTACTCGTCGGCGGATCCACGCGCATTCCCAAGGTGCAGAGCCTGCTGCAGGAGTTCTTCCACGGCAAGAGCCTCAACCTCTCCATCAACCCAGACGAGGCGGTGGCCTACGGAGCGGCGGTCCAGGCCGCCATCCTCAGCGGAGACCAGAGCGGCAAGATCCAGGACGTGCTGCTGGTGGACGTCGCTCCCCTGTCGCTCGGAATCGAGACCGCAGGCGGGGTGATGACCAAGCTGATCGAGCGCAACTGCCGCATCCCGTGCAAGCAGACCAAGACGTTCTCGACCTACTCCGACAACCAGCCCGGAGTCTCCATCCAGGTGTATGAGGGCGAACGGGCAATGACCAAAGACAACAATGCACTGGGCACCTTCGATCTGTCGGGAATACCGCCAGCTCCGAGGGGTGTGCCCCAGATAGAGGTCACCTTCGACATGGACGCCAATGGAATCCTGAACGTCACGGCAAAGGAGATGAGCACGGGCAAGGCCAAGAACATCACCATCAAGAACGACAAGGGACGCCTCTCGCAGGCCGAGATTGACCGCATGGTGAGCGAGGCAGAGAAGTACGCGGATGAGGACGAGAAGCAGCGCCAGCGCATAACCTCGCGGAATGCCCTGGAGAGCTACGTCTTCAACGTGAAACAGGCGGTGGAGCAGGCGGAATCTGGAAAGTTGGATGAGGCCGACAAGAACTCCGTCCTGGAGAAGTGCAGCGAAGTTATTCGGTGGTTGGACAGCAACACCACTGCCGACAAGGAGGAGTTCGACCACAAGCTCGAGGAGCTCACCCGCCACTGCTCGCCCATCATGACCAAGATGCATCAGCAGGCAGCGGGAGCAGGAGCAGCTGGTGGCCCGGGAGCCAATTGCGGCCAGCAGGCCGGAGGATTTGGCGGCTACTCGGGACCCACCGTCGAAGAGGTCGACTAAAGCCAATGAGACTTTTTCTGTTCATCCATGGATTTGTTCCTACTAAATTAGTGTTAATGATGTATATAGCATCTTGATGGCCATACTCGAATTATATCTTAGTCTTAACTAAAGTATTACAGGCTTAAGTTAGTAACAAGTTGGTATAAGCTTAAGTAGCTAAAAGGAAAATAAATTATCTATTTAAAATTGAAAACTAATAAATCTTTTATTTTGCTAACGTTTTCAAAACTTTTACAAATCCAATGGGTAAAGTAAATGCATATCTCGCCCTATAAAGTAGGGATATTCTAAAACAATATGTTGGTTTAAAGATTTTTGTGAGTGTTTATAAACAGTTGATCGTTTAAAACATCAGTGGAGGCAAACATAATTAAAGCTCTTGCTGAAAACGTAAAAACTAAACCAGTTTAATTTTTATTTAACAGAATATATATTCCTTTTCCCCACAAACACGAAGTAAGTAAATAAACAAATACGTTAACTGCTTTTAAAACACGTTAGTTTCACACTTTAATTTGCAATAGTTTAGTTCAGCAAGTACATTGAAATACATAGCGATACATGGCCTTACACACTTAGACACATACTTCGTACAGATACTTAGACGGGATGCATTACTTACTCAACGCGAAGCAATTCGACTAGAAATACAATCAATTTCCTTTACTATCACAAAAGTCGTCGCAACTTAGGAGAGAGGGGAATCCAACTAACTAAATTGAAATAAGTGAATCGATTTTGCAGCGAATAGAGAAATTTCCTACAGCTTGCCAATTTTGGTTGCTCGAAGTTCATTCGTGTTTACTCATTGGTAGATTGTCTTTCTGCTTGAAAATTCATAACGTCACCTACACAATTCCCTTTCTTTTGTTTCTCTACTTTTTTTCTTTACATAATTTCGATTGCGTAATTTATAATTTTCAATTTCTTTGAACTCGATTATGTAGATTTGGTTTGCTAATTGTCTAGGTTACATATGATACTTAATTGCTATAGGTAAGATTATGGCATTGCACTTTTTCCATGATTCTGAGTTTTATGGTAAAGTTCTCTGAATTTTATCAAGATCAAGTTTTATGGTAAAGTTCTCTGAATTTTATCAAGATCACCAGACGTGAGTTTAAGTTAGTGCAATTTTTATTTGCAGTTCAATTTGAGTTACAATTTACAATGGAAATTAGCTTGGTATACAACAGTATTAAATAAAATGTTTTATTTTTATTAAGACAGATAGCTTTTAAATTATGTGACACTCGTATAGTCTATGGAAAAAGTGTTTCATCTCCGACAAGCCGAAGTGTTTCTTACGATTCATTTGACAACGTTTCATTTGAAATTGGAATTTTTCTGTGCTTAGTCGAGCGTTTTCTAAATGGTTTCAACTCTT